TGGAGCAAAAAAGCAGCGGTTATCCAGAGTGGCAAGCCGGGCGATTTCAACTGCGTGCTGCAAGGATATCTCGAGAAGGTGAGGTGGAAAATGAGAGAAATGGGGGTCGTCGAAATATATAATATATATACGCCGGCAGTATATTTTCTCTCCGCCTTGTAATAGTCGTGGCCCCCCCCCAGTCCAGTACTTCGACGTCACTACAACAGAAGCAAGACGCGAACAAGCTAGCTAGCTGGAGAAGATGAGCAGAGGTGAGTTAGAGCTCCTGGTCTGGCAGTAGGGTTCTTATGCTAATGAAAACACAAGTTCTCTCTGGTTTCAATGGCTCGCTACCTGTCCTCGATATCTTATCGTCTTTCTATATTTCAAGGGCAGGCTAAATAAGAAACAAGCTTCGAATGACAGCATCGAAAGTAAAAGAAAAGAAAAAAAAAAAATGAAAATAAAAATGAAAAACAATAGAGCTGATAATATTCACATACAGAGGCCTGAAATGAGCGAGAGAAACGAATAAAGACACTACTCACCCGTCTAAAAGACAAAAAGGGGAGGAGGATTCTGGGCCCGGTAGCTGTTGGCTATCTTGACGCGGTCAAAAGGCCTGCTGAGTTCGATGGGAGGCCAGGTATATATTTTGTCCAATGGTTCCTCGGAGCAATCTGGACGAACAGTGCCCTACCTTCATTTTTGTTTTGACAGGATAAAGCAAGCATGAGGCAGAAGGGTGGGAGCAGTTTAGCGGGAAGCAGAACGGGAAGCCTAGACGCTCTTCCTCCTCCGTACCTACATGGCCGTGAAATATCCGACAGGAAATATGAGATTTGACCTTCCATTTGCTTTGCTTCCTGAAGATCTCTCTTTTTTTTTCTTGACTGATTGCAAGACGATGGATCGGCCACATGCAGAGATTCACACTCAATTGGACCGGGCTATCTCACCACCGAATCGCAAAAATAACATATGTTGGTACGGAGGTAGCGAGTGATATCACACGGAACTCCTGTCCCAGCATGGAGGGCAGAGGTCTTGTCTGTCCGCTGAAATATTGATCCAATGAGCTGGCAGTTCAAAAGAAAAAAAAAAAAAAAAAAACACCTCTGGTGCAATTGCTTTTGCCGCGGATTCATTGCGCCATTGGTCGAAAAGGGTAAGAGCCAAAAGAGAGCGAGCGTGAGAGGGATGGGGGGAGGGAGGGAGGGATATGAGAAAGAAAAAGCAACGAAGAGAGAGAATAAGAAAAAGAAAGGAAAGAAACAAAGATGAACCGGATTTTTGAATGGTATTACCTTCAAACAGAGGCTACCCGCTGACGAAGGCAGTGTGTCCTTGACCCGGCAGGCAAATGAATGCGAGACTTCCGAGTCCATCAGTGACGACGAGACATTCGACCCATCTCAAACGCCCCGGAACGAATCTTTTTTTTTTTTTTTTTCGTCTGGTTAAAAGGGGGCGGCGGTTTTAATGTCTTCGGTGTTGGCATTTAGATATGGTCTCCTGCCATGATCTAGTAAGTTGCTCGACCTGAGTGGATTTTTCTCGGAGACTTCGCGCAAAGATCTTCCACCACTGGGAAGAAGCGCCTTCTCAGCAGGGATCAGGGATCAAGATGAAGTTGAAAAAAAGGGTTTAGTGAGATCTTCCTTACATACACTACGCCTATACGTTCTCCACTCACACGCACCACACACAGGACGAACCGCCAACGAGTGACGAGCAAGTTAAGCAACCTAGGGGGGGCCTAGCTCCATCCTCTGCATGTCTATCTCTGCAACATGCTTTGTCATGCGCTTGAGGTTCATCGCTAGTTAGCTCGGGCGGACATGGAAGCCTGCAGTGCGGCGTGCCCCCATGTTGCGCCTTCAGAAACAGCCAAGAACGAGTGAGGCTTGACGAATGGTACGGTTCGAACTAGTTTGTACAGGAGTAATCTCCTTCATGTCCAGACGTTTATTACTATTTTTTTTTTTCAAAAGGTGTGTCATTTGGTCTCCTTTCTCATCCATACTGTGTCAATTTGCAGCTAATAGCTAACTACATCTTTAAATTTTATGCATGTATGTAGTTACAAGAGTACAGCAGCGCTCTCACGTTTTGTCCTGCTCCCTCCACACCCCCCCCTCTTTTCTTGATATCTTATCTCAAACGCCTATTGGCAAACCGGCGGCCTGTTCATAACGGACGGGATATCCATGAAGGACGGGATTTGCCGTGCAGCTTTCTGGACATGGACATTTCGGCGAGGTAGGACTATTCGAGCAACTAATAGTTTGCGTCTAGCTCGCCAGCCTATTAACTACTCCAAAGGAGCCCCGCTGTTACCATCCCAGCCAGCTCCTTGTTCTCCACGCCAGTCGCCGTGCTGTGTCACTGGGATTCCCTGGTTCTTCTCCCCCGAGATATGCCAGAGGGGAGTCCAACAGCATGGAGTATACGGGCTTCCACGGCTCCTCGCTGCGTGGTCATTGAGACGCCGGGTACCTACAGCAATAGCAACTCCACTATACATCATGTCGACGGGGATGATTTCGGGCCTAAAGTTAGCGAAGTCGAAGTGCAATAAAAAGAGCCTCTTGCCCCTCGAAATACACGAAGCATTTGTGTCAAAGAAAGTAAAAGAAAATAAAGGCGGGTCCGCCATTGGACTGGACTCCATTATTTTGTCTTGTCCGCCATGCGCTCTTTTTTTTCTTTTCCTGATCCTCAGTTATTTTTCTTTTCAGCTCTTCGTGTCTCTTAACGCCGGCGCTCTCCGGTGGCCTAGACATCGTACATCGCCTATCATGCACTGTTGCCTGATATTCATGTTCAACGATCGCCTTCGGCTGTTAGAGCAGTTTTACCTGCGCTGTCAACAAAGTTCTACGGCGTGAGGGCACTCCCAGCTTAATAACTGGGCTAGACTTGGAGACATAGCGTGTCCCATGAGTTGCATACAAAACGGAGCGCGTGCGAAACGAATGATATCACAAGACCCTACGATATAGGTCATTTGCAATCCATGATATCAAGGGGCAAGCTGTCAAGACCACACATTTCCTGCCAGAATAAGGGTCGCATTCGTTGAGACATGATATAACCAGTCTGGCGCTTGATCTCTTACAATTACCTCTTCTGAGCTTCTGGTACTTTTTGATTAAAAAAGATGGTATCGCTGATGAAAGAGATGAGTTTCTATCTGTCCAGGAGTTTCAGATATCGGCGCCTTTCACTGTATCCACACAGTCTCTCCCGAAATTTGAACTCATATTCCTTGGTTGGAGGGCGCACGAGGACGCGCATCTCCCCGTGCCGTTTCCGATCACTTTGTCTAGAATATTGGATGGCTCCTGTACCCGAGGGGCGTTCCGCTACCGAACACAGGATTACAACAGCTATCCAGGAAAATAATACCTGCAAACGAACTATGGATGGACTTCAATTTTGCCCCCCACACCCCTGGGTGTGTATTGCATTCGAATGTCCTATTAAATGGTAACTTACATATTCGTCATGGTACGGAGTACTCGAAGCAAGCGCACCTTACAACCTGTTCGAATGTTGCAATGTACTGTCACGCTGCATTACCTTGCTTTAAGTGGCAGCGTTTTCGAGAAGTCCAAGAGGTATCTTTGTACCGCCCTGTTATACCATGGTTTTCACTTCACATATTTTTCTGTATGATCTTCTCAAGAACGCCCATCTGCGCATGGATGATTCCCAGCATCTTGATTTCTACGGACTCAGTTAGTGCTTGGATCACTTCCCCATATATCCTTCTTCCAAGTCCCCCCAAAAGCCGTTAGAATTAAGGGGGTCCAGCAGCCTATCAAATCTTATGAATAGGCGGGTATCACCCATGGGATCACAAGGAATTTCCTGATAATGGATTTTCGGTACAGGAAACCATGCAAAGTATGCAAGCGAGGCCTTGAATACCAACAGCCTGGTTGAGATATAGAAGGCCCAGAACCTGTAATGGACATGGATCGACAGCCCCAAGCGCCATCACTGCCTCAGCTCCGTTTCCTCCTCCCTTCCTCCTCCGCTCCAACATGGAAGATGCTAGTGAATACTTGACTGGACTTGCATCTTGTATCGTATGCGCTATGGCCCCGCGTTACATTTCCCCGCCATGCTTACGAGGTAGTCCTAGTAACAACAGATGTGTCGATACGAATCATTCGTTAGCTCCAATGCTAGACAGGCCGAACTGGAAGCACCATTCAACCCCTCTCCATAGAAGCAGTACTTCCCTATCTGTTCCCCAAGGGAGCAACATTGAACATCAGTGAAACCCTAGCAAAAGAAATTATTGAAGCACTACGGGATCAGCTTTGGGTTCTCCTTGCCAATGTTACACAGCTTTTCCAGCCATCACCCGGACCATCAAGCTCGCTGTTGCAGGCTGATAGATCCTATGTCTCCATTCCTGGCATCAGTTTACGTATTTTAGTTTGGGGAATAGCAAGTGAAAAGACCCCAAGATAATAAAAACGAACAGCTTTAAGTTCCACTTTCTAGGCACCTGCCACCTGCGCATGTCATCAATTATGGGACTGCTGTCTTCTAGTCCTACGCTTTTTAGTGTACGGCGCCTATTTCTATAATAAGGAATATATCGTTGTCGCAACGAAATCATTACTCCGTACTTCTGCAGGAGACCTGCCTGGCCCCTACCCCTGCACATGAACATCTCCGGATATATCGAACCAAGGGCAGCCACCGATTAAGCAACGGGAAGAATCCATGGATTAACAGCGGCGATCCTGCAGGGCGAATCCGGATACCACAACTTTTGAGCCCACAATCTGCCCATAGCGAACCAGGGAACAAAATAAAAGATGTAACCATTATTCCCTGATGATTTTCTTCTTAGTGTTTGGTACGTATGAACCTACATCGGGTAATGACGTCGAAAACCCAGGGAACGATGAATGCTGCAGCATAGCTTAATTTAATCACTAACGGCTGGTTTTGCTTTCAAGGGGAAATAGACTTATGAAGTGTATTTCTGCAGCAGATAACTAAATAAATCAACTACAGACATCTGTCTTGCAATATAGCTTTATGAATTTCCAATTCGGCCAGAGTCAAAACAGTTCAGCGGTCCTTTTGCAAATCGTCAGATCAGATGCATAACTATAACGTGAAGAATGCAATTTTGCTTGACCTCCTTATGAGACCAAGTTCCTGACGTATGATGAGACTTCACAAGCAAGCAAACATGGCGTCGATATGCATCGTGTGCATCCTCATCTGCCTTGTCCCCCTTTCTTCTCTTGGGGCTAAAATCTGATATATCACTTTTATTGCAAGTGAACGACTGACCGTTATGGGTTAAGTCAGGCGCAAAAAGCGGCTCGGTTGCCTGTCTCTCTGACTCCAATCAGGTAACTAACTCGGCCGTTTGGCTGGCTTGCTTGACGCTGCGGCCACCGGCCTCGCTCGCTAGGTCATTGCGCGGGATTACTAACTAAACGGGAGAAGAAATCGAAGGAAAAAGCATCAAAGGCACGATAAGGAGGAGGAGGAAGAAGAAGGAATATGCTTCTCGTAGCTTCTTGGCTTGATATTGTGTTCGACCAGGTATTAGTGCTGATAGGAAGCGTGGCTTTAATTTTGTGAACAAAGAAAGATACGGAGTAATCGTTCTGGTCACTCAAGAACCAACTAACTAGTTAGTTATCCGGGGAATATAATTTGCAAAAGCGAGAGTCAATGCTTCGTCAGAGCTGGCGAAGAGGCCAATCTCTTCTCGAATGCTACCTTGAAGGGTACAACAAAGTTGCATGCCTTGTTAATAGTGTGGCGATATGTAGTAAGAAGATGCAAAAGGCAGACTAGAGCTCTGCACATGTGGCAAATAGAGACTTTACGCCGGTTCGGGCATTCGAAAGAGCTGGCATTATTTATTGGTTTTGAGAGCCGTTAGATAAAAGGGGTATGTAAACGCCAATAAGTTTACATAGTTATAGTAGTGACTAGAATGATATAAGGGGGCGGGGGCATCGGAGTAGGGTCAGGAAATAATGATAACGAAAATAAAATGACAGAATCGTCGAGCAGGTATAATAATAACACGTAAGAGTGAATAGAGAAGGGTAACAGATGATGAATTCTTCAACCGTATGCGCCGAGCAAAGATATCGGATCATTCTCCCACCAATCTGAGAAGAGCAAAAAGAGTAAGTTAAGCCAATAGGAAGAAAGAAAAAAAAAGCTGTCTAGGAAGTAAAAATGATGGGGAACGATGAGAGGACATGGTACATGAGGGAGACTGTGGGTGTGGAAATGGATATATGCCCCTCGAGGTGTGGCACATAGGATACGTATAGAAATGAGATTTTATCCCAGGACTATTTCATGAACACTGTAGTGCGATCTTTTTCTCCGAAGTAGCATCGGAAGCTCCGTTTTCACCAGATTTGTCTATCTGTGTGGCGATAGTTTGAGAGGTATCATCCATCGGCTTCGTTAAACCATTCGTAAGCTCAGTATCGTTCTTATTCGTACCATCAACTAGCTTTGGTTGGTGATTGCGTGTGTGATCTTCAATACCATTAAGCAATTGCCGGTCGATTTCCATCGACTCTGGTATTTTATTTATATGAGTCTCCTCGTCATTTTTATCAGTTTCAGGGGAGCCATTGACTTCGGGTTGATCAGTGGGACCATTGGACGTCGATGGAAATGAGTTAAGATAGTCAAACCGCTTGGTTCCGCCGGGACTTTCAGGATCAGTGTCGTGTTTTGTGTCCAGGTTGTCACCTAGCATGCTACTTCTCGCCCGTCGAACACTGAAGCGCAGGGGTCTTGTTGCCGTGGAAGGAGTACCCAGGCGTAAGGGGTTGCTCTTTTTGGGCGTATTATGTCCGCTCGTTCTTGCTGGAGATTGTGCAGTGGAGCGAACCTTCTTCCGAGTTCCAAATGGCCGGCCTGGTCGTCGCTTAACGGTAGGAGTGCTGGTACTGGCACCTTGAGGCGGAGGGAAGATCTCGAACCTCGTTGGGGGAATGCCAAAGGCAGGGTTTGAAGGAGTAGATGACGATTGACGACCATTAGTGCTAGGAGCTTGTTTGGCCATGACATCGGCGAATGACAGAGCGCTGGTGGAAGGCGGTCCTGGAGCGTCGAACAATGAAGGCGAAGCTTCAGAGAAGCCCTTTCCATTGGTATTGACAGTTTCAGCACCACTTCCTGCAACGCTGTTTGCTGTATCAGCGTCGCTTGCGCTAATACCGAGGCCATATGAGTTGTTAGGCATGGAATTAGCTGCCGCAGTTGGCTCATCGGCATCAATCTCTTCGCGAGGAGCGACAGTATGAATGGGCGCATGGTCATAGTGGGACTTGTTACTGCGGCCCATTATATACGGCGTCCATACCAGAGAGTTAGGATTCAACTTGACGTAGCCCTTTTTCTCCCAAGACTTTATGTACCTTTCAAAAAAGTCGTAGTCCAAGCGGAGCGCATAGGTCTTAGTGACAGGATCACGGACGAGAGCACTCAGGCCCTCTAACGCGGATATAACATCATCGGGAGTCATACCGGTCTGTTCAGATATCGCTGTAATGCTTGTCGGTGATTTTTTATCCCGAAACTTGTAACATAGAACAAGACGCCAGTAATTGCGATAGGAAACCAGGCCCAGATCAGATAATGGTTTTTCTGGAGAGCCTGTTCTTCCTTCTAGTCGGGTGAGAAGGTAAGAAAAATCAATCAGGAGATTTCCATAACCCTTTCTCTGGTGGATTGGGAGGGTTAGGATACAGGAGACATTATTCGAGGAACTCGGTCGCTTCTCTTTGCTGAAATACCCAACGAAATGACAGCCCCATTCATCATATTCCGTCATGACGTAGAACAAGAAAGGCTCCACGTCATAATAGAGTGTCTTTGAACCCAGGAAGAGCTTGGCCAGTAAACAGAGATTTTGGCAATAGACAGGATTCTTCCGCCCGTCCACCTCGAAGATAGAAACAGACCCTTCCCGATAGATTTCATCGCCCGGAGGATGCTTTGCAGGGCATTTGAGTTTATGTCGCCATGCAACGAAATCGGAGTTCATATACTTGAGGCAAAATTCGCAGATGTATAAAACACGATTGCGACTGTATTCTTCAGGATATGGTGCAGCATACCAAGTCTCAATCTCATAACCGCCAAAGTTGACATACTTGATTTTGCTTGGTGGCCCAGACAGCATTTGAGATGAAAGGAGAGCATTATCCGAGTCTTCCTCATTTGCCATCATTTTCTTTCGCCATTCTTCTTCTGCCTTTTGACGAGCTGCCTCAAACTTATCCCTATCTGTCGGCAGTGGTACAGTTCGCGACGTATCAGCTTCGGCCTCCGATAAAATTCCACCATAAGGCTTTGACTTGAGTTCATCGTTTTCTCGGTCGTGAAAGGAGTAGAAAGGTGCAGCATATGGAGTTGGGTTTGTCGGTGCAAAGTGTGATACTGGGGGAGGCTCGGGTATAGTTGAGGGTTTAGGTAATGCTCTTCGCCGTTGGCTCCTCGGCCTTGGTTTACTGTTCAGTATCTTTTGAAGCTTTTCCTGGTCAAGGTTGAATGACAGTATTAACCGTCCTTCTTTGTGCATAACGCTGCAGTAATGCTTTTGTGCGTTTCTCGTTCTCCTCTGGCGAAGTGCTCGGTTTTCTTGCACAGTTGTGACATCATTTTCTGCAAGTTGGTTCTGGCTCGGGGCACGCGAGCGACTCCCGCTAGTCCTCGTTGTCGGTAACGCTTGCCCGTGCGGAGGAGTGACTTTCCGTCGTTTCCGTGTGGTTGAACGTCTATTTTCAGCCTCATAGGATGATGATTTTCTTTTTCGCAAAGAGCGGGAGCCATCCAGTGGATCGTCTTCGATGATTAATGAGTTAAATACGGAATGAGAATTTGGATCTTGGGTATCATTGTCCGCAGGGAGCAGATCTTTCGTAACACTAGAGACAGTAGATTTTTGTCGAGCGGTGGAGGAGTTCCTTGTGTCCGGTTGGGAGTGCAAATGTTTACATAACGGACACATCCATTTACCGGCATCTAAACTTATAAGTTAGTTGATCAGGATCCGAACTAGGCTCTCATGCATAGTGGCAGGGGTTCCGCATACCCTCATCGTCGTTAAATATGCCTTCCTCGCGGCCGCATTCCCTATGACCTGTGGAACCGTTAGCTAAGCCCCCTGTCATAGTTCAAGCCAAGCCTGTCCCTGCAGAACTTACAATGAACACTACATGTGTCGCATATTAATGGCTCTTCAAAGACCTCACTTGGATCATGCTCTTCATCTTCTTTACAAACACTGAAGGAAGAAAACTCCTGTTAGTAAGAAGTGGCACATATGCAAGGCGATCAATTCAAACCCGATCAAGACTCACATGCAATTGTTGTCAACAGGGGGTTCTGTATCAGCATCCTCTTGTTCGTTGCTTTCAGCCTCCCATTCCTCTTCAACTTCGGAGTCGGATTCAGACGACGCTTCGCTGGCAACTGCATTACTCTCATTTGAAAGCTCTTCGAATTCTGCATCCAGGTCATCTGCTTCACTCGCCGATTTGCCATCCTCGCTAGCACTTCCTATAACTGCAGCATCCTGATCCACCTTCTCCTTAGAATCATTTCCATCATCTATGAGGCTGGGTTCCTTTTCATGGTTGACATTATTTTCGACCACAGCACTTCCTCCATCAGTTTCCCTTTTTCCATGGTATGTCCCATCAACCGTCACAGTCGAGTTTTCATACGTCGTGACTATCCCAGCCTGCGCAGTCGCATCATAAAACTCAGGGTCCTCGTCTCCTTCGGCGTCTTGTTCGCTATCTATTTCCGGTTCTTGTTCGGGGTAGTTGTTATCGTAAGCGGCCAGTGGGGTTGCCGCCATGGTATGAGCCACTACAGTCGCCAGATTGGCGAGCTGTTTGCACCATCCGGAATCCCCCTCTTCTATATCTCCTCTTCGTCTTTTTTTTATGTCTCGTTGCTTCTCCTTGGTTGATAGCAAATTCAAACACGTAGACTCGTCTCGGCTTTCTGAGGAATCGGGCTTTCGGCGGCTCAAGGCTCAATATCGACAGACCACAGTCATTGAAAAGGTCTCCCCGTAGATACACGGAGGTGTAACTTTGCGCAGATGTGTCCACACCGAGGTATTCACTGGGCATAGAAAGAGTTAGCTATGCAAGTCTTCTCCTGGAGAGCTCTCGGGAGGCGTTTTCTTTAAAACCATGCGGACGCGACCACCGCCAGCTCGCCACCGGCCACACCTGGAGAACACAAAGGACAACTAACCGGTAAGCTGCTCTGCTGCAACGCGTAAATCGAAGGAAAACCCAGTCTTAGCAAGGGCCGACGACTCTTTTTACGCCGTTTCTTGCTCGCATCCCCTCCCTTCTTTGACTTGAAGTTCGAGCCATTCAACGAAAATTGCTGACTTATCAGCGCCAAGCTTTATATCGCGCTAGTCCATATCAGGCCTCTAGTGCCTCTGCTCTCGTTCCTTTCTCTGACGTCCGTCGACTTTTTGCCCTGGGACGCCGTCGCCAGTGAGATTACGGACAAGAAAAAGCAGAACAGCAGGATACTCGTTGCGCCGCGGAAATGGGAGTTCCCTTCGAGGCTTTGCTCCCTTATGGGATCATCATCGGTGTAAGTGTGAACCGTTCCCGGGGAGTGGGAGTGAGCAAATGTTGATGTGAACCGCTTTGCCCGCAGTTGTTCGGTGTGACTGGTGTCGGTCTTTCGACTCTCAAATACTATTCAAACGGCCGCAAGAACCCAAGAAGAGGAATTGATGCGTGGGATCAGGTAAGTTGGAGAGCTACTTCCCGTCCACCGTTTCAATTGGGCTCGATCTTTGACTAACTCTGTCATAGCAAAGTAAGTTGCAGCATTGGCTTGCGAACCTGTTACGTTTCAGACCGCCTACAACAATTCGATTACTGACATAATTGCTCAATTCTCCAGTGATGGAACGAGATCTACGGCTTACAGGCCAGAGAAGAGGACAGACAAGCAATCACGCCGCACCCCCAGGCTTCGCATATAGCAACCCATGGAAGGTATGCTCAGATGCATTATGATACCCCACCGATTCCACCAAATATTATCAGAAGCGCTAATAGCCCATCTCAATATAGCTAGAGCCAAGAATCAACTAATTTATTTATATGTCTGTTCAAAGGTCTATCATAATTCCGGGAATTATCTATGACATACATCCATCATCGTTCAATCATCGGAAACCTGCTTGATCTCGGTGCTCCTTCCGCGAATGCCGCGGATCTCCATCGGCAGGAGATGTACATTAAAGATATTTTTCAGCGCAGCAACGCGTTTCTCCTCGCTTTCTAGGGTTTTCAGAATTTCAACGTTCCCCTTCTGGTTTCTCTTGACTATGTTCTTAAGGAGCATCAAGGCCCCGTCGATACGATCGTCTGCTTCGTTGAGGGTGAATCTTGTAAAGATGATCCCTTGGGTAAAGCCACTTGCTGGATGCACGCTAGTCCAATAATTCATGATCTCATAGTCTTCAGGCGTGAACTCGATTTCGTAGAAACAATAGGCCATCACCCACTCGCTGTCAGAGTCCTCGCGGAATCGATATAGCCATGGCCGCTGGTCTGGATCAGTGTTTATGCTCAGATTCTTTCGAATCAAGCTCATCTGGACAACACCAGGTAGAACTGGTTGCCCTTCTTTCAGCAGCAAAGGCTGCGTAGGTCCTTGAGGCCCAAATCCAACATCCACCTTTGTACTCCGCTTAGTATATCTTCACTCCACGGTTCGTGGTTTATGGTGTAACCTGACTTACCATGTACTTGACATCGTCTATAGTAACTATCAATACCTGATGGCCACTTATCCAGTACCAGTGTCAGCCTTATACCCAATGTCGAGTCACATTTAGAGAACACCACTTACAATCCATGGAATTCAGCATTCGCAGGCCCAGGAACTAGACTCTTTGAAACCCTTGCTCCTCCAGGGTAGAACTTGAATCCAAGGGTCCGAAGCACGATTGAAAAGAGCCCGGTATTTTCCACACAGTAACCACCAAGCCCTCTTTCCACTATCTTATGGTATAGAACATCTGGATCGAGCGATATTGAATGGTGCTGAGAGTAATGTAGGACCAAGTTTGAGAACGGGAACGTTGTCAAATGCCGACGCTGGAGAGTGAACAGGGCCTCTCGAGGATCGGAAATTACCAGAAGTTCGATGTCTTTCAACCTCTTTTCTCCATCGTCAGACTTGCATTGATAGAGCCGGCTAAAGTACTCAACCAACTGCTCTCTTGAAAAGGTTGGCCGGTATGTTGTTGTAGATACATCTGCCATTGCGTCTTTGAAAATGTCCCGTCCTTACCTGATGTTGATTTAACAGTAACTAACTAATAGCTTGAAAATATGCCTCCAGGCAGCAGCTAGTTATTTATATCATAGAGCGATCTAAATGGTTAGCACAGCGGCGCTTTTGGCCCGTCACGAGCCATACGAGATACAGGATTATGATAGACGCTTGCTTATCAATAATATACGCAGTTCTAGGCCCTTTGATTCAGCAATACCTGTAGGGCGACTTTGGATCATGTGGTTACCATACGAGCTGCCAAGATGGCTGGCTTGATGATATAGAGAGGAGTTGTTGATGCCGGCAAAGTTCCGAATAACTCACCACCTGCATGAAGTGGATAACTAGCTGGCTATTGGGGCTAGATTAATAATGGCCTGACGGCCTTGAGGTTCCATCTCACCGTCGAGATGCCATCCACGGTGTTAACATGTCTGACGTGGCCATTCATGATATATTGCTACTAACATTGAATAACCCCCATGGCGAGAACAGACGAGGAGATATTCGCAGCTCTGGAGGAGTATTCTGCGTGTGACGTACGGACAATTCTTATTCTATCTTTTCGTGGTTGATACTAATACGCAGTCTCAGATATCAGATGCACTGTTGAAGCTAGAGAAAGTCCCGAACGGTACAACCAAATATGCCGGATTCATAGCTGACATCGGTATGCTATAACTTCATGATAATAGATACCTATCCCTTTGGAATATGCCTAGCCTAATCTTTAAGTGAAAAGTGCCGTTTTCACCGTCTAGAGATATTGAGAATGTGCCAAAAATAATCGGTTATGCATCCACAGTTAAGTTTATACCCAAGGATGACCCATTATCTACCGAGTCTCAAGATGAAAAACGTGGGTTTAAGGCCGGAACCCATTGGGTAGATCATACGGATGCAAATACCGTTGTGTTGCTTGATCAGCCAAGGGGCCAGAAATGCGCTATTCTAGGTGGAATTATGGCCTTACGGATGAAAGTGAGAGGTGCAAAGGGGGCCGTAGTCAATGGTCGGGTGAGAGATCTCGCTGAGCTACGAAGCCTTGGATTTCCAGTGAGTACATTATTGCTTCTTCAGAGTTTTGCTATATATCCGGTACAGGGTCGGATATTAAGTGTGGGCGTATAGGTATGGGCCAAGGGTACTTCGACAGTGGGAACCGGTGCAGAGGCTAAAGCTGCGATGCGAAACGTGCCAATTTCCGTTGATGGAGTAACTGTCTGCCCGGTAAGTACTGGCCTTTATTCAGGTCGTTTATTCAATTTCGGGAGCCGTAAATTGATGGGTTTTCAGGGTGATGTACTATTCTGTGACCCTCTTGAAGGCGTCGTAAGGATACCAAATGGATTGATTCACGATATCTTGGAACTGATGCCCAAGCTCATTGCTGCGGATGATAAGGTAAAGGCTGATGTGTTGAATGGGTCAACTGTTTTCGAAGCCTTCAAGAAGCACAGGGGTAGTTAAACTTCCTACACTTACTTTGCATAGATGGTGAGATTCAACTTGATATACTTGATATACTTGATATACCTGGGAAAGCAAAAAAAGGCAGTGACATATAATTGATATAAATACAGTTTAATCATCTCACGGGACAAGTCGCTTTTATCCTCACAACAAGTCGTTATATAGGGGCAAAAAAAAGAAACATATATCTATCTAAATGCTCGCTGTAGGGGGATTCAACATCTACTCCGCAACCCAAACAGCGGCCATACCCATTCCAGTGCCAACACACATACTAGTAACGCCAATCTTCTTGTTTGTTCGCTTCAGCTCAGTCAACAATGTGCTGACCTGGCGGGAGCCAGTGCATCCAAGAGGATGGCCAAAGGCAATGGCACCACCCTTAGGGTTAACCTTTTCAAATGGAAGACCAAGCTCCTTAGTGCACCAGAGAGCCTGGGAGGCAAACGCCTCGTTGATTTCATAGATGTCGACGTCTTCCTTGGAAATACCAGCCTTCTCCAATGCAGCAGGGATGGCCTTCCAAGGTCCCTGGCCCATGAGAAGAGGCTTAACACCGACAACGCTGGCAGTAACGTACTTGCCGATGATCTTCTGTCCAAGCTTCTCAGCGGTAGAACGCTTCATAAGGAGGACAGCGGCAGCACCATCAGAGATCTGAGAGGAGTTTCCAGCATGGATGGAGCCATCGGCGGCGAAGGCAGGTCGGATCTTGGAGAGGGAATCAGGGGTGATGCCAGGTCGGACACCATCATCACGGTTGACTGTGATGGTCTTCTCTTCCTGAGTCTTGGGGTCAACAAACTTGACAGTGAGAGGGGCAATCTCCTCGTTGAAAAGGCCGGCTTCCTGAGCCTTGATAGCCTTCTGGTAGGAGGAGGCAGCGAAGACATCCTGATCCTTGCGGGAGATCTTGAGGTCCTTGGCCATGTCTTCGGATAGAATTCCCATCGGAACCTTGCAGTTAGCAGCCTCCATATGGTTCTCGAGGAGCTCAGAGAACTCCGTGACAGCTCCGGGACTAAATACTTGATTAGCATATGATCATACAAATAGCAAAAGTAGCTGGGGCGTAACATACCCGTATTGAGAAGACATGCTCTCAACACCAGCTCCGACACCAACATCGATGACACCGGCCTTTATGGCATTGGCAACATCGACGATAGCCTGCAGACCACTGGAGCACTGTCTGTTCAAAGCCTTGACGGCAGAAGTCTCAGGGAAACCAGCGGCCAAAGCAGCAGCACGGAACTCAGTGGCACCACCACCGGGAGGTAGAACTGATCCAACAGCAATATCCTCAACAAGCGAGGGATCGATCTTAGATCTCTCAATCAGAGCCTTGAAGGCGCCGACCAGGAGGTCAGCAGCAGCGGTGTCCTTGAAGCCACCCTTGCCGCCCTTTGTTATGGCAGTTCGAAGAGCACATGTTACAACAATATCATCCGGGTTCTTCTCGAGAATAGCAGAGCTTCCGCTCTTGCCTGGGGTCACTTGCTTAGAGATCTGAGCGAGACGCTGGTATGCTGGAGGAAGATATCACATGTTAGTAGAGGGTACGCTCTATGACGTAGCTCGGGAAGGCACTCACTGGCAGACATGATGGATGAAGTGAAGGCGGTTGCAGACGGGATGGTGTAAATAAGGTCTCTAGAGGTGGCTATAGGCAAGATAGATGAGGAGAAGAAAGGAGCAGAAGGAGTCGGATATCTCGGGCGTTGCGCTTTATATGCTGCTGCTTTTACGTCCGCCAAACATCTGATTAAGGGAAGATCATTAAGGTTAGCAGAAAGTTACCGAGGCATGCGGAACGTATATTTACCCTTTTCCGTGATTACGTAATGGACCGAGTTTCCGTCACGTGAAGCTTCTCTGCTGGCCTTAATGCTTTTTGGAGAGAAAAAAGTCCATGTGAAGATTCGACGGCGTTGAAGGAGGAAGATATTGATTTGATATAGGTCGCAAGGATGTCGTTTGCTCCCAGATCACTGGCGTTGAGCAAGGGGATGCGATGCGCGCATAATCGGCTCAGTATAGCTTCGCGCATAAATATTGAAACGGTAGCTATCACACTCTAGTCTTTCCAATATATCAGACTAACAGAGTATCAGGCAGGATCACCCCTCTTATCTTCCGGCCGCAACGTTTCCACTGTGATATCGAGGTCGCGGGCTCTCCACTATGCGTCTGCCACACAACAATTGCCCTCTATATCGTCCTTCCGCGCTCTCTCGAACCTAAGGCAGCCTACCCCAGGAGTCGTATGCCGCCCCTTCACCTCTAGTCGCAATGCGGCCCCTTTCCCCCCTACCGAGCCGTCTGGGGAAGAATATGTCAACCCATACAAAGCCAAGAGGAAATGGCCACCGGACATGAGCAAACTCTCACCAAAACAACAGTTCAGACTAGAGCGCAAATACAGGCGCCGGTCGAAACAAAAATGGGCAAGACCTACGTGGACAAAATGGACAAAGTTGGTTCAATGGGGGTTAATTGGATGTACGTGCTTGATATTGTCCTGGATCCATTGGCTTTGTGTATTGTCTTTACGGCATAAGGGAAGCTAACGTATACACACTCTAGTCGTATTGGTATATTCGGTCCTCTTTATGGAAATGAAGGATGCCGGGCCCAATCCGTTCCAAGGAGTAAGTATAAATCTCCAGACATTGGCGCAGATGAGAATTTTAACGGCTAATTGTGAGTGATAGTTCCGAGATTATCTCAAGGGACTACTCGATGATTCAGTATTATCAGGACGTCGACCTGCGCTTCGAAGCGAATCTACCTCCCCGGTCGAAAAGACCGGAAGCCAGTAATTGGTCCTGGCGTTTTGTATGAATATCACGTCGGTTTCTTTTTTATGTCTGTGTTATTAGCGGCATTTTCCCTATTCTACTGTCTCCATAGAATCCCATCTCTCCTCCAATGTTTCTAGAGAGATGATCCAAAACATCTAATGCTTTATCTTTGATGGCAACAACTTGTATAAAGAGAATGTATATTATTCTCCTTTACTACTAGCGTTAGTAGACCCCTGGTCCAGCGATATGGACAACAGAACTAAATATAGACCACCGCCAACACCGTATAACAACAACATCATCATAACAAGCCTTTATCAAATCGATAGTTAGCCTGTTGACTTAAGGTCATCCTTTAGTGTGTATAAAACCGATTTAACATTTCATTGCTTCGGAACAATTTTAAGGTAAGCAACCCTATTATTTGGTTTATTTATGCGGGGTCACAGATATTACAGCCGCAACTTTCAGCTTCAACTTCGTCTCAGCTTCATCTCAGCTCAGGGACGCGACCATCTCTTGCTAATAAGCTGGCCAGCAAACCTCCCTGCTACCCTCAAAATAACCCGAGTCTCTCTCTCAATCAAGAACTGAAAGTATCCTTTGTTTAAAGATGGTTTTTCGCAAAGTAAAGGTCGGAATTATTGGGTACGTCACAATCTATGTCGTGGAACGTCCATGTTCCTCCAATATATTCGGCCCTTTACTGACCACTCCGTTCCATTTATATTCATTTCGTAGCTGCGGGGAGGTGTCACAGGTGATACATATACCAAATTTCCAACACCTCTCAGACATATTCACTGTCACTTACTTGTGTGATATTTCTGCTATGGCCCTGGAGCACTGCAAAGGCAAAATCTCCAATCCGCATCTTCAGACCACCAAGAATGCGGAAGAGTTATGCCAGTCTCAAGAGGTGGAGGTCGTTCTTGTTGCGAGTAATGACGCGTACCATGTTCCGCATACCCTACTCGCCCTGAAATACAACAAGTTTGTCTTTTGCGAGAAGCCAATGGCTCTATCGTTAAAGGACGCTGAAGCCGTCTTGGAGGCTGAAAAGCTTTCGTCTGGTAGGGTGATGGTTGGGTATATGAGGCGGTATGCAGGGGCCTTTGTCGACGCCATCAACGAAATAGGTGGCATTGGCGGCGTCACTCATGCAACAGTCAGGGATATCCTCGGTCCCAACTCGTGTTTTATTGCACAGTCAGGCACTTTTCCTAAGAAGTTCTCGGATCACAATGAAAACGATGCAGTAGAGCTTGCCACAATGACAAGCCAGGCCCTGGAACAGGCATTATTCGTTGAGCTTGGTATTCCGGTTAACCCAACCACTGCCAACATGTGGAAACACTTGTCGGGGCTGGCTTCCCACGACCTGAGTGTCATGAGAGAGTGTTTAGGAGTTCCGAACAGGGTGCTTGGTGCTTCTATTTGTTCAGATACAGGTCCCCAGTTCTGGAGGTAAGCTATACCATTGTTTTTCAGCTAATCATAACCAGAGAAAATCGAAAGCTCCTTGATACAGCTAGATACCTAACAAATTGTAGTGCTCTGTTCAAATATCCAGGTTTTGCTGTTTCTTATGAGTCGGGATGGGATGAGATACCACGGTTCGATGCGAGTATCGAAGTGTTTGGGAGGACAAAGACCGTGAAGATATGCTATGATACCCCATATGTCAAGGGACTGCCGACAACGATGGTTGTTCGTCAACTAGGTCCCAACGGTGAGTACATAGAGTCCACCGTTAGAAAGACATACGAGGATCCGTTCACTCTGGAGATGAAGGAATTATACGAAGCTGTGGTGAATGAAAATAAAATTATCAAGACAACAGCAACGGATGCGGTGGCGGATATTAAAATTTTCCAGATGATAATGAAGACTGGGTATGAACAGTCGCTATGAGTTTTATCGTGATGTCTCTATTTTCGTTTTCCGAACCATCTATCTATTCATGCCGTATTGAATATGATGATTCTCTAAACTCTATATTAGCAGTCAGGCGTGAAGCAGGCCCCATCCTACCACTTTACCCATTCGTTATCTAGGCTGCGTTGGAAGACGCATTGCCTTCCCTTGCATTGAGATACCATCTCGGTCTACCGCGAACCGAGTAAAGTTCATCAAGGCTTGATGAAAAATTTCTTGCTCCTTGGAGTATATCCCAACTGAGACCCAACAGAACATCCACCAACGGAATTTGGCTAGCAACCCCCAACTAAAAGGAATGCTGAAATTCTGCATACACACGTACTCGAAATATATAGGATACCAGCCGGATTGGTCCCAGTCAAGAAGCCAAAGCCGAAATTTTTCATCGACAATGATATTTCTGGGTGCGAGGTCTTGGTGCGAGAATGTCAGGGGGAAATGCCGGTCTGGTTCTAAGGGTGCCGCCGTGCTGGTTGATGCTGATAATGACAGCGCTCTGTATGCTGCTGCTCTGCGTTTCCGCGAAGGAGAAGAAGATACGTTATACCAATATCGCACAAATGCCGTGATGGTTTCGGAGCTCGCGTGAGGTGGGAGGCCATAGTAGGTACCCAACCACATAGACCTGCATTTTCCGTCTGAAAGGGATCCAGCAGTCTTCGAGGTCAAGCTCCGCATCTTCCGAACGAATTGCCGTAATTGTATGGCGAGCAGCAATGACCTTGGCCAGCTTAAGGAGATCCAGGCGTCTTCTAGGGTGCGACCCCTGATTCTGTCCGATATGACATAGATACTATGGCGGTCATGACTTTCGACGACTCGTTGGATACTCGGTACCGGGATTCCCAATTGTCTCGCTCGCCTTATTGCTATAAGGGGACCACTTTCCTCGCCGCGAGAGTACCGTTTAGCGACCAGATTTTGTGAGAGGGAGAACAGGCTAGATGACCCTGGAGATATTTTGGATCCATTAATATGGTGAACAAGGGTCTCCTCATCATACTGATACAGCAAATGTTCTTCGAACTTGGCACACATTGTAGCTGGGTCATGTACCCTGCCTACTCACTGGCCTATCGACGCAAATATGAGAAGGTCATGTAGCATTGTGTGCCCTCTCGAAAGAGAATTGCAACGAATCGGGTGCCTAAAGGAGCCCTGTTGACCGCAACGGATACCTCATCACGTGGCTTCAGCTGCGATGGCGCAGTGAGCAAAAGGTAATTAGATAGGTTCTTCGATTTTATTCATTAATAATAATAGAATAATAATCTGGAGAGTAATATAAGGCTATGGGCAGAAATGCTAAATAACAAGCACTATGCGAGGTACGGTCCAATCTTGCAAGGAAAAGATAACTCCAGAGCCATAGAACATATACCAAAACAGTATTAAGAGGAAAAGAATAGAGAAAGGGTCATAAAGTCGTTCCAATGAAGGCGGGAAGGATTGGTGGTCGTTAATCATATCCCATCTGACGTTTGTTTTGATGGGCTCGTCCAAAATACCACATCGAAATGTTGTCCATGTAGGTCAAGCATAGCCTTGAAATGACTAGCACAGGAAGAAGGACACAATATGGAGTTGCAAAAATATACTTGGGGTTAGGAGACAACGCCGTTGTGTAGCATTCCGAGGAGATAATGTGCCCGGACAACAGGGAAAAAGTAAGGGGGAAGGAAAGTAGGAGAATATTTAAAGATAGGACGTCATAGCCAATCACCGCTTGACTTTCTCTGATCGGGACTTGCAACTCCAACGTTCAAGTCTAGGCGTGGGGGAGCTTCGCTCACAATCCCTGGCTTCTTTTTTGGGCTCTGGTTACCAGCTGTCTTGATGGGGCTGGTTGGAGGTGCATCTCTTGGAGGGCCTTCACGGACAAACTGATAGTCCCAGCCATCCTCTGCTGCTGCAGCAACCCAAACCTTCAAGCCAACATGGAGAGCGGGGTAGAACTGCTCCTTGCACGTGCGGAGGCTCCTGCCCATGACCTTTTCGAAGCCCGATGCTTTGAGGTCAGTTCTGAGCTTGTTGCGCTCCTCAGTCGTTGGCATAGACGCAATGATGCCATTCATAAGATCTAGATGGATTGCAAGGTAGCTTGTGGCTTCCCATTCGACACCTCCAATATATGGGGCTGCAGGGACAGGGGGGTGTGGTGGAGGGAAGTGGCGTTCCGAGTAGGGCTGAGATGGGTCAACGGGCCCATCTTCCGATGTTGTGACCGGGACAACGTTGTAGTGATGTAGGAACATCCAAAAAACTTCTTTAGTAACGTTGGTCACTTCTTTGCACCAGACTCGATATGGTCGTGGCTGATAGATATCTGCAATGAACGACAGTGGTTGAGCTGTCTCTGGTGGCGCTGGATCGCGCATATAAGAAAGTATGGTATGGGCACGAGACACGCGTTCTCCAGGACCAGCATTCGATAAGAGAGTGAACAGCAAACTGATGATTATCGCACGAGTGCTGAATTCGCTAGGGCCTTTCTTTTCATCATCGAAAAGCATGTTTAGTAATGTAGGGAAAAGGTGGCTCTCTATGGAGCGAATATGGTTGAGAGCAGTAGTAGTTGTGCATAGTGCCTTGAGACAGAGTAGAACTTCGTGCATGAGGGTATCTTCATGTTCCTCCCTATGATACAATATTAGTATTCGTTGCATGAGTAATAATAGGCATCCGTGTAAAACTCACCTCCATTCTACTTTGATGATTCTGTAGAGCAGTTGGATGAGCTCGTCCATGCCTCCACAGGACATGAATTCAGTCACCCAGGTCACAGTTTCATTTCTTAGCAAAATACGAAGCTTGTGTATTTTGGAAATTTCAACTATTTCCGGCTTCTGAACTTCCTTAAGATAGTGGACAAAATCCGACGGTTCGTCTGCATCTTTTGGAGTGCGGATATACTGCAGAGAGCTCAGAACAGAAGCAGATATGCCTCGGGAAGAGGAGCTGGATGGTCTAGAAAAGTCGACTGACTTCGGCCGTTTGGAAGGTGTGGTTTCACCTTTACCTTTTTTCGAGTTAGATGAATCATTCTTAGTGAAAGTGCGGCTCCGAGCCCGAGTCTTGGTCGTAGATTTGCGAGATCCACTTTCAGAGCCCTTTTCGGCCTCTTTATCGCTGCTGAAAAACCCAAACTTCTTCTGGCTGGTGCCAGACGGGGTAGTTGGCGTCATTTCATGCTTGTTCACGAAGTCTGCTTTGATATTAGTGTCCAAAGCCCTCATTTTATCACGCATGTTGAGAGGGATGTTTCGAGATTCCTAGAATACCAATGAGTAACTTGTTCGTGTGGAAATGGATCCAAAACCAAATAAACTAACCAGAAGCTGTTCAAATGCGTTTTCGATAACAGTATCTTTAGGGTCAGTTTGCTTCGTACTAGCTGCCTGCTGGTCCTTTGCATTGAAGGCTGCAATTGCGGCCATGACCCGGGAGCTTCGACGGCCATTTGAGACTCTTCGTTTTGCTGGAGCCTCATTTGATTTAGTTGAAGCTTGAGAGTTGCTGCTGGAGCTGGTCTTCCTCTCGGGAAGATTAGAGTTGTGTGGGCCTAGGGGACTTGGCTTGCGGCCTGTTGCCAGCATTTCCCTAACACCAGCAGAAGTTGAAGGGATAGAATCAGATTTACGCCTTGCCTTATCTGCACGGGTGAGACTTGGTTTGTGGTGGTCGTGGAAGTTCCTTTGCTTTGACGGCGAGTATCCCTGGGGAGTGTAGAGTGACATTTCCTCAGCCACTGTCCGTCTGTTCTCTGGAATGTACCGAGATCCAGAGTTATTATCCGGAGGCAAGTGCGCATTATAAACACTGGGAGCTGCAGAAGCAGAATCATCGAAGATATCGGTAGGAGAGAAATTCTCCTTATCTCTGGATCCAGAGTCATTATCCTTTGGGCGAGACTGGTGCTTCCGGAATAGAGAAGACAGGCTAGTAGACGACTTTGTCCTCTTTGGCTTATTCCGTCTAGGAGTTGGTTCGTGCTTTACCGGCTCCTTCTGGGCCTGATCCTTGTCCTTGAAGTTTTTATCCTTTAAGAGAGACTTGAGAGACAAAGTACTCTTAGACCTCTTATGGAGAGCTTTTCCAGGGGGATTTGAGTTATCCTGCAGCGGAGCACGGGAGTTTGAGGCATTCCTATTTGCCTCACGATCCAGATAAGGCTGCTGGTGGTGCTGTTGCGGACGATAGTGGGGGTGGTCCGCTGGGAGGAGACAACTGGCAGCCAAAGGGTTATTATGGTGAACAGGGCCGCCTCGAACGGCTGCTTCAAAGGCAGATTTGCTTCTCTTGTGTCCACCAGATGGGAGAATTGACCTAAGAGCCGACACCTTGGAGGATTGAGGGCGTGAATCGCTAAAAATCGACGGGGTCATGGTGGTTGCTATGGGTTTGTCTATTGTTGCGGTTAGCATCTAGATAAATCACAGTAGGACGGACGTCACAATAAACCAACCACACTCTGACGAGAACAGTCTCTCAATTGAATCGACAAAGAAAAGAAAAAGCAGATAAACAACTAGAACAGGATCTCGGCTTGCTTTTCTCTCTCTCTCTCTCTCTCTCTCTCTCGCTCTTGGTTGTTGTTCGAGGGGAGAGAGCTCCAAGGCTGGGTGACTGGCGATGTTTATGTCGTCCCGGTGAGGAGGTAAACAACTGTCGATGTGAGATCGAAAGGTGGAGGAGAGGCGTATAAATACAGATCCAGAAAAGAAAAGAGGAGAGAGCAGAGGAAAAATGCACGCTTGAAGGTCATCCGCAAATCATCATGGACCGCTTCACTTCGGTTCTGCGTCGCGGCGCCGTCGAAGGTCGTTGTCACAGCAACGGCGCTGCGGGAGTTGTTTGGTGCGAGAGTATCAAATGGCCGGGATCATGTAAGCGCTGGAGATTTCCTGCAAGACCGTTATATTTATACCGATAGCAAGGGAGTTATACACGGGTCTTCCTTCATTAATATGTCGGATATTTATTTTTGTTTACAGGGAGTCTTTGTTTACTTTTCGATGTCTGTGGTGTTTATCGGAGGGTGGTGTCTGTCGGTCTGGCAGTGTGTAACAGCGAATGGCTGGTTCATGGCAGACACGCCGAACCAGCGGGAGATGACAGGATAGACAGAGCATATAACATTAGCTGATAAGCAATAACTAGTTATGTACGGAACGATGCCTTTCTAGATGTTACATTTTGGCCGTAAAAATGAGGGTTCAAGCTATGGACACAAAGCGCTACAAAAGAAAGGAAAAGAAACGCAAAAGAAGAAAGATAACCTTGTCCAACGCCATTTATTGTTAAATCGAAGAGACAAGCTGCAGGGGGGTAAGAAACCGTATGTAGGATACGTTGGTCTGAACGTCTTGCCGGAGGTAAGGCTGGCATCTTGTCATAGCGGCCTCGCAGATCAGCCACCTGCAACCTCCTTCATCTTATTCTGCTCGGGCGGCTCATCAATGAATTGCGGAGGAGCAACTTCATCCTGCATGAAGGACGGTACGCTCTCCTCTCCGCCCATGGCCTGCTCGAACATGGCTTCCTCTCCCAGAGCCTCCAGTTCGGCGTCGAGGTCAGCCTCGTCCACGTCCTCAGGCACGTCATATGCACGACTGATGCTGTCCTGGATCTCATTGCCCATATCCATCAGGTCCTGCATCTCGTCCTGCATACGCTCGATCTGGTCGATGTCCACCTTGCCGTACTGCTGCTTGAGCGACTTTGTTGTAGTCTTCATAGCATCCACAGTCGTCATGACGTTGCGTAGGTTGTCCTGCATCATGCCCGCCTGCTCCATGTTCCAGGACTGCTGCGAGAGCTGGTCTCTCTGGCCCTCGTAGCGTTTCCGTTGCTGGAGGACCTTGAGTGCCTTTTGGCGGATGGCCATCTTGCCGGGTCCGTCGCGCATCTTGGACATCTTGCTCTGGTAGGCCGTCAGCTCCGCGTTCAGCGCGGCCAGCTTGACGTCTATACTTGATATCCGGGCATCGACCTGCTGCTAGTCAGCTTCCCACTGTGCTTCTAGTTACTCCGGCCTGCAACTCTTGGGCGTCCACTCCAGGCAGCAGTACATACACTTGATATCGCGCCCTCCAGCGTCGGCTTTGGAGCTGTATTCTTCGTGCCAAACAGGCGATTCATCTTATTAGTCTCTCTTTCCTATAAGCACTTAGTCTCTTCTCCTGGTATCTTCTGCTTCGTCCTGCTGTCTTCTAGGTTGTCGTCTTGCTTATCGCTCTCTCACTCACTCACTCTCTCTCTCTCTCACTTGTTGACGTCTTTTTTTGAGGCGAATCTGATAACCCCACGTGACTCGTCCTTCTTGTGGGGCGCAAAAACTTCGCGATCGAAAACTTCGAAACGTCGACAGAAAAGAAAAGGCGATGAAGCCGCCCGCAGTTTAACGCACTTCTGCTCCTCGTCTCTGCCTCGTCTTCGGCTGAGAGAGCGTCTTGTTGCCCAGGTTGCCAGCGTGACGTGTCTTGCCCCGGTGTTCCTTTTGCGCACTTCGCCAGCAGACGCCGCTAGCGCCGGAATCGTGCGATCTATTTCCCCGACAACGAGCAGTTCACATCTCGATAGAACCAGCGAACCAAGCACCACCACACCAACCGGAACGCGAGAACCGGAAGCTTGAAGATCTTGCGCCTTGGACGAGAAACAGAGCCCGCAGTGGGAAACAAAAGGAAGCAGGAAGCCCAGGTCAGGTTCGGGTGTCCGTTGTCTGGTGTTGTTTGAATATAAGGGCCCCTTTCTGCTTGCCGGGTACGTCATATATTAGTTACGGTACCCGTTTCAGTCATCAGCCTCTTCTCTCGCTGGCCTCCCGTCTCGAAGAACACACTCACACAACCCGTCTTAACGCACCAGACTAGACCGAGCACGGCGTCCAGTTGCTAACAATCCTGCTCTAGGCTACGCCCCGAGTTGACTACGTTGTTGTCTTCCCTTCCCTGCCCCTCCATCCTCAATCAATGCGAACCTCCGGAGCATCTTGGACTGTCTTTCAAAACCTCCGGCCGCCTCCCGTCAGTTATCAATTCTAGAATACTGTAACGCCGATTGCACCATCCTGCATAGACTCTTTGCTATATTACGATCCCGTTCTGGATTGCCTCTCTTTTTTTCTTTCATTCTTTCTGTTAACCGAACGAACAATACAAACAAACAACGGTTAACTTCATTCTCCACGACATCCAATATTGCTTTTCGATGCATAACGATTTCCATATTTTCTACCGGCATTACAATCTTTCATCATGTTCTGGAAATATGGCGGTTACGCGAATGTGTCACCCATCAACTCGCTGCTTGACAAAGCCGATGTCAAGGTGGAAGAGATCCTTGATGAGTCCGACTTAATGCAGGAGATAAAACAGCATAATACACGATTGATAGAGTACTTGCGTGACGACCATGTTTTGAGGAGACTGTTCGATCTTATCATCTCCCCTACTCTTATCATCCATCATGATGACGACCGCGAACACGATGATTATGATAATAACGAAGGTGGACATGACGAGACGACCGATAACAAGAAAGAACCCGAATCTCCCGAATCAACTGATGAAGGTCAGATCCAGCTCTCGGAGTTCCCCAGGATATCGCCAAAAACGAGTCGTGAACCCAAGGACCTGGACGAGGCTGAGAAGAATAGGCTGAAATATGCTTATATCGCCTCCGAGGTGTTATCGTCGCCTTCCTGGTCTGTAATCGAGGCCATGGTTGAAAATGAGGATGCTTTACGAAGCTTTTGGCAGTATATGTACAGAACTGGGGAATTGGACTCTGTGCAAACAAGCTACTTTGTAAAGGTCAATGAGGTGTTGTTAGACCAGAAGACAGACGCCATGATTGCGTTTATTATGCGTCTGGATAACATTATACCAATGTTGCTGCAGCACGTCGACAATCCCTTAGTTATGGACCTCGTCTTAAAGATTATCACTCTGGACAAGATCGACGAACAGAACGTAACAGAGGTATGTACATACACCCCCGCCATTCCGTTCTATATTGCTTAATTCTAATTCGAGACACAGTGGCTCCAATCCCAGGACCTCATCCCCACTTTCCTATCGTACATCTCAAACGATCACCCGCCCGAGACTCAAACGGCTGCTGGTGATTTGCTGAAGGCCATCGTCACCATCTCCGCTAATGCCGCCCAGAATGAACAGCCCTGTATTGGACCCAATAGCTTAACTCGACAGCTGGTCTCAGAACCCTGCATAAAGACACTAATATCTGCCATGGTTCAAGGCGGAAACCCCCTTACAGTTGGAGTTGGCATCATCATTGATATCATCCGGAAAAATAATCCTGATTATGATCCTGAGATGACTGAGAACCGCAATTCTACCCCAACTACCCATGACCCTATATATCTTGGTACCATGCTAAAGGAATTTGCAAGCCATGTTCCCCAATTTATGGAATTAATGAACAAGAAAAGCAGATCAGATGATTCTAAGCTTGACACTGCATGGGGAGAAACTATCGAGCCCCTTGGCTTTGATAGATTCAAGACTTGCGAACTTATGGCTGAACTACTCCATTGTAGCAATATGTGCCTACATAATGAATCTGGTAGCCATGGGGATATGCTAGCACGAGACTTGGAAAGGGAACGACTACGAGCTTCAGGATTTCCACAGCATACAGAGGACGGGTTTGTGTACGCGGACAGTACCAACGGGATCTCGGACTCGAGAATGGATACTACATCTCATGAAGAATTCAGAAGAGGAGAGCAGGCTAATACTGGTGAAGATGAACCATTCGAAGAAATTACATCTTCCGGTGTACTCGTTGATAGAGTCAAGGACTCTGAAAGCCCTGCTGAATGTGATACCAAGCCTACCGCTGACAATACTCTTTCAAGCATTCCAAAGTTAGGACAGGGAGATGACTTTGTTGATGAACCATTGACACCCCCGAAGCTAGATACCTCCAAAAATGATTCTTCAACGACTGAGGAAGACTCTACCGTCAAAGAATCCGTTTCTTCTGCGATACAGTCCGACCTGACCGAAAAAGTAGATGAAATACACCTCAATAAAAAGGAAGAAGATACGAGGGAACCCGAAGCGGATTACAAGCCATCTGACCCTCCCGTATCCGCACCGACTGCTGAACAGCCGGCTAGCTCAGAAACAATACCAACCTCCTCTGCCTTAACGACCCCAGAAACCACCCCAACACTATCAGTGGAAGAACATCCACAACCATCTCAAACAGAGGAGGCCACATTCGAAGAATCCAAGTATGAATCTGATCCATTTATTCAAAGGGAGCCTGACGGGAAACCTGTTGTCGGTGATTATATGAAGATAATGTTCCACGAGCACAAGGTTGTGCCAACGGTACTGGTAAGTACCCATGTGATGCTAGTAATCTCTGGGTTTCTTAACTGACGGCTACAAATAGTCTTATTTCTTTCGCTTCCCCTGGAACAACTTCCTTCATAATGTGGTTTACGATATCGTGCAGCAGCTTCTTAACGGTTCGATGGAACAAGGGTTCAACAGAGCACTAGTCATTGATTTGTTCGAAAGTGCCGAAATAACTACACAAATCATTGAGGCTCAACGACGCAGTGAAGAATCCGAAGCTAAGCATAAGATGCGTCTCGGTAATATGGGCCATCTTACTTTAATTGCTGAAGAGGTGGTGAAGTTTAGTGAACGCCACCCACGTGAAGTGCTTTCACCGCAGGTTATGGACAAATTAACGCACCCTGATTGGATTGACTACGTCGAACATGCCCTTTCGGATACCAGAGAACGCGAGAACGCTATCCTAGGTGGTGTGAAGCCCGACATCACTATGAGCCACCGTCAGGCAGTCCTAAATGCAATTAGTGCCCCCACTGGCATTCAAGGGACATCATCTGCTTTAGCCGACGCAGGTCTCAATGGAGGTTTCTCTAGTGGCTTTTCTTTAAGCAATCTCACTTTCGATAACCAGTCTTCCGCATCCGGTGGCGCATTTGGCTTCAATAGCAATCTCGGAACAGGGACCGGAACCGGAACAGGTGTATCTTTATTCAGCGGCTTTGGAAGCTCAAGTGATGATGATGATGAAGACATGGAAGACCGAACGGATAACCGTGACTCTCAATCAATTGGATCAGGCCTTGTAAGTCCAAAATATGGTGATGACGATTCGTTCGAAGATATTGATATGAGTGACGAATAGTAGAGGCCTCGCTTATTGCGCAGTGCCCTCTATATACGTGAAACGCTCCCCACAATTATTCACTTCCCTTTTCTGATATATATATACCAATATATCACGAGGCTATTTAGAGATATTATGTTATGTCTTCTGGGAGTTTCTATGACTTGACTCGGGTTCTAGTTCCTGCCAGTCTTTTCACCTTTTGTGGATAGTTGTGTCCGATCTCTATGGCCTCAGATATACTACATTGGATAAATGTCTCCCTGCATGTCCCACCTTTACATTTAAACACTTTTGTTTTCAACATTTATTTTTCTCATCTATACTTATATCGGCCTGTTCGTTTCCCCCATGAGCTAACAAGAGCCTACTAAACACAGGCAAGCATATTTGACAATTCAGAAACCCAGCCTATTCCAATTCTCCCACCTCCCCCCGCACCATTGAGTTCCGGACCGTCACGAGCTCGACGTCAACTTGCGGCTCGACTTGCTCTCCAGAAGCAACAAGCTCTCGACGCTGCTGCTGCTACTAACGAGAGCTCGGAGGAGGATGGTAAGAATTTACCCTTACATCTTGGTAGTCATCGAAGTTTCTTCACAGCTAACCATGTTTTAAATCCAGTCTTCGCAAAAGGAGAGAGTGAGGACAGCTCTGGGAATGCCATGCATGATGCAGACACGACTGGGGATTTAGATCACCAATTCTCATCTTTCTCTGGTTTCCAGGACGTGAGCGGCTATTCTGACAGCTCATCTGATGAGGATGGTAGTCTCCCTATGGAAAGCGTAGAAAGGAAATTCCGGCTACCAGTGGATGCGTTTGATGATGATGACGAAATGGGTGATATGGTTGGGCCTTCGACTTCTTACTCGGACGAAGACGATGAGACCATAATACAGGAAGCGTTAGGGTATTCAACTTTCTTAGACTCAGATCACCACGGACTCGATGGCTCAGTGTACCCAGAGGAGAGAGAACTTACCCCGGACTCAGCGAGAGGCCAAGATAACAGTGACGGGGAAGACGATGGACTCGTTGAGATATTGGTACCTGGGAAGAGATCAGTGACAAAATAAGCTTCAGCTCACCTTGCTATCCGTCCTTTACCTTCATCTTGAACGCTTTGGCGAATATCATCTTGCGAGGCGTCTATATCATCTGAACTCATATATGGATTTCCAGTCATACACCCCAATCATTTCTTGGGGTATATTCCTCAAAAACGTCTGTGTTAATTCATCACCCCCTTCTCTGTACAATATTATACCCCTGCAAATACTCTTTTTTGAGTATTCTTTTTGCTATTCCTGCTGTGCATACTAACTCGCATCGTTGTTGCGTTTTGTTCATTCAATGCTCTTCTTTGCTTTGCTACCCATCTAGTCGTCTTATTCCGCCCAATAACCTAAAATAAGAGGTGATTCTACGGAGCATATGCGTGCATCAAATCATTAGGAGATCGAGGTACTGGTTACCCCGAGGAGACGTCGTGCCTGTGTTTGAATATAATGTTGAAATGTACTTTCATTTTTGAATTGAAAAGTGGTCTTAATCTAAGAAGCGTCACAAAGTTTGTATTTCCACTTTAGACCTAGTTGGTTAACTAGCTAGATGGGAGCTGTGGAACGTAGAAATAACTATCCGTGGCCATGCGAACAGGTCCATCGAAAGGTTCCTTTGATATTATCTCTAACAGATTTCTTAGGACCATAAGCTCTTCTTCCTGCACCACATATACTGCCCATCTCAGCATATCTACGGACAGCCATTCATCAGACGGCCCAAGTATAAGATCATAAGCTTCTCGGGATTTTGCCTCCTTTATTGCCTCAAAAATTGTGGCTATCTCCTTTTCCACTTCTTCCTCTGTATTGTCAAGGAGAGTTTGTTGATGGTCCAAGGGATACCAATCAATAAGCTGAACAACATATTCATCAAGACGCTTAGAAAAGACATCTGTTAGAGTGTTGTGAAACGGCTCAGGAGATTTTATGACATTAACAGCCGCCTTGCTTGCCCTAAGGCAAATAAGGAGGAATAGTATGTATGTCACAGTATTTGGGCTTAGAAGTCGGTCTGAAGTGTCAACAACTCTGTCAACGGTGCCGGATATACCGCTGATAAATTCTTGAACAAGTTTTTTCACGTCTGATGGCTCCAAGAGTTCTAATATCTCAGCCCCGAGAAATAGTTCACCTGGCTGGCAGACTATGGACTTAGACCCCTTGATGACATGACCAAGACGCTCACGAACCGTAGGTGATGGGATATAAGAAAGGTATTTTTCAAGTAGCGTGTCCAATTCCTCAGGGCCTGATGTCCTAGCTCGAGTAATCGCCCATTCACACACTACTAGGCTAGTCATATAGATCAGCCACTCGGTTTCTCGGTATGTTTGGGCGAGTTTCTGTTTATGATTTGATGGTTGTTTCTGAAGGTAACCTCCACGTCCAATTTTGATGATCCGAAACGCAAGTTCAATCGAGCCTTGACACAATGCATTGAGAACAACACGAGATCCTGAATCGTGGAAATTTGCGTAGACACGCTCTTCAGTTACCTCAATATTCTGAGACTCCCGAGTATTTAGACGTGTCAAGCCGAGAGCATCAAGCAAATCCCGAGAAAATATGCGTTCTTCTACTGTAGATGTTTCACTGGAGAAGGGATAGAATATGTTAAATAGTAAGCATTTGTTGTCCAGGGATTTTCCGTGAGGTTCTTGAAATTCTTGGTATCGAAACTGACGAGCATTTGCCAGCGGGGTGTCTGGAGGAGCATTCACATTCAAATCTCGGAAATCACATGGATTATCGACGATACAGAATCCATATGTTGTCATTACTGTTGTATGTTAGCTAGGCTTGATATCCCGGGGGAATGACACCTACATTGCTGGTTATTCAGTGGTCCGTAATTATTATGAACTTCCTCTCCCGTAAAAGTAGGCTCGACGACTTTCAGTCTTATTTCGGTAGCTTCTGCTTGCCATTCAATTTTTGCCAGTGGCTTGTGATTTGAAAAATCAACTAAAGGAAGCATGATCTGAAACTCTTCTTCCTGTTTCAGAGATGGATGGTTGGAGAGATACGCATCCAGAACTCTTGATGTGAATGCACGCGAAGCTATTAGTGTATATGCCCAACAAAAAATATCCCTGAGGCACATCATTGATTAGTACACGATTCTTTCAATTATAGGCTGACAGTATTCTTTTACCAGGTGTATGATTCAATAGCCAAATAGCCTTCATCTCGTAAGATGGATATTGCTAAATCATACTCTTCTTTTACCGTGTTTCTGTATGCCCGGTGGGTTTCATACAAACTGGTGCCTTGTAGCCATTCAAGATCACTATCTTGGAAGAAGAGAGCAGATGTCAATTCGCTAGCTCTTGGGAGTGTTGCCAGGTATGGCCACCAGTGGGAGTCCCTTCCCTTCAGCTGTTCATGCACCATGAAAAATGCCAGAATGATGGACTTTCTGACCCTCTGAGCCAATATATCAGAACAGTGGAAATCGTGATGTGGAAGATTGGGATCCAAATTCTTCACATTTATTATCGATATAGTTGCAGAAATTGGACATCTTGCCACAACTGTTGAAGCAGCCAGAGTTTCGTTGCTTCGGACACGAAGGCATGATCCTTGCTTATCATCTCTATGGATTTCAACAGCTGGGTTTAGCCCTCCCCCGAGAGCGGTGATCCAATCAATCAATTCTTGATCGGCTTGCAGCTTTTCAGATAATGAAGCAGGAGGGCTGTCAAATTCAAATCTAGCCGATGGTCAGTTTACGATACATCTCCTTCGGAAATGCCAAGGTAATACCTGTCGTTCGCCATGATGCATGGAATGGGCGCAAAATACTCCACTATTGCTCCGTAAAGACATAAGTTGTATTATTAGTAACAATTCTTCACCCTCGGTTATCCATCATTTTTTGCAAAAGTGATGGTTTATTTAAATCGTTACTTCACTTAGTTCTGGCGGTTCGGTATCTCGATACTTAGAAATCATCATATAATAGATTATTCTATCGGTATAAGGGATTATTACATATGCAAAAAGAGATGTATGTCTAACCATGATTTCCTGCCAATATCTTCGCCATCCTCATTGTTTTCTCAGTCATTCTATGTCGTCCGTCGTTTGGCGTCTGGCGTCTAGCGCCTGTTAAGTGCGTCACGTGACACAACCAATCAGACGCTGCGTAAAGGAACGACTTTGACCAACATCAACCTCACGAAGGCCGCAGGAGTCGCAGCATCACCAGCTTCAAACCCGCATCTTCTATTGGGCTTAATTGGAGTCGAGCAACGAAGGGTGACCTGCCATCATGATCTCCAGAGCTGCCGTGGCTCCGCCAGCCCACGCCATTCCCTATGTCTCGTCTCGCGCCCTGACCTCCGCGGCCGCCGCATCTCTCCCTCGCTTGACATCTGCACAGCCAGCCGGTAAACAGTCACCCGCACCACAAAACCAGCAGCAGTCACAGCAATTAGCACAGCAGCAGCCACAAGCACAGCGACGAGGCTTTGCTACCGTTCAAGATGGTGCTGCTGCGCATCCACCACGGGTATATGGTGGATTGAAGGACCAGGACAGAATATTTCAAAACTTGTACGGACGACATCCTCCGGACCTAAAACATGCCATGAAATGTGGAGATTGGTACAAGACGAAGGAAATTATTCTAAAGGGTCACGACTGGGTGAGTTCATGTCGTTCAAAGTGCCTGGTTTCGGATATCTCATGCTCGGAGCGAACACCGCAAACTAATGAGTTTCGATAGATCATTTCTGAGATCAAAACATCCGGACTTAGAGGCCGAGGTGGTGCTGGATTCCCATCTGGTTTGAAGTGGGTATGTTCAATTCTCAATTTCATCGCACAACCCGCTTAAGGGCCCCCGAAGTGTATCATTGGGAGAATACTTTACAGCCTGCCTCGATTGCCTTTTATCTAACAATTCCATTTGGTATAGTCTTTCATGAACTTCAAAGATTGGGACAAGGATACCAAGCCCAGATACCTCGTCGTGAACGCTGATGAGGGTGAGCCCGGTACCTGCAAGGATCGCGAAATTATGCGCAAGGACCCCCACAAGCTCATTGAAGGATGTCTTGTATCCGGGCGTGCCATGAACGCAACTGCAGCATACATCTATATCCGAGGTGAATTCTACGAGGAGGCCACTGTTTTACAAAAGGCGATCAACGAAGCCTACGCTGCGGGCCTCATCGGAAAGAACGCCTGCGGTTCCGGATATGACTTCGACGTCTACATTCACCGTGGAATGGGCGCTTATATCTGTGGTGAAGAAACTGCTCTGATTGAGTCAATTGAAGGCAAGGCTGGAAAGCCCCGTCTAAAGCCCCCGTTCCCTGCTGCTGTCGGTCTCTTCGGCTGTCCCAGCACTGTCACCAATGTCGAAACTGTTGCTGTTGCTCCCACAATTTGCCGTCGTGGTGGTAAATGGTTTGCTGGCTTTGGCCGTGAGAGAAACCAAGGAACCAAGCTGTTCTGTATCTCTGGCCATGTCAACAACCCCTGCACCGTTGAGGAAGAGATGTCTATCCCTCTTCGCGAACTGATCGACCGTCACTGTGGCGGAGTTCGGGGTGGTTGGGACAATCTTCTTGCCGTTATTCCCGGCGGTTCCTCTACTCCCGTGCTTCCCAAGCACATCTGTGACGACCAGATGATGGACTTTGATGCTCTTAAGGATTCTCAATCCGGTCTCGGTACTGCTGCCGTTATAGTCATGGACAAGTCCACCGATATCGTTCGCGCAATCTCCCGACTCTCTGCTTTCTACCGCCACGAAAGTTGTGGACAATGTACCCCTTGCCGCGAAGGAAGCAAATGGACTCTGCAAATGATGGAGCGATTCGAACGAGGCCAGGCCCGTGAACGTGAAATCGATATGCTTCAGGAACTAACCAAACAAGTTGAAGGCCACACCATTTGCGCTTTGGGTGAGGCTTTTGCTTGGCCTATCCAGGGCTTGATCCGCCACTTCAGACCAGAACTTGAAGCCAGAATACGTCAGAATGCGCAGGCAAATGGAGGGAAGGAGGTCTTTGCCGGTGGTTGGGCTCCCAACACCCGTCAAGAGGGCAAGTTGATTGCTCCTGGACAATAGATGGGAAATGGACCCTCAGCTCGAACTGGTTTTGGGGGTAAAGGGTAAATCTGTCTTTTTAGCAAATGTATTAATCATTACAAGAGGACCACGCATTTTCACTCTTGCTCTCCTAGAGCCCTGTATATTGCGGATGGTGGCAACGCTTGATTTCCATTGTGTCATCTGTTCTTGTCATCCATCCTGATTCGCATGTTCAAAATATTTGTGGTTTGCTCTCTTTTTTGCGTTTCATATGTTTTTTGTATGGACTTATAAGGCAATATTCACCTTTTTACACTTTAGAAAACTTCCTGCCTATACACTGTATTCAATAACTGAAAGCCTAGAGAAGTACTTGTTTGGGAATTCATTCTTTGATTCAATACTAGCTAGCTGATCTATCTAAGAAAATTCGTAGGTTTTTGTGGCTATGGTCAAATCAGAGTGTCGAGTCGGGGATAGACAGGGGGGATTTTAGTAAAACAGTGTAAGGGGCATAATGAGATGGTGATCAGTGATAATAAAACAGGAAATGGAAAGGGTTAAGGAATTAGAAACAAGTAGCATAAAACGCCCACAAGGATCGAAAGAACAAATGGAATGCCGAAGTAGGCCATCATGATAATCTGAAAACTTCAGAGGGAAATTGGCCGACATATGGAAACGATTACTCGCTCAAGTGCTTCCGCCGGCCATGATCGCGTTATAGTAACGTCGGCTAACTTCCGCAGTGTGCGTGAGTCGAGCGTCCCGAGTCAACGGGAGATTGAGAATTGTGGAAGACTCGATGTTCTAGTTGATGTGTTAGATTCGGTTTGTTGATAATTCATCTGAGGCACGGCAAGACTTACGTTTCCAACATCTTTTGTAGCCCATCTCGCAACCAAACGGCTCATTTCCCTAAAAGCAATGCGCTCATACAAGCTAGAAGTAGCTGAATTTTCAACTTTTCCACCAAGGTGTGCCAGTGCCTTGAGCAATCGTTTTAGCGAAGCTGGGTCTCTCCATCCTCCCTTTGCATTCACTAGCTGGAGGAAATCCTGGTAAACGGCACCACCATCCGCCCAGTCTCTAACTCTGCGTTCTGGGCTTTCCCCAAATCCACTAATCAGAGAGGCAAGAGTATCATAGTCTCTTTCAATAACTGCTTTAGGAGCAACAATGCGGTAGAAGGTTCCGTGGGCCTCGTTCCAGTGTTTGGCATGGATGAGACACTCTACTTCGCTAGCAATATCGCCAACAGCTCGGGAGTGCAGCGCCTTGGAAATCCAAAGCCAAGCTGGTGGGACCTGAAGTTCCACAGTGAGATATGTCCATAGAGAACTTGGAGTTCCATTCTCAGCTGTTGGAGAAGGAATCAATGAGGCAAAACGACATAAGATCTCTTTTACACTCCGCTCCCGGTCTGAAGGGCGGGAAAGATGTAAGAGGACAAATAAAGCAGGTGCATATTGTTCAGCAGTAGTGAGCTCCCAAGACAGGTCCCAAGCAAGTTGGTCTGCTCGAGATTGGTCCACTGCAAAAACGTCGTGATGTCCTACCACCTTAGATAGATGGTGGAGAAGTTGGAACGATAGACGATTGTGCAACATGTGGCCGGAAACTGCAATTGGAGTAATAGCAGCTGGCATCTGAATTGGAGCGATTTCTGGGTGAGTACCATTGTTGACAGCGAGAGTATAAGTTTTCAGCAAGATCCAGAAGGGAGACTCGCGACCAACAGGGTCATCACCTGGCTTTTGGTTGGAGTCTTTAGTGGTCACAGTGAGTGGTTGTTGAGGTTCGCCTTCATGGTGTACGTCATGATGGAATAAGGTCACAGCATCCTCAATTGGATCATCATCTGAGATTCCATACCACAGACGGAGGCCAAATGCCTGGAACCAATCAAGTTCAAAACGGTCGGACATATTGAAAGTTGAGATTCGCTCTTCTGGGGGCCCGCTTGGTTTTCCTTCGCTGCGTAGGCAGTTGCCTGCAAGCAGCTCATAGATGGCCCGAATAGGCTCGCTAATCTCACAAGAGATACCGGCTTTGCGCCATGACTCTACCTGATCTTGCATAGCTTTCCTAGTATCTTCATCACGGCCTATTTGGGAAACAAGAGATGCCAAATGTGGGTTCCCAGAATCAATAAGTAACTTGCAGGCCTCTTCAACACGGTGGGCGCATAGGTAGGAAAAGGCGCGTTCTTCGGCTGTCTTGAGATTTCCAGTCTCGCTGGGATGATGGGTACGGATCATTGTTTCCCACAATCGACTAATGCGGTCTTTCTTGATGCGATGTTTATAGTTATCAAGAAGTCCAGCAGGAACACCCTCAGAAATATCATCTTTCAAATCATCATTGAACAAGATGTTAGCCAATTGCCACAGCCACCTCTCGTTGTCCGCCTCTTTGGTAGTGTCAATGACAGCCTCTGCTAAGGCTCCAAAATCGGGAAGGGCCAAGGATGCAAAAGGCACGTTGTCAACTAGGCGAACAATTGATTTTGTTTTCTGCAATTGTAGAGGGTTTTGAGCCTTGAAAGCATCACAAGTTAGTAGAAGTGGACAAAGTTTAACATGGCGGAAAAGTCGTACCTCAGCAGTTTCATGATCAAATTTACTAACGTTCACCAATCTTTTCTCTCCATAAACAGGTACCTCGGGTCTATTGTTCGGAAGCACAACCTCGTCAAGGACACCCCATCGTGCTTTGGTCGAGTGATGAAATGAGGCCTCAATTTCTGCCATTTCGCTTGGTTTTCCCGCAAACGTCTTTGGTTTCTTTGGATAAGGCCACTATAGTAGAGATATTTAGTATAGTTCCATCTTCATTCTTGCTAAGTACATATAAAGTATGTGAAACGAAATCAAAATACATTTTGAATTGCATGGTATGAAAAATGATTTTGGTTGGCAATGGGGAACTGGGGAATCAAACCTCTAATCCGCTTTTGGCTTTCAATGATTGAGCAGGGGCAGGAGACGCCCCTTGCCGTTTGGGTTGTCGGAACAGTGAGTTCATAAGATCGATACTAGTAGTAAACTGCGTTGGGCGCTCTTCAGTTGCTTTCGATGTTGCGGTTGGACTCTCATCTTCATCTCGGTCCAAAAAAGCCCTATCTTGGACCTCCCGGAGAGCTTGTCTATCTTGCTTTCGTGGACTGATAGTTCGCTGAAGCTGTTCCGCCCAGTTACCCTGAAGGTTAAGGTCCGCGGACTTTGTGGGAGTGCCAAATCGAGGCATAGATTGAAATAAGTTGTTCTTCTTCAAGGGGCCAGTCAATGTGAGCTCCACGGTTTGGTCAGGGACTGGGAAGGAACCAGCCATTTCCATATCCTCGTCCCTGTCCGATTCAAGTTCTGATGCAGAGGGTGACATGCTTTCCAGCTGTTCCTCACTTTCATTAGTAACTGAACCCGCGGAGCCGTCCTCTAAAAAAGAATCCTGGTCGGCTTCTTCTTCAGATTCCATATCTTCCGGTAACGCCCCCATTCCATTTACCCCCTGGCGAGCATATGCCCCCGGAACGGGTTTCTTTTTCTTAAATTCAAAGGTATCATCTTCCACACCGCTAACAGAGTCACCGAAAAGGGAGCCCTCAATACTCATTGAAGTATCAAAATTGCGCATTCCGGACGACTGCGTGGGGGTCTGATCATTTGAAGCGACAGAGTCAGGAGCAGCGTTTAAAGTGCTTTGATTAAAGCTCTCACCTTCATCCTCGTCATCATCATCATAATCAAGTCCATACGTCGTAAAATGAGGGACAGTGAAGACCCAGGTACCGGTCTCCTTCTCATAGTCGATGAATTCAGTGTTCGTAACTTCCTTGAGGCGTTTGATGTGCTTCTCGAACGTTGGCCCAGAAGTGAATGGCGATGGGCTCCTCTTGTCTCTACCACGAGGCCAGGAATTCTCAATGCGAAGAGTAGACGGCATGTTAAGGCCTTTGCCACGAGGGGGCTTAGTTGCCTCGTCGGGGTAAACGGTAATAGAACGGATGGTGATCTTGGCAATTTTGTCAAAGATGTCATCAAGGTTTACGGTGGTCAGGTCAACTGGTCTGTCAAATGTAACAGATCCACAACGGACACGGCCGACTGTAAAATTAGGGACCTGTTTTAGCTCTTCACGAGACATTTTGCTGAGCTCTGCACGGGATGGCTTCATCCAATATTCACCAGGCTTAGGGTCCACGTTGGGAACAATAACGAGGGGTTTATTAGTTGGGGTGGTGAGGGCAGCTTGCTCGCCATTTTCTGGGACGGTAGCTAGCTCTTTGCCTCTGACTTGTTCCATCTGTGAGGTTGAGGATGCACTTGGAGTGCCGTTAGGAAGCTCAACGCTCTTGGGTGCAGTTGGAGTAGAATTAGCAGAAGATTGTTTACGAGCGGACCTTAAGAATCCGAGCTCTTCGGGAGTAGGCTCAGAATTATCAGATTCGACACGGACAATAGCTCCATTGGTCTTGTCGGCTGAGTCTCCTGGAGAGACAGCGTCATCAAAGCTGACTTTCTTCTTCAGTTTACTAGATGGTGGTGCGGCCTCATCACCATTGGTCAAGGCCGAGCGAGAAAACAAATCAGTGCGAAGGTTGCGGTCGATGGTCAAGCGCTTTAGGCTTCCACTTTGCCTAGAATTGCCGGCAGAGAAAGCTCCAGGGGAAAGAATGCTGTCAGTCTCTGGGTCCCAGGTCTTTCGAAGGCTACTGCTACCAGTCAAGCTCTTGCCAAAACTTCGTCCAAGGCTACCACCGCTTCGCAAACTTCCTCCAAAGATGCTGCTGCTTCCAGGGGTGCTCGCAGTGCTGGAAGTGGAGTAGCTAAATCCATAGCCTTGACGAGTAGGGGGAGTAACCAGACGGTTTGCGGCAAGTGGGGAGATTTTATACATAGGTAGTGGTGTGCGCTGTTTTTGTTTCATGCTAGCAGACAGGGGGGTGGCTAGTGGACCTGGAGATGGGGTGTTAGGAGCAGGCAGGCCAGAGAAGATAGATTGGCTGCCATATGGGTTACCATCAAGGAGAGACGCCTGGAACCCAGATGGCGATGGCTGTTGCTGCTGTGGCTGCTGTTGGGATTGGCCAAATAAGCTGCTGCCGCCAGTTCCCAGTCCGCCAGTCTGCTGTTGTTGTGTATTCTGAGTAGAATTTCCTGGGCCAAAAATGCTCGAGGACGCAGGGGCTGAATTGTTTCCAAACAATGAAGAGCCTTGCGCAGGAGTTGTGCCAAACAAACTACCTGACTTCTGTTGTGTATTCCCGAACAGCGAGCTAGTTTGCTGCGCAGGCTGGGAAGTGCCCAGTCCAAATCCAGAAGTGCCTGTTGTGGTGGTATTAGTTCCTAGCCCAGTACCAAACAGACCTCCCGGCTTCTGCTGCTGTTGGTTTTGCTGGGTATTGCCAAAGAGGCCACCACTGGCATTGGTCTGCTGGTTCTGCTGACCAAAGATGGAAGACCCTTGCTGTTGGTTATTATTGCCGAACAACGAACTACCGGTGCCAGAGGTAGTGGGGGTACTTCCAAAAAGACCACCGCCCGTTTGCTGCTGTTGTGGTTGAGTTTGACCAAAGCCTCCGAATGCTGGCTTGTTTTGGTTTTGGTTCTGGCCAAATGAGCCGAATCCGCTGCTTCCCTGCTGGCCGAAAGTGGTTGAAGTTTGGGTATTGCCAAAAGGTGAAGAGTTACTGGTGTTCGTCTGAGTACCGAACCCAGTTCCTAAGGTTGGAGTGGCGGTGGTACCAAATCCGGTCGTCTTTTGTTGGTTATTGCCGAACAAGCCACCGCCAGTATTGCCTCCTCCGAACGCACTGGTGTTCGAGGTACCAAACCCTCCGGTAGTTCCGGTGGTTCCAAAGCCTGTAGAAGGCGTGGAACCAGTTTGGCCGAATATACCAGTAGCCGGTTTTGTTGCTCCAAACAATGGGTTAGAAGTATTTGATCCAAAGCCAGTGTTCTGAGTCTGATTTTGGGTTCCAAAGCCGGAGGTAGCTGTGGTGGAACCACCGAATGGAGATGAGCTGGCGGCGGTAGTACCAAAACCGCTGGATCCTTGTCCAAATCCAGAAAAGGAGCCAAATGCACCTGGCTGGCCACTGGCATTCCCATATCGTCTTCCTTGTTCATAATCGGCAACCCGTAATTCCTATGCATAGTCAGCTACATCGCTAGTTAAAGGCGATTATAGTTTGCTTACCTCGAAGGAGTATTTCTGATACGGGGTCATAAAGCTTATGCTTTGGTAGTTGCTGGTGTTTGAGGAACCAGGGTCCTTTTCCGTGAACGGGCTAAACGTTGGGTTGGCCGTACCCTGAGAGGGCGGGACTTCACCAGCAAGCGCAGTTCCACTGCCACCAAATCCTGAGGCAGTCGAAGTAGCTCCAAAGCCTGTTCCAGTGTTGGTAGCTGGACTAGAAGTTGAAGTGCCTCCAAATATACTTCCGGTTTGATTACCTGTTGACCCGAACCCACCAGACGGTTTGCTGCCGAAGATTCCACCACCCGTTCCGGTGTTTGACGTTGAACCAAAGCCACTTGTACCAGTTCCGAATCCGGATGAGCCGAACGCGGATGTTTGGGTGTTTGAACCGAATCCACCGCCAGTGGTGGTGCTTGTGGAGCCGAATGGTCGATTTTGGCCGCCGAACAACGAGTTCGAAGTATTAGTATTTGACCCAAATCCTAATCAAAGGGCACAAAAGGTTAGTACTTCCGCAGATGTTAAGGTATTCAATATGCATAGACAAATAAAGGAGAAAGGTAAAATTAAAAGAAAATTCTCGGGTCCATTGGCAGCGCCGGCTCAAGAATGATGATGATAATCTCTGGAATATTGATTCCGTATCTCGAGGTTGTCTGGTAGTAGTTCAACCAGATATTTTCAGAGTTTCGAGCCACACCACAATGCGAGATCCAGAAAAGAGCGAGACTGGAGGGCGTATATGCCACCAGCTGCCTTGGATCCACGGATAGAATAAAAAGAGTTGTATTCAAATGGATCGTTGATGAAATAGTCCGTCCCGAGAAAAGAAATGTTGAGATGACCAAATTTCAACAATTCCCTTTCCATCGTTTTAAAAAGCGACAAGGATAAAACAAGTCTGCGTTGACGTACCTCCTCCAGTCCCGAATCCACCGGAAGAGCTTCCGAATGTATTACCGGTGTTCGAGGTACTTCCAAAAAGGGGAGTCGATCCAAAGCCTAAATATACCAAAGAAAAGAGGAAAAGGCAGAAATTCTTGGTCAGAGGAGGGTTGTTCTCTTTCTTTTATGTCCGCGTGGTGTCAATATTGTTCCCAGCTGAGTTTGTTCCAGAGTCGCAGTTTTTATTCATCGTTTGCGCCTTTTTGTCTTCTTTTGATCTTCTTCTTTTTAAATTGTGGCGTGGCAGTATTTGTAGACAAGATTCTTATGCCCCGATGAAATGCATCTCCTCGTTTCAAGCTCATGATGGAAACAACACGAACCATAAAAAACAATCAAAGTAAAGAATCAAGGGAAGGGAAGGGTATCATAGAAGAAAAAATATAGAGGGCCTACCAGTGTTTCCAGAAGTATTTCCGAACCCAGTTGATCCGAATCCGGTGTTCTGCTGTTGAGTATTGTTGGAGCCAAAGCCCCCAAAAGAGGAGCCAGTTCCGAATCCCGACATCGCGTCTCGCGTTGTTAAGACTTCTAGAGAAAGCGAAATAGGATTATTGAGCCATGAACGGGCAGGCCTCAAAAATGCGAACGCAGCCTGGGAGGTTGAAAGGATAGAGAAAGCGGGTGGTCGGCGCCGTCAACTTGCTGCGAGGTTGGGCTGGCAGGTGAGGTCGCGACGTGCAGAGGCAAAAAGAGCTTGCGAAAATCGACAAAGGGACTAATCGAACGGGATTTTTTTCACAAATATGAGCAAACTATCTGCTTTCCCGTGCTTCAGAGGAAGAAACAGAGAGAATGAAGAATGTTTGCACAGCGGACGCTGAGAAAACGCGGATGTTGCTGCTCTTAAGGAAAAAAAAGTTGAGGTTCGAAGAGAGTCGGCACAGTTAGTCCAAAGGGGAGTGTTGGTCAGGTGATGCGATTAGTCATGCTGCTGCCTAATAAAACTTAAATACGATAACACATCGTTGTCACTATCCGAATTGGGTAAAGCGCCATACCTATCGCCGCTCTGCCGCTCCCGTCCTCGGGTAACTTCTCGACAGAGCCTCACCGGTGTCACATCAACATCAGCAAGGCAGCAGCCGCGAGATGGTTAGCCGATGACATAGCTTCCTCCTCCCATTTTGTCGAAATCAGCCATCCCGTATCTACCGTCTGTTAGATATACTTTACGGTTGCATAGTTCGCACTATTTCCAGCTGGCTATATTGTCAATTATCGTCAATATTTACGCGCAGGTAGCCAGTTAGCTACACAGGACGGTTTATTGATGAACAACCGTCCAATCCTTCTCAATTATCACAAAAGACGCTTCTACGAAGAGTTCCATCTTTCCATCAGTGTAGAAATACCGTTCTGGAAGCTAGTATTGTGTTCTTAATACAGACTGATGTTCTATTAGAGGCGAATATGCACTTTTTCAGCCACTAACAATGCGTCCGAATAGATGGTATGATGCTTGGGATAATTAGGTTACCAACATTTTACGACCTTTCATTATGGAATTCTCTTGGTTGAGAATGCTTTATCTAGATATGTGATCATGAATTCTGTGACTATTCTGTAAAGCACTCGTTCCCTCTTATCCCTTCTATTCTCTTCGAGCTTACTAGCTCGCCGAGGTCGGGTGGAAATAGGTGTGTCGTTTGACATGCTAAATAATACTGGGAGTGTAGTTAGTGGCTTTGCATCATGGGAAAGAGGATTTTTTCTGCAAGCCGGTTCTTTTTCCGTTCGTGGGTTCCTTGATTAGAATGATTGATTTCAGGAATCATCCGCAGAATGCCCACGCTCCAGGTCTTCAACCCACTGTTTGTAATAACTTTCCCACTTTGACTTAAAGGCCATTATAGCCTCCACCTCCAGTTTATTCCGTCGGTATATCCTCAACTTAGTGTTTAAGTCAAGGCCAAAGTCCACTCGGGCTTCTCTCACTCCCCTCAACTGTCGAAAAATATCCAAGTATGACTGTAAAGCGTCCATAGTACGCTCGAAGCCACGAAAGGTATGCCACAATGTCATATATAAAGGGTCAATAGAGAGCTTCATGCAGGAATCACGAATCAGCGGTACAATAAGCATAAGATTGTTAACGGTTGCTTCCTGCATTTCAACGGTAAACTGGAAGTGAAATTGTTTGAAACGTTGCCACGAGCCAGGTCGTACTGACAGGCAGTTTTTTCCGAGTATGGATATATTGTCGTTCCGTAAGGAAATTTTGCATACAAGTTTTCGATGGAGCAGATCGCATGCTTCCTGGTAAATTTGGCGATTTAGTTGCGCCATGTGCAGAATACTAAAGTACGTATAGAGTGGAACATATTCTTTCTGATACTCGTTAAGAATATATGAGAATATCTGTTGGCGGAGTTCAATCGGTAGACGGAAGATGAAGCATGGCAGAGGCGAATCCGCATGTTCGGTGCAAACCTGTCGTCTTTCAGACCAGGGTATCTTTTTGAGGCACTTGCGACTGTTCTCAAGCACTGCCTGGCAGCGAGTTACGGTCTCTCCCTGTTTCCGATGGGCCCAGCAGACGGGAATTTTGCGCGAAGCCTTGATATTCGCTCGGTTTTTGCATGGAACGAGGGAATGTGTCAGAGCTCCACAAGGTGGTGGTATTTTCTTCTCCTTAGGCGGTGCTTCTAGGCTCTTTTTGCCTTTGTGCGTGCGGCCAGTTCTAGAGGAGCTGGATCGTGGCATCCTGGGATCTTTATTGCAGTAATGGAAGGGTATAATAAGAATTCAAAGGGGGGGAGGATGCAGAAAGCCTAGAGTACATAGTACCGCGAAAAAGGACGCTGGAGCCTAGAGCTAAGGAGTCAATAGCGCGGCTTTAGGTGGGAAAACGCGCTTAGGTGAGACGCGTCGTTTAGTTCGGCAACTATTGATCATAGAGAGGCAAGCTATTTGAAATACGCATGATATGATTGGCTGAGCGAGCTTAGAGGCTATTCTTTCGAGCTACAACGTCAATATTGAACATCGATCAGGTCTGACAAACAGCAAAACGGATTAAATAGCCTTAAGTAAATCTTGCTCAGCTAACTGAATATTGTATAGCTATTTATATAACGGTTTAAAAGGCTCAGCAGTGCAAAAGACGATACCCACCGCAACAACATCAAGAAGATTCCAACTCATTTCTTCTTTGTTGTTTCATACATCTCAATGATTTTGGGAACCACGGTTGGATCCGAAAGCTAAAGAGTCATCAGCCACCAGTCACCGACAAGCTCAAGGTCTATAGAAGCCTGGGCATTTACTTACCGTCGAGATATCACCCAAACTGTCGGCCTCGCCGCTCAAGATCTTCCTGAGAATACGTCGCATGATCTTTCCGCTGCGAGTCTTGGGTAGGTCTTCAACGACATAGACCGCCTTAGGAGCCGCAAATGGTCCAATAGATTTCCGAACCTGCAGTACCAACTCCTTGCGGATCTCCTCGCCGATTTCGTTGCTTGTCTTGAGGGCAACGAAGGCGTTGACTGCCTGGCCAGTAAGCTCATCGTGTACACCAACGACGGCAGCCTCGGCAACGGAAGCTACATATTTGTCAGCCTAACTACTTATATATATATCGCCCTACTCCACATCAATGGCAGCCTTACAGTGTGTGATGAGAGCAGCTTCTATTTCAGCGGTAGAAAGTCGATGGCCGGAGACATTCACAACGTCGTCAACTCTGCCTCTGATCCAGTAATATCCATCATGGTCTCGGCCAGCACCGTCTCCAGTGAACTATTTCTGGAATCAGCATGGAAAAAAACTAATTTGGACTTTGCTTATTCAAGCCACTCACATATAATCCTGGGTAAACGTTGAAGTAGGTGTCCATGTATCGCTTGTGGGCACCCCACACCGTGCGAGCCATGCTTGGCCACGGTTGCTTGAATGCCAATACACCCTCTACATCGTTACCCTTCAATTCTTCGCCGGTAACTGGGTTGACGATGGCAGGCTCAATGCCAAAGAATGGCAGTGAGGCGCTCCCAGGCTTGGTAGGAGTTATTCCACCAAGGGGAGTAATGACGTGAGAGCCAGTCTCAGTTTGCCAATATGTCTGTATTGACTGATGTTAGACTCCTGCTTTAGAAAGCCAGAAGGATCCAATACTTACGTCGACAACTTGGGCCTTCTTCTTGCCAACAACTTCATAGTACCATTTCCAGATCTCAGCTGCAATTGGCTCACCAACACTTCCCAATACTCGAAGATCCTTCATCTCATGGTGGATATGCTGGTCACCGGCACGCTTGAGAAGTCTTAGTGCGGTTGGTGCAACATAGAACTGCGTGACCTTGTTCTTCTCAATGACGTCCCAGTATCTCGAGAAGTTCGGATAGGCAGGGGTACTCTCGAAAACGACTGTAGTCGCACCGAGAAGCAGTGGAGCATAGACAACATAGGTATGTCCGGTAATCCAGCCAACGTCTCCACCGCAGAAGAATCGGTCTTCCTCATGGATGTCAAAGACGTATTTACCAGTTGCGGCGGCGCCAACCAGGTAACCAGCAGTTGTGTGCATCAGTCCCTTGGGCTTGCCGGTTGAGCCTGAAGTGTACAAGAGAAAAATAGGATCTTCCGACTCCATGGACTCAGGAGCAATGTAGCTGGGGTACCTCTCAACCTCCTCGTGCCACCAGAGGTCGCGTCCTTGAGTCCATGGAACGTCTGCTCCAGTCCTCTTGAACACGAGGCAGCTAGTCACTCCAGGACACTGCTTCAAGGCCTCGTCGACAATCTTCTTGGTTCCAATGAGTTTTCCGCCTCGCTTGCCCTCATCAGAAGTGATGACAACCTTGGAGTTGGCATCATTGATACGGTCACGCAGCGAGTCGGACGAGAAGCCCGCGAAGACGACAGAGTGCACAGCACCGATGCGAGAACAAGCAAGGAAGGCAACCAGAGCCTCTGGAATCATAGGCAAATAGATAGCCACCGTATCTCCCTTCTTCACCCCCTGCTGCTTCAAAGTCCATGCAAAGCTCGAGACTTGCTTGAGCAGCTCGCCGTAAGTGATGCTGCGCCCTTCACCGGGCTCATCGGCCTCATAGATGATAGCAACCTTATCCGGATTCTTGAGCGCATGGCGGTCGACACAGTTGTAAGAAGCATTCAGTTTTCCACCAACAAACCAAGCATTATCACCTCCCCTCAAGGAGCCGATGTGCGTCGTGTTGAAGTCTTTGTCAAAGGTCACTAATTCCCGCGCCAGCCGCGCCCAGAAGGTATCTGGACTGGAGATAGACTCCTCATAAAGAGTCTTGTATTCCTCAAAGCTGTTCAGGTGCGTTTTGGTAGAGTGCTGGTGGTACTCTGCAGGCACACCAACGGTCTCGACCTGGTGGGCTTCCACCACCTATGCGCCAGTTAGCTACGCCGTCTTTTGTTCGCTTTCTCGCTTCTACAACACATAATAAACGTACCACCGGGGCCTTAGCAGCGTCTACCTCTGCCATTATCGTCTTCCAACGCAGACCTTGTTTGCGTGCGACCGGGGATGCAGACAATCGCGGGGTAGCGGGGTGCAGACGGTTAAGCCGGTGTCAAGAGGGCGTCTAAAACGAACACAAGGCCTTGCGCAGTACGACAAAGCCTTCAGGAGGAGAAACAGGAGAGGAACGAGGCGAAGACGGGAGATGGATCAATATAAGAAGAAGAGAAAGAAGAAAAGGCTCCAAAAAATGGATCGGCTTCTCCAGAGCTGAGTTAATCATACCCGAAACTCCGTCTTGACTTCACCATCTAACCCTCCGCACGCCAAACAGCGCCAGCCACATAAGTCGCACAGCAGCGCCAGGATCTCTCGCAGGCCAGGGATCCATGCCGCATACCTTCTCCATCCTCCTGCTTCGGCACCCGCTGTCACCTCCTGATGATGGTTTCCCGAGAGCGGCTCCCTACTAGTTCGCCGACTAGCTACATAGTTAACTAGTTAATGGTTATGCGGGGTCCCTCCATTCAACCGAAACAACTCAAGGCGAATCATACTACGCCAAATATAACCACGGAGCAGCACGGAGCAGTTACTCCGTCCAGCTTTTACTGATCACGATGAAGCCAGGACGAAAACCACGGAAGCGCCGAGACAAGAAGATTTATGGGATGCTGGTGGGATACGCTAGAGGTCCCTTGCTGCAGTGACACAGGCAAGCCACCGAGGGGCTAGGTAGCAACACAGCATGCAGCAGGGTTACATACATGCCTGTTCAGAATGCTGGACGGTTCTATGAAGTATACAGCTAGGCACTCTGCAATCTTCTGCAACCCATTGTCAGTTGATCTATCAGTTGAAGCTGCAAAGCATCTCTCGGCATCTCATTCCGCCTACTCTACGACTCCAAGTTTTGTCTGCCTTAGTTGGTCACTGTAGTGGATATATACGCCCTGGCCATCTATCTCACAGGTGTTATTCGGCAGTGCGTGGACCGAAAATCACTCGGCCTGTCGTTATTCTTGTCGTATCATCCATCCATGAGTATAAAGGCCCAAGTTAGATAAATAGTGGAATCTTCTACATAGTCAATACAGCATACTAACCCATTTTCTATAGCTATATAGCCCAGAAAAAGACCAGTCATTGGTAAGATTCGGATGATTCCCGCCTGCTCCTCCTGTGAATAAACCAAAGAAGTAATATTCTAAACCATGCCCCTACACTAATACCCCCCCACAGCACTCATCAACCACTAAGCCAAAAGGTTGAAGAGGTGGTAAGACATGCAGGCTCTTCAACTGTCCAGCTCCAGCGAGGGGAACGTATCCAATAGATATTCCTTAGGATGTTACTGATGCTTTTCCATGGGAAGATTAACCTATCTCTATATGAAACTCCGACTAGGTCGGACGGGTAAGTCCACTGCGGTGATTTGGGGGAATGAAGATGTATGTTTGATAAAGGCTTGAAGGTTAGATATCTCCATAGCACATTCAAAACTCGCAGCTTATATCTAGTCAAGCTTTCTTGGCGGCAGTTTTGTCCCGTCGAGGCGGTATTACTCGTCGTCATACGGGAATCAATACACAGAAAACAATTTCATGGAGTATCATCATCATATATCATAAGTCAATCAATCATAGGCCCTATCCGCCGATGATCCCTACGTTCTAATCTTGTTCCGTTTTGACCTTCCCCCAGTTATTCATCCATAGGGACCCGATGCCCAGTATAAAAATCATTACCTTGCCGTCCCTTAGAATGTCAGATAGCACTCGTCTGCTCGTCTTGAGCACACCGATCACACCATTACCGGCTCCATTGCCATCATTATTCATAAATATTTCCCGTGCCCCAATAAGTAGCAACTCGCCCATAATGAGGATAAGAAACGGGTTCTGCACGGTTGCGGGAGGCGGTAGTCGATCGCCGCCACCATAAAGATTAATAGTTGACTGCAGAAGCACCAAGAAATATAAACTTGTAGCCGTTGCAAAGACGATATGAGCGGCTTTCCATATCGAGTTGTTCCGTTGGGCGGAGGGCGAGACGGGCCCAGCTTTGGCTTGCAGAAAAATATTGGCCATGGAAGGGGAGATTCCAAGGGCCGAAGCTATTTCATTGGGAGAGAGCTCTGGAGCATCACCAGTAGTGGGCTGGAAGGAAGGTGTTCCCCCTGGAGTTGTCATGCCAGCTCCTGGTGGAGGCATACCAAGTAGATTGCTAAGAAGTTTTGTCGTTGGATCTGCGTTGTCTCCTGCCGAGGGAGGTGGCTGTTGAGATCGAAGAAGGGCCCTTATATACTCCTCTTTCTCCTTGATAGACTGTGGGGAGCTATCTCCGGTATTGGGGGGCATTCCTAGCCCAGTAGACGTTCCCAACGGTGGCTGTTGCCGTGGCGGCGATTGTGCGGGAGGAGAGGCATATCTTGGAGGGCTTGGAGTGTTTCTAGCAGATGGGGAATCCTCACGAACTATAAACACCACCATTAGCAAAGCTTCAAAGAGCGTAATTGAGCTGGGAACAACATACATGACATTGAACGGCCACTGATACCTGTTATCTTGTCTAATCGCGCATTTCCAGTGGCCGCTATCTTCGCAGCTCGCTTCTCCCGCCTTAGGCGAGCTGCTCGCTGGGTCTTCGTTTCTTCTACCTCAGCCATCGTTACGCTTTTCTCTGTCTTTCTCTCTGCTTTTCTCTCTGTCACTTGTCACCTTTGAGACCCTTTGTTTTATTTACTGTGAGTGACGTTAGGGCTGGACAAAAGATGTTCCACGTGACTGTCAAATTGACGCCGAATCGGGTTAATATAATCCCGGAATTCCTTGAGCCGCGGGCCGGGGGCAGGTCCAAGCGCGATATAGATAAAAACCGAGAGGAGCAGATTGGAAGACTTCAGGGGAATATCTTCACATGGGAAAATGGTCCGATGCGGATCATTTAACTGAATCTCGATCGTACCTTAGATAGAATCCTCCCAGATACCACCGCCACAGCAATTGATTCCAAAAATGACGATCGATCTCACATAAAGCCGGGATTGGGAGGGATTACTTCATAATGCGTTATAGACGCGAGGCCGCTCTTCCAGGTTTTCGGGGCCAGATCAGCGGCCTCCTTGACATGCCCATCTGCCAGATCCGCTAACTGTGGCATCTGCAGTCTTTGCCCAGTAAATACCAACCTTGGCCGTTTGTTTGGCTCGTGATAACACGAACGGCAAGGGCTTGCCACGTATGACGTCAGAGCCCAGACCTCCTTTCAAGCATCGATATCAAGGATATGGAAGGGCTTATATATAACGATTGTTCAATTAGAGTTGATAAAAAGTATGCCTTGAGCAGGTTCTGCCTTCTCTTAAAGACCCATCATCGACTCAATTGCTGCCATCGAGCAATTCCATTTAATACTTGAGAAAGGATTTTGAGATATCTACCTCAAATGATCGGTAGACCGCAAGGAATATTCCTACAATGACGACTCAAAAGAAGCCTGGGGGCTACTGGAGCGAGGCCAATCCCGTCCCTACCATACAGCAATTCATTGCCGAATTAGATGCTGGAAAGGCAGAGCGAGACAGGCAAATTGATGAGGAGGTTCGCAAGAAAACCACCCCGCAGAAACAGCCCACAGGGGCAGCTGTTCCGCATAGGAAGCCCGTGCCAAAGACCAAAGCCAAAGGCCGGGTGGTAACTGATCCAACTACAGGCACGGAGGTGGAAATTGACGATGTAGATGAGAATTTTATGAAAGCCGTCAGGGACCCTCAGGTAAGATTTTACCCCTTTTTGTATCCACGGATGGTTAAAGTGAAGGTTTTGGTATACTGATGATAACATGCCCATTAGTTATCCGTTCCTAATGCAAACCTTGGGTTGCCAACCGTAAGCATCATCCCATTGTATATGTTTTGCCTGCCTCATCCACGCTGATCCTGATTTTAGTCTGTTCAAACCAAACCGTCGCAAAAACTGGAAGAGTACAAGCATACTCAGGATATCGTATCTCCACCAGAGCCAATTGCGGCTGGAACTACGAGCGATGTGCCCATCCATGGGGAAAGAACCAACATACTATTTCATCCAACACCCTCAATCAGCTATGAGCCGATGTTCAAAATATTGGAGAAAAGGGCCGGTGTCCTATGCTCTGTTATCTTCGTCTCCATTCTGATTTCTGGCCGCTTTGCGGGAGGTGAATTGAAATGGATATTCCCGCTTGCCTGTTGTGTTGCAACGGGGGTATGGCTCTGGACTTATGATGTTATCCGTCGAGGACGGACATTTGAATGGCATTCAGAAAAGCTCCGTGGACAAACAGTATGTTGGTCCCATATCCTACACACTAGCCGAAGGTTCCTCATAGAAGTATTATTGACACCATGGTCAGGCAACTGCAAATCTCCTTCCAGAGTCCGCAGAATGGCTGAATTCGTTTGTTGAGATATTTTGGGGCTTGATCAACCCAGATATGTTTGCTACCGTTGCTGACACCATAGAGGATGTCATGCATGCGTCGTTACCTGGAATAATTGAGAACGTCCGAATAGCTGAAATAGACCAAGGATCGAACCCCTTGCGCATAATCAGCTTGAGGTCGTTGCCGGATGGCCAATGCTCAGATTTAATAGAAGGGCTGCGCAGTTATAATCTGGAAAACAAAGACGAACAGCAAGCTGCCGCCGAGGAGGAAGGTGGCCAACCTTACAACCTTGAATGTTCATTTGCGTATCATGCTAAACCTGGTGAAAACACCTCTTCCAGGGCACAAAACATGCACATGATGGTGGTTTTCTATCTCGGAGTCAAGGGTTTATTCGGTGTCCCCTTTCCTATTTTCGTTGAATTGTCGGAGCTCGTCGGCACCGTTAGGCTTCGTTTGCAACTCTCTCCTGAAGCACCATTTGCTAAGAGCTTGACATTCAGCTTGATGGGAATGCCACATATCCGAGCAGGCTGTACTCCCATGATCAAACGAGGAATCAACATCCTGAACCTTCCATTGATATCCAACTTTGTCAACTATGCCATTGGAGCGGCAGTGAGCATGTATGTGGCACCAAAATCAATGTCACTTGATCTTGGTATGATGCTTGGAGGCGATGATATCCAAAAGGATACCAGCGCACTGGGAGTTTTCTGGGTGCGAATCCACCGTGCCAAGGGCTTAAGCAAGCAAGACAAAAGAGGAAGCAAGGGCGGTGGAAGCGATCCTTACATCAACCTGTCGTTTTCGAAGTACGGGAAACCGATGTATTGTACCAGGGTTATTTGCGATGATCTCAATCCAGAATGGGAAGAGTCTGCAGCTCTTCTTGTGACCCCGGAGCTCATCAAGGCTGACGAGAAGCTCAGCGTCGAGTTATGGGATTCTGATAGGAGTACTGCCGATGATATCGTGGGTAAAGTTGAGCTGTCTATGCAAAACTTGCTCCAACACCCTGGAAAGATGTTCCCTATTACTTCTAAGCTTCAGGGTATGGATGCAGGCACTGAGATGCCGGGAGAACTTTTTTGGGAAGTAGGATACTTCCGCAAGCCACATTTCCGACATGCTCTTCGCACTGATGGCAAGGATGAAACACTCCCTAAGGACTTGAAGGACCATCCCGCTCTCCAAGATGAGAAAGGAAATGTACCCGAGCCCGAGGACGATGCTGAGGCAGTTACATGCACTCCTCCTGATCCTCTTTGGCCGAGTGGTATATGCACCATCGTCATCCATCAGGTTGTAAACCTGCAAGTTCAAGATATCAAAGGGACTCTCAGAAACCGAAAGGGCAACGAATATGAGGCCGCTAGATCTTATGGAGAGAGTACTGGAGAGGAAGGAAAGCAATTTCCAACCAGCTACTGCACTATCCACATGAACGATGAGCCAGTAAGTAGCGAGTTATCTCACAGGACTGTCAGATAATCTAACTGTTATTATAGATATTCCGCACCCGGGCCAAGGCAGTGTCCAGTAAGCCCATATTTAACGCTGGAACGGAGAGGTTCGTTCGGGATTGGAGATCAGCTATGGTCACCATTGCTGTTCGTGATCAAAGAAACCGGGAACATGATCCGATTCTGGGTATTGTTCCCCTTAAGCTCTCCGATATCCTCCAGGCTAGCTCTCAAGTCACTAGATGGTATCCCCTTGATGGCGGTATTGGCTTTGGACGTATTCGGATATCCCTCCTATTCCGCAGTGTTGAGATTAGGCTCCCGCCGAAGCTACTTGGATATGATGTCGGTACCTTCAGCATCACATCAAACAAAATAATACTAAAAAACTGCGCGTCCCGCGGTAAGATGAAGATCAGAACCAGTGGAGTTCATTATTCGGTACCCCGTTCTGCGTGGAAACCGGACTCCATAGAGGAAGATGGAGGTTTCTTCGACCTAACATCCGACTTGAAGGAGGAAGTCATATTGCCCACCAAACATCGCTATCGGTCTGCCATAATATTCGAAGTTCAACATAGCTCCGGCACCGCCTACGCCATTGTGTGGCTCCAGAACCTTGTTGACAACGAAGAAACGCCCGTCGACTTACCTATCTGGACAGCTAAAAATGCCTCGCGACTAGTTCAGAACTACATGACAGAAGAGAACTGGGAAGAAGCCAAAAAAAGTCCTGGTTTGGAAGACCTTGAGATGGTTGGACGAATCCAGTTCAGCTGTCGTTTCACCCCTGGTTTCCATCTGACCCATGAGAAGCTCATCAATAACAATGATTCCAGGGAAGCCTTTGAAACATGGGAAGCGAGTGTATCTGAAGGCGTACGGGGAGAGATCCGCTCAGAGGTCCCTCCAACGGTGCAGAGGTTACATGAGAAGTCCCTTGTCCAGGAACGGGATATCCTCCGTCAAGCCAGCGCCAAACTCCGGAGGCCTAGATCGAAGGACCGCAACTTATCCTCAATTGACGATATTATCCGACAATCGATGACAGGAAACACCAGCTCTCGTATCGAGGGGAGCGCAGCATCTGAAGGCCAACACGAGAACCAGAGTAGGAATCAATCTCGTCCAACAACAGCCGGAAGCGCAAATGCAAATGCAAATGCAAACACAAATGCAGATGCAGGTGTAACCGCAAATAGAACCGTTCCAGTACCCATGACGGCGGGCGGAGATGGCATGCCTGAAAGCCACAATAATCCTCAGATGATGGACTACGCCAACGGCCCTACCACTGAAGTGGTTGATAGACCCCTCGGAGAAAGAGAAACAGCTGGAGCTGAGGCCACCGGTGGTGGAGCTATGGCTTCTCATGAATATGATCTAGAAGATGGTAGGGTAGATGGCCATGGCGAGAACGACGAAAACGATGGCAATACCGACGCTGCGCTTGCTGACGGGGTCCTCTCAGAATCAAGCCACGAAACAACGGAGGAGAGGAGAGAACGAATTGGCAACAAAGAGAACCGACGCAGCGAATGGCGAAAGCATCGTGGCGTGATGCAATGGCGCCCAGCTCGTAATGCCGCCTTCGTCAAACACGAAGCTTCGTTTGCGATGAAGAAGGTGAAGGACAAGCTTATGGGCGACATGACGGGCCGCGAGCCAGATATTCGAACCGAAGTCGGCTGAGCCAGATTCGAGTCGGAAATTCTGGGGCTCTTTTTGCTTCTTTGGACCGAGTGAGGGTCTTTGCTTCTATATCCACATTCTTTTAACTTATTCACCGGCGTCTGCACATACTCCAGAATGATCGTGTAATGTATTGTTGGGCTGATAATCTTGACCCCGTGGTGCTATCATAAGTGGTAGGAGATCTGATGTCCCCCGGATGTTGTCCGTATCATCTAGCTAACCGTTAGTTACCATGTCAACAGCACTAGAAGTAAATGTCCATGGTAATATATATCTTTTCAATGCTTTCCTCTCATATGAGTGGGTGACGCTGGATGCAAGCTTCATCTTAGTATGTCTGCAGCCTCCATTCTTGAGATGGACGTTGGATATTTTTCATATTTGCAAAAAGAGAGACCCGAAAGAGGCGGTCGAAGTACATTCTCGTAGCCCCAGATATCGCCATGCTTGCTGTCCATTTTCTATAAATAAAACGTCCGGGCTTCTCACCTCGTATTCTCTTCGCCTTTCTCTCTCTCTCGAAGAGATGCCTCTTAACGAGCTAGCCTACCCGGCGAGACCTATCAAAACGTTTTCAAAACAGCCCACCAACGCCCTACTCGTCCCTTTTTTGTGGTTTCTTTTGATATCTCTTCCGTCTCTGTCGGTCTGTCTTTGACCGAATCAAGCAACCTGAACCGTCCGCAGATAAATGACGGCTCATCCAGCACAGACAGTCTGGAGTCCCGTCTAGAGCGATCATCATGTGTTTCAGCCTATGGCGGCAAATCTGCTCTGGCTGTCTGCCGTTTTTCTCTCTTTTCTTTTGGATGCTCATGGTTGATGTTCAAATGCTCAATCCCAGACCTTGCATGGCGCTTATCTTTAAACACAGACTTCCCCCTGTCCCTGTCTGTGTAGCAGAAGGCTGAAACGTTGCACCATCACGAGTCAATGATATATCAGTCTAATTCTAGCTCTCTCAGGGCTGGAGAACGGAAGGAGTTCAAATAGAAGGATTCTATCTTCACTTCCAAGAGCGTAGAAAAAGCAAGACGACCGCCAAGGAGGCCCTTTGCTTCCAGCCAGCCTCCATCTCGTTTCTTCTTCGGCTAAAATGCAAGGAGAGCCAGTCAAGTTCAGACTTGGGGGTCATCTTCGGTGGCTGGCTGTCACTTTCGGGCTAACACCAGCGGCTTCATCGTGGGGGTAATAATGAGAGCACGGTCAACTGTACGGAGCAGACAGCGGTAGGATAATATGCTCCGAGTAGACAAAATAGAGCAGTGTTGGTTCAATTACAGAGCAAATAGGCATAGATATGTAAAGATGTATCAGTTTTAAGCATCATTCAAAGGGTGTGGGCTGCTATAACCTTCTGTTCTCATGTTTATTTACCCCTGAATGAAAAGCCTGCCTGTAACTACTTGATAGTGTCCTCGGATGGCAATATCACCAGTCAGATTTATACAGTGTAGCTCTATTTCATCTGCTCGGGAGCAATCACGATCTAGCTTGCACAACTAGGGGTCTGGCAGACTATCCATTGTGTCAAATGTCAGCCTCTCGTACCCTCTTTTGCCCAAGATATATCTTCACCCTCACTTATGCCTATGGCTGAGTCGTTTTGGTACCCTGGTTGTCTCTCTACGTCAAGAGAGACATTTGTGTCTTCACAGCAAAATGGACATCAGGCAGCATTCCACCCAATGCGTGATATTGTCCAATCGTCGACACGGCAGTCACTCTCATGAAAAGACGGTCAAAGCCAACCGTGGTCGCATCAATATTTGTTCATATCAGCGGATAGAAATGAGTATTTCTAACCACTCTTGCAGTCCACCAAGTTTATCAAGATCAACTACTTAATCTGCCGAGCTTGGGGGTTGTTGGTCGGCTAGAAGACTTCATCTTAATCAGACTCCTTAGCCAGAAGATGTTATGTACTCCAATGCCAACTTAACAGGCTTGAACCTGAAAAGAAATCCCTCGCAAATACTGCGATGTTAAGTCTGTTTGTAGTACTGTACGACCATCTGGGTATATGACTGACAAATTCAGGCCCGCTGCTCATAATTTGCGAGTAGTGATTGCATAATCCCCGGTAAGCAGGAAGATTGCCCTGGGTATAAATCTAGCAGACTATCATCGATACAGCCAGAATGTTGATTTGAGAGATATTACCAACAGTTTGATAAGCGGCTGCACGGCTGGCTGCTATTCTTAGAAATGTGAGAGGTGGAGTTGGTTGTCAGCGTCTAGACGGCTGCAGGGCGAACTTGGAAGTTCGAACCGTTGGAAGTACTCCGGGCACACTCGACTCACAGTTAACCTCTGTTCCTCCAACAGCTTGCGCTTGCTTGTTTGCGTTGGGGATAGGGCGGTCGGACAGCTGCCTGCGTGATATCTCATTCTCCCCCTTGTCCTTGCATCGACCAAATGGACAGAAACGCACATAAGCAATCCCGGGGTGTGATCCAACATGCCCAGAGGGTGTCGGCGAAGATCCGCCATTGGTCCCCTGGGAGGTCAAGGGAGATGGCCGCAGCGCATCCTGCCCAGGCAGGCCAGTGGGAGACATCAGACGCCACGAAAAGGTGCAGGTTGGCTGTTCTCCCGAAGTTGCGAAGTTGTTGGTTACGCGTTAGTTGGCTGGGTGGCTGCCGTTGGTGTTGATGCTGGAGACTAAGTACACCGAAAGAAGGATATAGCCAGGCCAGAAGTCCCCCATACCCACTCCCCCCTTATTATGCTTCAGGCAAAGAACTCTGGGAGAACTTCGAGTAGCCACTTCGGAGAATACTTAGGCGTGATGGGGGAACGATACGAACGCCAAAGCCGAATCGTCGCCCCGAATTGAAGTGACGACGGAAGGTTGGCGGTAAGAGAAGCTGGACGGCTGTGGATGGATACGAAGTGACCGAGTCAGGCGAACTGTTAGGTGTTGATTTCTTTTCTTTTTGCTCTCTCTTTCTTTCTAAATATATACATAACTCTTTTTGTAAAAGAAAAAAAAATATATACATAACGTCATGCGTGTTTCTGATTAAAAGTAAGGTAAATAGCTTTATTCTCAATATTCCCAGCTATTGAAAATGTAAGTAAAAAAAAAAAAAAATTTGGTATTCGAAAGGGGAAACGCTACATGGGTATACAAGCCAAAGCTTCGTTTTTGCTCCCAGACTCCCGCCAAAGAACAGCAATAAAAACAAGCAAATGGGTGTTATGTTTCAAGAGCAGTGTCATGACGATGCCTCTCCCAAGCAGAGTGGTTAGAAGTAAATAAGGATGGAGAGAAGCAGTCAATCCTGAAAGTTAGATAAATTTATATATAGAGAGAATTGTAAGAATGCACGGTCGTCACGTTCGTTGGCATCGTTATTGAGTAACGGGATTGGACGAGGAATGACTTCGGCCTTCAACATGTCAGCCTTAAGGAGCCTGGCTTGACAACTGGGCTGGAACATATCCCGGAGCCTTGAGACGGAGGAGGCGTCATGTCAGCAAAGGCTAGAGGGTTGTCGTCGTTCCTCCTCTCAGTATGTGGCGTTGAAGGTACCTCGTACGATGCCTCTGCAGGGGGTGTTGCGAGATCGGAGCTCGGAGGACTGGAAGACTGAACATAACCATCTTTTATCGGCCCCAGAGTCCACCGCCATTCCCGCTGGACGGTCCGTTGGTGTACAGGCGTTTGTGGAGGTAAGCTGTCTTCCCGAGAAGGCAATAAGCCGTCTCGGACACCGGCTGCAAGGATTTGTCTCTCGCTGCGAAAGCTCTTGTGTTTTGACCGGGTCTGCTTCCTTGTTCTCTTAGGTGACTTGACTGCATTCTCTGACTCGTCTTCTGACGGAGTTGATCCGCTGGATGCAGAGTCGCTGGAATCGGAATCTTCCTCCGACGAACTGAATGTGTATGTCTCGAGTGGGGAACTCGTCCCAGAGGCATCTGTCGATTCAATGTCGGAGTGTTTGGTGGTAAACTTGACTGTCTTTATGATCTCGTCAAGTGGGTATCGATATTTCACTCGTTTTGTAGATCGGGTTGACGCTTTTGCTTCTGGGCTCCCAAGTCGTTCTTCAGTCTGAGCGGGTGATGGGATGGGTGAGTTCCTGAGAATTCCCCGTATGCCCTCTGGAAGCTTGTAAGGCGGCTCCGAAGTCCGGACAGGTCCTGCCATTGCAGGTGATGACGGCGCACGCTGGCGATTCCTTGAGGGGCCTTTTAGAGGTGACCGACATACTGGTGAGTTAACACGGTGAAATGACTCGTAGGCATTTTTAAATGTGTTCCTGTTGGTAGGGGATTGACAAGTGTTACTCGAAACAGCCAAAGATAGTGCAGTTGATGATTTGCCAAAGGTGACGGGAACACAAGACGTTTGGAGGGATAGTTTGGGTCTCTTGTTAATATTGGGACCAACTTGGTTCCGGATGGGCGTTAGAGGCGGTGCTATCGAGGGCACGGTTGGGTATACCGCTGGTTGGGTAGCCACTTTCAGCATATTGGTAGGAGGCTGGTGGTAATCTTCTGAAGGCGAGATGACGGGCGAGTATGCGGTTGCTGAAGAGTGAGATGAAGAAAAGGACGCCGGTGAGAGGGCGGTTGAAGAGTATGATGAGGATGATGACGAGAGCGCTGGAGAACTACTTCGTCCAGGAGAGGTGGCTTCTGGTTCCACTGATGTGAGGTTGATGGGCTTCTCACTAGCCATTGGTATAGTGATCATGGCTACTCTTGGGAGAGGGAGGATGTTTTTAATTCAAATAGCCAAAGAAGAGAAAAGTCAAAAAAAAAGAATATTGAATCTAAGAGAAGACTCAAGAGTCCGACCGACCCGACCTCGAGACCACGCGAGAGGCGAAAACCAGGACAAAAATAGACGGCCCAGGGAAGTTCGCTTCCTGCAACGGGGGGATCCGGATGTGGTAAGGAAGTCACAGTTAAAACAAGAGAGTTGTCATGAGTTGGAAGTTGTCCGCAAAGCACGCGAGGTAAATGTTGATGATATAGCGACAGGGGAAACAATCTATGATGATGCCAGTTCGAGTGGACCCATGCATTGTGAGAGATGGCAAATATCTGGTGGCGGGTAAATTTCTATTCTTGTGGGAGCTTCATTGGGGTGTCGAATTTCAATAATTGTTTCGATCCTGCCTAGGCGACGATCAGAGCGTGGCCGAGTAGGGAGTCTAGCTGAAGAGCGTTTTGTGAAGTGAGGAGGAAGAGAGAGAGAGAGAGCAAAGGAAAGGGAAAAAGGGAGAAAAGGTAGCGGGGAGGTTGAAGAAGCAGAACCAAGTGTTATAAAATGCAAGTTACCAGGGCGGTTAGCATAGACGGCCTCTCAACCGTCAAATGAACATGCATATGTAATTAAGAGAGAGCAGGAATCCTGATCTCAATCATCTCGGAAATTCTTTTTTTATTTTTTATTTTTTTTTCTGCTTCATTTTAATTTTCAGTTTGGGAAAGTAAAAATTTAAAAATAAAACGTACACGATGGAAATAGACAGAGGGGAGAAAAAGAAGTGCGAAGCGCCCTCACAGACCGAAAGGCACTGGGGCAGGGACAGGGGCCGGTCCTGGTGAAGGCGCACCTATCCGCCAATCGAAGGCAAGGGAAGCGCAGGTCTCTGAACGAATCATGGCAATCGCTAGCGGAGCCACCACGCGCTGCCTATTTATATATCGGCACCACTTGTGGAGGCATCCCTTTTTTTAGGCAAGCGTTTCAAGGCCTAGCTTATTGGCTGGTAGTGGCCCTATTGACAGATTGAGGAGAAGATCGCTGATTTCCTGTAACACAACGCCAGAGTATCTGTGAAAAACCACTATTAGCATACTGATCGAGAGACAAGAGGAAATATAATATAAATAAACGAGATAATGCTCCCACGATACGAGGACGAGGTTATCCTTCTCTGATCCTTCTTGAGGAGAAACTGCCTCTTCCACCATGTTGGGTAGCCACCAGCGGTTCTATCCTTGCAGAATACGAACTCCAGACTTCTGTTGCGTCAATACGAGAGAGAGCCCTTATCCATATACGTACATACTCCGTCCCTGCTATTAACGCTCCAGACCCCGTGCATGCCCAGGTATCTCAGGAATCATTCTTTGCCCTCGCCCTGTGTGAGAATAAATTAACTGCCGTGTCTGATTCTGAATCTGAGACGACAGGTTTAGGTGAATATTGTTTGGAGAACTGGCAGCAGAAAGGCTCTCGGGACGGTGGTACAGAGCGGGGCGATCCGTTCCCATCCACCTGAGTTACGACTTTCGTCAGAATAGAAAAATGAGTGTTGAAAAAGGGATGCCTCCTTTTGTCTTGGCTTCTCATGTGCGGTCTCTCATCGCTCCCCACTGCTGAGGTCTGGTCAAGTTGGGTTTTGCTCAAGATCAGAGCGTCATCAAGAAGGGTGGGCATCACTGGCAATACTGTCAGAACGCAGAAAAGCGTCACCTGTAACAGAAGAAGCGCGAACGCCACCCATTTCTTTTTTCCTCTTTCCATCTTATCCTACTCGTCTTTGCCAGTCTATAATATCTTCCGAACAACCGAGGACTTCATGGACTCTTTGCATGGAAGAAGTTGGACTTAACTCATCTGGGGGCGTTGGGATGATGACCATCACGTCCAGAAAGCCATGGTGTGGTTCCTCCCCAATCTGGACAAGGACCAGGATTTGTGACAGGTGCGTAAGCTTCGCGGACAAGAGGCCCTATCAGGTAAAGGTCTTGAGCCAAAGCCCGTTGCCTTTGATTTATCCTTTCTCTCCCCCGCCATCCGCAAACATATAATCTTCCCGCAATTATATGCAGCGTGTATGCATCCATCTTCTGGGTCGGGAGGACAAATTCCCTTGGTCTTTCGGAGTCTCTCCACGGCTTAACTTGCCAATGAGGTGAAGTAGCCTGTCATGGGAGGTGATCAGTATCTGCTGCACAAGAGAGCATGCTGTTAAGAGAAACACCTAAATCAACACCCATGTCTGAACCGCTTTTTCCTCCGATGGAAAAAGCAAGTGGCATAATTCTGCATACCACGGTATATCCTCCTTCATTTTCTTTAGGCAGTTCATTTGCTGTCCCCTCGGATCATACCTCAGCCATGCCCACTAGGACGCCAGAAAAATAAGCACTTGCTTCGGGACCGAGAGCTGTCCCGGACTGCATAAGGAACTCGTCCGTCCGTCTCTAATTAAAGCCCTGCAAAGGTGACATGACGATGATCTGATGCATATTCCGCTATTTCTGGCTGACGGTGACGGTGATGATGATGATGACGATGATGATGATGATGATGATGTGCAATTGACGTTGTGTGAGGTTGAAGTTGATGTTCTTGTTTTTTTTTTCTCTTGGTTGTTGAAGCCAAAAAGAAAAATAAACACACAAGTCTGTGCGTTGTCCTAATCAGGCAACTCTCAATGTCAGTCGTTGTTTTTACACCAAAAATCGAGACTTTGGCGAGATCTCATCGCAGTTTTCGGTTCTCTTGCTTTGTTCCGCTGGCATAACAGCGTGTTGCTGCATTTCTACAGGTTCGCGCATCAGCCTGTCGTCAAGAGATGGCTACTCTGACTCGGAAAAGAGATGCAATGTCCTTGTCCCTGGGACCACTCCCTGCCTGGCCTATATTCTTACCCCTTGCGGGAGAGAGTGGTGATGGGAAGAAACGGCAGGTAAATTCGCTCTACGGAATACAAGGATTCATCATTTATGCATAAATCTAGGTGTTGATTTTGACAACTCCGTCATGATGGTGGCAAAACAAGTAAAACAGTAAAACTCTGCCCTCGAGTCCTTCAATTAAGAATCGGTTAGTGATTAATTTGGAGTATAGATGAGAATGGTATCACTCAGCAACATCCCCTCGGTCATCATTATGGCGAAAGTCCACACCCCATCCACCTTCTTCGGCGCAACTGGCTCAATTCTCATAGGTCGAAAGCACTCTTCGGCTCTACCCCTTGCCCTCTCATGCATCATTGTGCATCTCTTCACTTTACAAGGAAAAAAATCGCCCTATATGAGTGGAGCAAGCGACGAAATATAGTCATCTCGTTGAAATGGAATTTAAAAACGAGGAAATAATAATAATAGAAGGGTTCATATATGCAATGCCAAAATCCCCACTTTGTGCACAGCATAGCTGTCGATCATATGAAGAACAGGCTTTCATTCGACGCTGCTAGCCACTTATTTTTGCATGGATGGCTATCGACAAGAGTTTAACCCTTCCCCTTCATTTTTAACATTAAAATCCCCTCCTGTGCCCTTTGGGAGCAGATCAACATACAGGGCGGGACGATCGAGGCGCTTTACCATTTTCTGATGGGGCCCACGATAAAGATATTATTAGTATTTCAGCCGACCTTAATCTCGGTCCAAGGCAGCGCGCGAGACTGAAACTCCTTGTCTGGGAGTGGATTTTCAGCAATAGCCAGCCGTTGAGACGTGATGATGGTTTCAACTGGCCTTCATTTCTAGGTTGTTGCCTCTTAATATTTTAATAGGTATGATATTGGGGCCATGGCTCGTGCAAGGAGGAATCAAGGATAGCGTGTGGGAAGGCATACGCAGAGCAGGAAAGAAACCTCCGGTTGGCCGTTATGTTTGGAGAGACGAATCGTCAAAAGTAATTCGTTTGACGAGAGTCTTGGGGCGAAGGATATAACTCCCGATGTTATACTCCGTCTTCGTGAAGCTCCATCCAGCTCGTCTTCCCATTCTACCCCCTGCGCCTTGCTAATGAGCTTAGCTGCTTAAGTAAGAGGAGCCTTGCACTTCGGCTTTCTCCGTGCATTCGAAGGTTTCTCGGAATTCTTGACGTTTCATTTTCTCGCAGTCTAAGAGCGCCTTATATCTCCATTCCCTGCGAGGCAGACGGGAAGACATACCTTTCTCGCCGCCGCAGGGTGTCATCGACCTTCTGGGGCATGGTCCAGATTAGACACTTGACGCACACCCAGTCTCGCTACCCGTCTCGGCACTGCAGGAGACGACCAGAAGAGAGAGAGAGAGACAGAAGGGGGTGGGAAGAAGATAGGCCGAGAAGCAGCCTGGGGAACTAAATTTGTGGGAGGGTGTAGGTTGATCCATTCAACCGTGACTTCCTGCCATGTATGTGTGCATGTAAGTAACCAAGTATATCTGATGCATGGCCTGGTTTGTGTCGAACACTTTCCAGGCCACCCGTCCTCGCCCTTACCGTGCCCGCAACCGGGATGATATGACAAACTAACAGGCACAAGGCAGTGGAGGAGGCCGGGGAAAACATCATGGCGCCCTCTGTGCAGAAGCAAGGGGTTCCACGGATAGACCATAGCAGGGTCATCTTACATTTTGTCAGCATTCCCTCATGCCAGATTGTTTGCCCTTTTTTTTTTTTTTTTTCTTCGCCGTCTTCGATTTGCTTTGTCTCCGTTTTGTTCAACTGGATTTGCCTGGTCTTGTTTATGTCTATCCATCACCTTAGCCAAGGATAAGGAGGTGTCACGATGGTGTATTGTTCCCCATAACTCTGCATCGCTGCAACTGGTTGCCGGGGAGTGAGAACAAGACTTTTCTGTCATGCCTCCCGGTGGACCTTATATCTGCATACCCTCTTGTACCCAGCAGATGCAAATTCATTCCAGCATTCCCTATTTGTTCATCCTTTTCCCGAGACATAAATCTTTCCCGTGGAGATTTTATATCCCCGTTCCCGGACAACTTTGACCGCTTGTTAACGCATTAAACATAGGACTACGATTGTTTCTATGCCTCTGTCTTTGAAGCAGAAAATCCTGCTCTCAAGTCTTTACCGCTAGCTGTGCAACAGAAGCAGATTGTAGTGACCTGCAACTATGAAGCGCGGCGGAGAGGGTTGCGGAAACTACAACTTATCAAGGATGCCAAAATGATATGTCCCGAGGTTGTCATTGTACTTGGCGAGGACTTGACTAAGTTCCGTGATGTGTCCAAGGGTCTCTACTCCTTCTTGAATTCACTCATCTGGGGTAATCAAGCCGAAAGGCTGGGGTTCGATGAGGTGTTCCTGGATGTTACCTCGATGATAGATTACAATCTCCAGTGGTTAGCACCTGGTGTTAGGAATTCTTTCTTCCTGCTGGATAAGGATGACTTTACTGTTGGCTTTGAGTATGATCCAACGGTATATTGTGGCCCAACATATCCTTCGTTGGATGACAAGCTACAGCCGGGGCGCGGGTCATCGCCTTCAGACCTTGGACAGAGATTAATTCTCGCTTCGCACCTGGCCAACTATATACGGAAGCAACTAGAGGAGAAACATGGCTATACCAGCACAGTTGGGATATCTACTTCCAAGCTTCTCTCAAAGTTAGCTGGTAACGTCCACAAACCAAGAAATCAAACGACACTTATACCGCCTTTTTTGGATGACGCAGATCAGAGTGATAGTTATATCACTCAGTTTATGGATGACCATGAAATAGGCAAAGTCCCAGGCATTGGATTCAAAATCGCTAGCCGCATAAGAGCGGCGGTACTTGGCCGTGAAAATGACTTGGAGCTGTACAGAGAGCTTAGAGAGGATGACAAAGTGACTGTCGGTGCTGTACGAACATTCCCTGGCATGGGTCCTCTGATGCTAGATAAGATACTATCAGGCGGAGGATGGCCAAAGGATAATGGAAGTAGAATATGGGAGTTGATTAATGGCGTTGACCATAGCGAAGTTGCAGCAGCGCGTATGGTCCCTACGCAGATTAGCATCGAAGATTCGTTCCGTCAGCTGGACACACTGGATGCTGTGAAGAAAGAAATGCTTCCACTGGCAAGTAGCTTGATACGACGGATGCACACTGACCTAACAGACGATGATGAAGAGGACAACGCAAAGGATCAGGTTTCTGGGCTGCCAGAGAGAAAAAGACGGTGGCTAGCACATCCACGAACGTTGCGGCTATCTACACGGTCTCGGGTCCCTCCCAGCAGCACAAATCAAGCCCAGTCCCTATATAATAACCGCATCTCTAGATCCTGCCCAGTCCCACAATTCATTTTCTCCTTCAACGAGGATGTGAACGCCATAGCTGAACGCCTGGTTCATGAAAGTCTGATACCGACCTTCAAAAAACTTCATCCTGAGAAGTCGGGCTGGCGCATCAGTTTGATGAATGTTGCTGTGACCAATATGGTGGATAGCGCAGGGTCAACGAAGAACAGCGCTGGTCGAGACATAGGGAAGATGTTCAAATCGCAGAATCAAGTCCTTCGGGAATGGAGGATTCATGATACAGATGTTGATACTGGCGGTCATGAAGGGGGCACCATGCAAGATGGAAAAGAAGTAGAGGAGCCGGCTGGTGATGAGATATGGGAGGACGATGTGGATTCTGTGATGGATACGGGGACGTCTTGTAGTGAATGCTATATATGCGGTGCTTCTATACCCAGCTTTGCACTGCAGGCTCATGAGACATATCATTCAATCACTGATTAAGGGTGATTCTACGTTATGATGTAAAATAATCTAGTTAGCGAGCTTATATGGTTCAAATGGCCGGCCATATAAGCCTGTCTCAAGATATAAACCATGCTTTCAACAGTATCTTCTTCCCTAGGCCATATTTTGACCTATAATTAAATTTACCGTTGAAACACGGTACTGATGAATCCCAAGGCTTTATTCGACTCGTTTCTCAGTGGTTCCCGTAATACAACTTTCATGGTCCGTCTATGTGCCATCCGCTTTGATATACGGGGGCTACCAAATGTAACAAGCCATGCGTATAGCCCGCCCCCCATCGACTCGATATTGGCTAGAAACACTTTCACGACAGCAGTGAGAAGAGAGAGAGGGACGAGACAAGAGGCGAGGCTTAATACTATGCCTCTAGCCAGCCTTTCGTCCGTCAATCAGCGAAGAACAAGGCTGGCCGCCGTGAACTGCACTGGAATCCTCGTAACCAAATCCTCCGTCTGAGCCTCAACAGCGAGCTTTTGATTCTTCATCACCCTCTTGTCTCATTCATCTGGTTAAGTTGAACCGCCAGCCAGAATGTAGACGGAGGAGAGATGCTGGTCGCTGGTCCAGGAACCCGGGCTTGACCAGCCGGCATCAGTCAACACCAGCCACCGTATGCAGATTATTATCTCCAGCACAAGCACCACCGTCGGCTGTCCATCTCGCATGTTGACAATCGATTCAACATCCAAAGCCCGCATAATTGCTTTTGGCTGTCGTCTTTTCGTGTGTGAAGGCAGAGGGTGTGGACGCCATGCGGTGCCACATCAGAAAGGACGCGCATCGCACTGGAGGGTTCCAGGGCAAAAGAGAGCGAGCTGCGCCTCAGTGATTCCATCGCTACCAGGAACACCGTCGAACATCGAACACCGGCCTGCATCGTCGTTCGCTGGCAGCTGGCCGCTTCTTCTTGTCTCGTGTCTTGTCGAGCTCTTGGTCGGCTCGTCCGGAGGAGGCTGGGGGCTTTTGTTCTGTCAGCGCTTCTTCTTCTTCGCCCTCCGCCAGGCAAACGGACACGGAGACATCCAACTCGACTCGTTTGCGCGTCTGACAACTTTGCTGCTGCTGGCTCTGGGGCTGATGGGCGGCTGAACGAGGAACATCTTCTTATCCTCCTTCTTGTCATATTCCTCATCCTGTCGCTGCCGCTCGCTCGCTGACCTTGGGGGGGGAGACGCCCTACGGAGTACTTCTACCGCAACATCGTCCGCTCTCACCAAGGGGTACAGACGGAGTACCATCTTCCATCTGCATCTTTCTCTGCCGCCGGTCCTATATCACGATCTCGCTATTATTAGGACTAACGCGTCATCATCTCCGGAGTTATCAGAGACCAATATTTATACATTTTAATTTCTTTCTTTTTTCTTAATTCCTTCGCACTCGTTGAACAGGCCGGTATAACGCATAAACAATACATGAGCAAGAGGCCCTGAGTCTCGATAGCGGTTGGGAATGAAAGCTTTTAGCTGTCTGCTTGCTGTGATAGCTACGGCAGCCTCGCTCTTTCAGCATGTCGATGGTACTGACTCCCTCTGTCTCTTTTTCTCCCCCCCCTCTTGATGGAAACACTGCTGACTGGTAGTTGCACGCAGCTCGGTCTCATGCAAGAGACAAACTGAACAATATCTCCCGTGTTGAGCGGTCGGTCATACATACGCCATCTCGCCGTGTTCATGCCCATTCGCATTTTGACCTCACTTTCGATCTTTATCCCAGGAGAAACCGGATAAAACTTCAACTGGAACCGAACCATGATGTTCTCTCCCACGATGCGCGAGTGACTTTTCTTGACACAGATGGGAATGTTGACCGGATAGAACGGATAGAACGGAGGGATCACAGTGTGTTTAAAGGATGGGCTTGGACGCAGGCAAAATCAGGGGCCTGGGAGCGGGTTGGATGGGCTCGAATCATTATGCACAGAGACGGAGAGGATCCTCTGTTCGAAGGCGTCTTTACCGTCATGCATGACCATCACCAGGTCATCGCAAAGTCGAAATATGTACGCAAACGGCACCAGCAGGATCCGCCGTTGGACAACACCCCCGGCGAATATATGCTTCTTTTCCGAGGGTCAGATATAGCACAGACCCAAAGCACGGGGAACGTCGAGCGCTCGATCATGTCTTCGCCCTCTTGCGATGCTGATACTCTCGCATACGACTCCAATACCAACTTTATGTTCCCTCCTCTGCCGGAGGAGAACAACACCAGTATATGGAACTATTTCACGACAAGTATAGGGAAACGCCAGATGACTGACACAGGCGGTGTCGTCCCTGGGTCTCGAGATCTAAAGGAAACCATTGGAAGTACAAGCGGCTGCCCCAATACCCGGAAAGTTGCCTTGATAGGTGTTGTTGCGGACTGCACATATACCAACACATTTGCCTCGGAGATGGATGCGAGAGCCGACATCATTTCAGTCGTTAATGCTGCCTCCGTTGTGTACGAGCATTCATTTAACATATCCCTTACTCTTGGAGAAATCAACATCTTGCCCAAGAACTGCCCGGCAACCGCATCGTCCGCAACTCCCTTCAACCAGCAGTGTGATGACCGTGCTGGGGGCGGCTCCTTTACTCTAGCAGACAGACTAAATACATTCTCTGCCTGGCGTGGAAAGAAGACGGATGACTTTGCATTCTGGACTCTGATGACAGACTGCACTACTGAGAATCAAGTTGGGCTAGCATGGGCTGCCCAGTTATGCGTCAAGGGTGTTCAGGGAAACCCAGATAGCCGAAACTCCAGTTCTCAGGCTGTAGCTGGTGCTAACGTCGTCTCCAAGACGGATAACACCTGGCAAGTCTTTGCGTAAGTAGATGCCTATCTTCCGTATTAATACTGTATACGCTAACTTGTCAATAGCCACGAAGCTGGCCACATATTCGGAGCAGTTCATGACTGTGATAGTATGCTCTGTCAGAATTCGGCGAATCCAGATAACTCCAGATGTTGCCCTGCAACTGCATCCACATGTGATGCAGGCGGCAGGTTCATGATGAACCCAACATCTGGAAGCCAGATCACCAACTTCTCTCCCTGTTCAATAGGCCAGATATGTTCTCGAATGGCAAGACGTACCATCCTAACCAACTGTCTAACCACAAACCGCGGTGTTGATACCATCTCAGGCCAGCAATGCGGCAATGGCATTGTCGAAGATGGTGAGGACTGTGACTGTGGTGACGAAGAGAGCTGCAAAGGCAACACTTGTTGTGATTCCAAGACCTGCAAATATACTTCCGGGTCTCAGTGCGATGACACAAACGAAGAATGCTGTAAAGGTTGCAAGTTTGCATCCAGCTCGACCATCTGCCGCACAAGCAGCGGTCCCTGTGATCCTGAAGAAAAATGTTCCGGAAATTCCGGTGATTGTCCCCATGATATACATTCCAAGGATGGAGAGACATGCGGCACCGATTTGCAGTGTGCCAGTGGCCAATGCACCAGCCGAGATTTACAGTGCCAAATGCATCTAGGAAACCAAGTTGCTGGCTCCAGGACAGTGGCTTTTGATTCTTACGGCTGCGAGGTAGCTTGCAAAGATCCAGATAGACCCAATGTGCGGTACGAAGGTAGCCTCACTTTCCTCGACGGCACCCCTTGTGGAGGGGGTGGCACATGCAAGAACGTAAGTAGTTCTATATTCCCTATATATTTTCAAGTTATGCCTAAACATGCGTACTAACTGTGTTACAGGGTCAATGTAGCGGCAGCACATTCGGCAACGAGGTATCTGATTGGGTCAGCCGCCATAAACCCATTGTCATCGGCGTAGCAGTCGGTGCAGGCTGTCTACTTCTTCTAGCCATCGCTTCCTGTATCTGTGGACGATCTAGAAGACAGAGACCTAGAAACAGGAAGATGCCACCAATTAACATGCGCCCTATGGCTCCAGTTTACAACGGATGGAATGGGGCACCTCCGAATGCTCAGCAATCGTCGCCGGGCGGTCATCCCCCATATAACAACATTCCTCCGCCTATCAATGCTCCTCCACCTGCATATCCAGGACATATGCCACCGACACGATATGCTTAACAATATACCCGTGATTTAGCTATTTTTTTCATCCCCTTCTTGCTTCTGCCTATGTTTTATACAGCATTTTTTCTTCCTTTCTCCGTTTCCGCCTTGTTTTAGAATGCATGGGCGTGAGTGATCGTTAGCGGAAGGTATTCATAGAGGTGCCAAGTGTTGAGAGCATATCTCTGCAACCTGGTCACTTATATTGATTCCTCCCTAGCATCCTGATCCCATTTGATGATTAACGATCATATTACAATCGGCGTTCAGCGGAGGATATATCGTTTCACTTTCGCAGCGAATGTACATTCAAAGAGGGAGGAATCACCTCCGTATATACAGCCGATTTACCAATATCATACTTTGACCTTTCATACACAGCTATAAATAAGTTAGACAAGAAAATATTAGGCATTTTGCTACAAGGCACTATGAGTGGTACCTTTGCATCAGCTACATATACTGTCCATAGAGATCCAACTCCATGCACGAACAAAGCTATAATTTGAACCAGTTTTTCCCCCCTGCGCCATAACGTAAAAGCAGAACAAAAACACAACCAAAATGGAAAATAGCAACATTGACAACAGCAACAAAAAACACCTCTACCAAAATATCACTGTAAACATATACCAACGAAGCCTTCCCTGGTCACACCGCCAACACCCTCCAAATCGAATTCTTCAATCATAGCCCTAAGCTCGTCCTCTTCCAGGCCCGTCTCGCCCAACTCACGAGCCACGCGCCTCAAGTCCTCGAGGTCAATATACCCTTTCCCTCCTTCATCGAATAGTTCAAAAGCTCGTAATATCTCCTCTCGAGGGTCTCGTTCTAGTATCTTACGGGCCGTTATAGTCTGGAATGAAGAGAGGGGCATTAATAGTGACGAGGGATGCGGTGGAGGTTGCTGCTGTCTCGACTGTTGCTGTTGCTGGGCCGGGCTGGGTGTTCGTGGCACGCCGTATGTTGTTAGGAGAGAGATAAGGTCTGGTTTTGATAGCGTGAAGCCAAGTGCGCGGAACGCAACGCGGAGCTCATGGTAGTCGAGGTGACGGTCCCGGTCGAGGTCGAAGAGAGTGAACTGTAGCACGTTAGCAAGAGTAGGCCCTGACTAGCTGGCCCGGGTGAGATAACTTACCGCCTCGTTGATTTCCTCCCGCTGCTCCTCGGAAAGGTCGTTTAATGGGTTGTTCACGTTATTGTTAACGTTGTTATTCCCGGCATTCGGTCCAACGCCCCCCATCACGCCGCCTCCTTGAAGCTGGCCTTGTCCCTGGATCTGCGAGTGTGCTGGAGGTGCGCCTGTCTGATGGCCCTGGGATTTGCCAGCTGTGTCTCCAAAGTCGCCGCGATCACGCCGAGATAGCACCGAGGACCCAAATGGTAGAGGGTTATTGGTGTTGAGTGGTCTGTCTGAGAGTTTTCCTGCGTTGGCATATACGGAGCGAGGGGCAAATGAAGGGTGTGAGGACGAGGCCATGGTGTGCCCGTGGTTCCTGGGCTTGTTCGTGTCTCGAGCTGGGAATTAAGTGCTAAACGGCCGGAATTAATTCTGGGGGCTGGGCTGTTATGTATGAAGTGGATTCGGTGCGATGCCTTACGACTAGGGCGCGGAGTGCCTCATGTAGATGGAGTCTAGGTAAAGCTGGAGCTGCGAGGGCTCGGGTATGGCCGTAGACTTGTCGACTTGACGTCCCTGGATGCTCGTTCGCCTGGTCCGCCTGTTGTTGTTCTTGATTCTCGTCGTCGTCGTCGTCGCTTTTCTTTTTCGTGATCGATGTTGAAGTTTCGCAGACGCGACGCGGATGACTAAGCAACTATTTAGCTGTGTTGATATATGTAGGAGGGGAGACGACATGCGAGGGTCAGTTGGATATTCTATATTTGAGCCTCTAAAGTAGAATAATGTTATACATTATTAGCGAAAATGTACTTCTATAGTCTCTCTTTTTCTCATTCTAGACTTCCATCCCGATCCCACTAGCCTTGACCACCTATCTGGCTCACAGTGCAGACACTGGAAGTTCCCACGACTTAGGGATCACCAAGATATTAGGTTGTGGAAGACGCCATCAATCTCATCTGCTACTCCTGGAGGTGACCGCATATATCTAATAAAAAGCTTTCATCAGGCTGGACCTTCCATCAATTCAGGTAGCACCATGGACTCATGTAATACTTGAGACCGTTCCTGTGGGATGCCTTTACCTGGAACCTTGCGCTAGGGGAAAGGGAAACGGGAATGATGACGTCGTTGGCTGACCCATAAATGGGATCAAAGCAACAATAGCATTCATGAATCAAGGGCAGGATCGACCTTAGTCCCAAGATCAAGGTCATCCAGGAAAGTCCTTCCAATTAGCTTGTCAGGAAGATAGTCCTGCACTACTTTTCCATCTTCGTAGTCAGGGTTATATTTATACTCTTTGCCATAGCCGATTTCCTTCATCAGTCTTGTTGGAGCATTTCGTAGATGGATTGGGATAGGTAGACCTGCTATCCCTGGTTCTTCCAAGCTCGCCATTGCGTTAGCTAGGCCCCTGTAAGCCCTGGTGCTTTTTGGAGCCAGAGCTAGGGCAACGGTGGCATGAGCAAGGTTAATTCGTGCTTCAGGAAGGCCTATCTTCTCAACGGCAGTATAAGCTGCTGTAGCCAATGATAGCATGGTGTTGTCTGCTAAGCCAACATCCTCGGATGCAACCACTATCAGGCGGCGAGCTATATACAGCGGGTCTTCGCCTGATTGGATCATCCTAGCTAGATAGTAGAGAGATGCATCAGGGTCACTTCCACGGATTGATTTGTGAAAGGCAGATATGGTATCGTAGTGCTGGTCACCTGCTCGGTCATAAACCAGTGTCCGTGTAAGGGACTTCTTGAGCTCGTCTTTTGTCATGTTTTCTCTCTGTGACAGGTCCATTGCTAACTCCAAGAGGTTCAAAGCAGTCCGAGCATCACCATCAGCAAAAGCAGCAAGATATCTAATCAGCTCATCGTCAACCAGTGCAGAGGGTGAGTAATTAGGTCCCTCAACTCTCAATGCACGATTGAGTATGGCACAGATATTCTCCTCCGTAAGCTTTGCCAAAGTAAAAGTTCGACACCGCGATAGCAATGCATTCTGGACCTTGAAAGATGGGTTTTCAGTCGTAGCTCCAATCAATGTTACTTGCCCACTTTCGACGGGCCCAAGAAACACGTCTTGTTGAGATTTTGAAAACCGGTGAATCTCGTCACAGAATATGATCGTTTTCCTCCCCGTCAGGCTCAGCTCATTCTTTGCCTCTGCAAATAGCTTCTTGCACTCAGCCACTCCAGAACTCGTACTGTTGATCTCCACGAATCTGCTCCCCACCATGGAAGCAATCACTCTGGCAAGCGTAGTTTTCCCCGTTCCTGCACTGCCCCAAAGAATCATACTAGGAACCCTGTCTCTCTCGATAAGACCACGCAACACCCCATTTTCACCAACTAGCTCCTGTCCACACATTTCATCAAGTGTTCTTGGCCGCATCCGTTCTGCCAACGGCGCTGATTTTTGCAATGCATTTGACGATTTGACTCTCTTGGCCAAATGATCATTACCACTTTCATGAAGGGGTGCTGGTGAAACGGAGGCCCTCAGAGTACCACCTCCAGGCGTCGGTGTTCCAGGCTCCTGAGAAAAGAGTCTTTTGCCCGTGCCGACCTTGGATGGCTGTGTTTGAGCTGCGCCGTTGGGCCGTTCCGTCAGCTTTTGCGCCGCAGCCGCCTTCCTGGAGCTCGCTGGTTGGAAGAAACTGGGTATGGAACTCGACGGGCTGGTCTGAGACTGTGACGCGCCATCCCCAGCTAAATTCTGGCTGCTCTGAGGGGAATCAACAAAATCCTCGCACCCTGAGTCAATGTGCTCGTTGATTTTGCTTGCATTGACGGGCTTAGAGCAGATCGGACAGCTGGGTCCCATAGCTATCGCCTGTTGTCCTTAAGTCTTTTGTAGTTGAATACTAGCGGCCTCCTTGGTGGCCTTGAGCTTCGAGACGAGACTAGGAGCTTGGCCGTTCTCTGCTTTGAATAGCTTTTCTTTGCGGGTCTGGACTCTTCTTGAGATATTGGACGGTATCCCTTGAATCGACGCTTTTATTCCTGGAAAATCGATGAAACCGAGGTTTTTGATCGACCATCAGCTTCTTGGCTAACTAGTTATTATTGCTGCAAAATTGGTGACTTTTGTGGCTTCAGATCTCCAATCGCTGAAACAAGTGCGTCTTCCATTGACCATTTTGTGACTGGTTCGAGATAGTAAGGCAGAGGCTTCTCTACCAAAGCGGAAATCAGAGGTTATCAAGGCGCGCTGGTCGTCGTCATCTCGTCGCTGTTGAGCTGCTAATGTCTTTGGTAAATTGAAGTTGCAAAGCTTGCTTTCATTTTAAAGCAATAATAACGGAGTCGTTATAGTTAGCCCTCTGATTAACTACGGCGGACCATCGGGTCAAAATTAATTTTAATTATCCCCCTATCCCGCTAATATAATAAAATAATATGTTCGTAAATTCCTACATTTACGTGACCTGAATTTACATTTTTCTATATTTTATTCTACTTCTACTAGTTAATACTTTCACGGTCGGGACTATGACTGGCTGCGTGTGAAATTGATGCTGTTTCTTAGCTTAACTATTCGGCAGCATGCTCCACTTCAGGCCTTCGTTCGATGGCTGTTATCGACGGACAGCGACAGTGAGACAGATATGGCGTCAACCATTTAGATAATCCGGCTCCCTTCCACTATTTATATCCCGTTCTTCGATCAGCAATATGAGGCCGGTAATCAATAGCATATGTGAGCTCTTTGCCCATAAAAGGGAGTTGGCAGAGTGCATTGGAGGTATGCCTGACGATCTTGAAGGATCTTCTGCGGTGAACTTGCTAAATTCGTAAGTACCTGGGTTGTTGGCATCATATAACTGGGTAACCACAGCCAATCACCCCCTGCTGTTGCCTGAAGCCTGAAGAGTGTTGGGAAGGAGGGAACAAGGCGCCTGAAATCATGACTCACATCCTCGAGGAGGGGGAAAGAATGTGGGGGGGTATATATATAAACATCCACTGACTCGAAAAATTCAGGTATATCTCCACCATTTTCCCTTTCGGCTGTTTGCTTTGAATTAGCTGAATCCACAAATTCTGTATCAAGGTGCCTTTGAACCAAATCATCAAGAGAGTTGCCGTTGGTAGTATCACCAAGAGTGGACAAGAGATAACACTCTCTGTGGCCACGCAAACTTCCGAATGGTTAAGGCCCGATTCCATCGCGCTCCAGCAGGGCCCAGGTTTCAAGGGTGCTGTCGAGGCTTCTAAGCATCTGTTGCCATCGGGAACGAAGGAAGTTTGTCAAAGGTCTGGGCGAAGCCTCGAGTTATCAATATATGCAACCACCTATAGGGGCAAAATGGACACGTTTTTTGGGTTCGAAAATTTAGGTTTCGCAAACCAAATAGGAGATTGGTAGAGCAATCAAGGTTGTCCTCACAAGATAGATGATAAAATCCAGACTTTGTACTCCGCATGGAGCTTTGATTTCGGTCCTCCCCACACATTAGTTAGAAACTTTCAGCAATTAAGCACCGAGTTTACATGGAAACTGAATTTGAGACCGATGAAACCACTGATGTTCCAAGAGCTGTCCCGCTGACGGCCTGTCTCGAGGGTCTAGCCGCATTATCTTTGGCACAAATTCCTTATCGTCTTGACAAATTTCCTTGCTGGTTGTAAGATGGAATGGTCTTAGGGTCTCGGCAGGACTGTTTTGCATAACCCACGTAAGAATACCCAATCTTTGTTGATCCGCAATTTCTTCGTATGGCTCTGGAAACGGACCAAAGCATCTATGGTGTTTCAGGAGGATTTTGACATCGTATTCATCATGACCTAGAGGGACATCTGGCTTGAAAATATGGAAGCCTTCACCGTATATGAGACTGATAACCTGTCGAGTCGAGGTTAATATTCGATCTCAGCTCGTCGATATCAGGTAAACACTTGCCATTGCACCAAACGACCAAATGTCCGTTGCAGTACCCCATTTCATTTCAAGTTGTGCTTCAGGGCTCCTGAAAATAGGAGTACCGATAGGGTCACCACGTTGGGCATGAATAGAATTCTCGTGAACAGTGCTTCCAAAATCTGCCAACTGAACATCGGTAAATCGAGATTCGCCTTGACCATAGTTCACTAATACGTTGCTGGGTTTAACATCTATAGCGCATTCCTTCATATCATTATAGACTTAGCAGAGGGGAATAGGGGCAGACTCGTCCCACCAGTGTGTATAAATCCCTCATCATGCAAGACCGCAAGTGCTCCTAGCACCTTTTTCGCGACAAACTTTACCTCCGGAGCAGTAAGCCTTTGTCTGTCGGAGGCGTTGAGAACATCATCATCAAGATATTTTTATATGAGTGTAGGAGGAGTATCGGAGTCTTCAAGCCCTTCGATGAGTGGGCGAATAGATGGCGTTCGGCGTTGGAAGCGAAGTAGAACATCTCGTTCATTCTGCAATCGAAAATGATGGACGCTCTTTGCGATAACTTTCTGGTGATGCTCGTTTCTGCAGCTGTTAGTATGAGAATATGATAATGCTTTAACACAGTATATGCAGGGCGCTGAAATACGTCGCAAGCCAAACAGAGTCCTGGAGCTGTTTTATAATAGTGTAAAGGCCAGTTCGGCTCTTCAAAGTCTGGCCAAGATATAAAGTGGGCACCATATTCAAGATATCTCGACGTCACTGCCTTGTGTGAACACGCCAGGTCGCATTTAGGGAGAAGAAGACAGCATGGGTTGGGGGGATTGTGGTGAGAAGTGTCAAACAAAAATAAATCTTGAGAGGCCCTGGCTACCTCGTTAAGTTAACTAACCAGTCGACTGCTTAAACTGCCGCGCGTTAGTTCGGCAATTACGCGTCTAAGTGTTATACGTGACGAAGATGACGGAAGATGTCTAATACTCGTTGTTCGTTCAAATACAATGCCAAAAATGATGCTATTCTTTCTATCTTTAACGGGTTTACGGTGTACTGTTTCGCATGGCTTTTGATATATAACTAACTACCGAGTACACAATGCAGGCTCGCCATTCCCAGTATTCTCAAATTCGTTTCTTCCAGAACTGCGCCGAACCAGATAAACTTGCCAGTGGGAAATATAGAGATGATTACCGTCTTGATAGGGGAGAGAGATGTATTTGAACCCGGCTTGCTAGTTAATATATACTCGACGGTGTGAAAGGACCCGGAGGTCAATATTTATAGCTCTTTCTCAAGCTCACTATCACCGCGGTTCGAACAACCATGCAGAAGAATATACTTCCAATGTTGATAAGTGCAATGGCCAAATTGCTGCAGCAAAGTTCCGAGCCGACAAGTTGGTGGATCCGAAACACCCTCAGAAGATGCATGGCCGCACAATTCGAGATAGTATTTGAAGAAGGGTATGGGAGCAGCAGCACAACAAGAGGATTTTTCAACGCTTGCAGCCATTGGATAGTCAGGGTAGGCCCAGTTTTCTTATCCTCCACAACAATGTCCACGCTCGGTTATGTCATGCTGTCTTCAAGAGGATTTCTAAAGCCTTCTCTTGGGAGGCAGAGGTGGATGCATACTCGCGACATAGCTGTGATTGGAGGGATATCCTACTTGGTGGGCTCAAAAATCAGGATGTTGGAACAGAACCTACATGCCTGCAGATGAGCTGCTATGACGATGTATTGTTTTCCAGCCAAGAAGAATAAATATTATTATTCATTATAAGCTATATCACAAGGCGCAATATAAGCATATCAACTGCCGAAATAGCCGCGGTCTTGGCACGCTCCACGCCCTCAACGAGCCTCAACTTCGTCTTCTTCGACCGTCAACACGCAAGAGAAAGGACGCTGCCGACCTAGTTGCATGCTCTGCTACCACGACGGTATCGGCCATTGTCCATGCTTGCTCGCTGCGCTCTTTTAAGAAGAATTACACCTCTTCACCGTCCGGTGGTGTGTTCGGGACTAAACATACCTTTGCCGTATAAGGCTGCCCCGCCAAAGTATCAAGCGGCCATGTCTTCAACGGCCGCAAGCAACGAGCCTTTCAAGCCGGCTAGGAGGGTTGCCGGTCAGAGACAGGATGTTTGGTAGGTTATTCCTTTCGGACGTATTTAGCCTAGTAGTGTTTGATATTTTGGGACTTAACACTGCGTCAACAGGTCAATTGTCAATGAAGCCGCGGCTGCATCACCGGTTCAGCCAATCGTGAACATGGGGCAAGGGTTCTTGTAAGTATAGTGTCTTATGTCGCCGAGTGAGTGGTGTAGGTGTACCTGTGCCGTTTCTTATTGATGCATTAGTGGTTATAACCCTCCCCAGTATGTGATTGATGCCGCGAAGGGGGCGGTGCAGACCGTGGAGTCTAACCAGTATGCGCCCACGAAGGTGGGATCATTCCTATTTGTTGGTTACTGCATGACCGACAACATTAATGAGAAATCTAGGGCCTCCCTCGTCTCAAGAAGGCAATTGCTGATGCTTACTCTCCATTTTTTGGGAGGGAGCTCAACCCCAATACCGAGATTGTCGTTACTAGCGGTGCCAATGAAGGTATTTCTACCAATTGACCGCTTGTATTTCAATCCATGCTGACATTGTAATTAGGAATGTTGAGTGCCTTCATGGGCTTCATTGAACCAGGGGATGAAGTTATCATCTTTGAGCCGTTTTTTGATCAGTACGTCTATCGTGAGGGAGTCACACCAATACATTGAAGCTAACGTCTCTGATAGATATATAAGCAACATTGAGATGCCAGGCGGCAAAATCAGATACGTGCCACTTCATCCTCCAAAGGACGGTGCCCAGAAGACATCTTCTGCATCGAACTGGACTATTGATTTTGACGAGCTGGAAAAGACTATCAATGAAAAGACAAAGATGATCGTACGTATATATTGCCTACAATATAGTTACTTGTGCTAACAGTCATATAGGTACTCAATACTCCGTGAGTAGTTAATTGCCCTATTTCTGCAATAGTTGGAAATCTAACTATACTAGCCATAACCCTGTGGGCAAAGTGATGTCTCGTGAGGAACTCGAGAAAGTGGCCGATCTCTGTGTCAAGCACAATCTCATCATCCTCTCTGATGAAGTGTATGATCGACTCTTTTACGTTCCTTTCACCCGCATGGCAACACTCTCGCCCGAGGTGTCCAAGCGAACTCTCACTGTCGGCTCTGCAGGTAAAAACTTCTATGCCACTGGCTGGCGAGTTGGATACCTCATTGGCGAAGAGCACCTTATCAAGTATGTCTCTGCCGCCCATACCAGAATCTGCTACAGCAGTGTTGCACCTCTACAGCTGGCAACTGCCGTTGGATTCGAGAAGGCAGATGAGATGGGATTTTGGGACGAAAGCCGAAAGGAGATGCGTGGTAAAGTCGAGCGTTTCTGCGAGATATTTGACGAACTTGGAATTCCCGTATGTATCTGCGTTTGATAACTGAGTAACCCCAAACAAAGCTAACTAACATACAATCACAGTACTCTGATCCAGAGGGCGGCTACTTCGTCCTGGCCAACATGGCCAGCGTCAAGATGCCAGAGGACTACCCGTTCCCTCCTCACGTTGCCTGCCGGCCGCGCGATTTCAAACTGTCCTGGTTCTTGATCAAGGAGGTTGGCGTCGCCGCCGTCCCGCCCACTGAGTTCTACACTGACGCCAACGCCCACATAGCTGAGGACTACCTCCGATTCGCTGTCTGCAAGCCAGACCAAGTTCTGGAAACGGCCAAGGAGCGGCTCCGCGGCCTCAAGAAGTATATCCAGTAGCTACAGCATACACAGTCCCTATTTTGCGCATGTAGGATATCACTAGAGCCCTCCTAGCATTAGATTTACTGTACCATCGACTTCGTAGCACCAACTATCCTACTATCCTGTTTGCTTGCTCCCGTCACTCCGGCGCTCCTCGCCGTCCCTGCTCTTCACTGCAGCCGCGGCTAACTTAGTCGAGCTTGGCGCTTGAGCCAGCCGCGGAGCAAAAGCAGAACAAAAAAGAACATCCGCCGCTGCGAAGCACAGAAGGGCAGCAAAAATTAATGAGAACCACGGACAAGCCCCAGCAACTCGCCAGCTTCAGTCTTCCAGCCTTCGCCGCAAGGGGGCCTGAGACCATCTTTATCCGCGGTGACGCCCAAGTCGGCCGTCCTCGACAAGTCTGACACGGAAAACTCTTCCTACCCTCAACTATCTCCAACGCCACGCTCCAGCCTATCGCAGTGCAATAGCTATGGGTGATCAACAGAATATATCGCAGATACTGGCAGCTCTAGGTACATTGTTTCCCGGTCTATTTCATGTCTTCTTTGATTCTCCCCTTTCTTGCGCTTAACCTGAGCCGTCGTTTTGTATCATGCTTGCTAACCGGGTCCGAATTTTTCGCTTTTTTTTTTGCTAAGCTGCCGTTCGGCCTGCTGCTGGCGCGCAATATGCTTCTCCTACCGGAGCTACCTCATCAACTGCTCCTCCCCCCTCTACGAATACTGGGGGATATTCCCTACCTCAGCCAGATAACACCGGCAGCTTGAACATCGGCGGCGCAACTTCTATCACTGCAGGTTCGGTAAGTATAGCAGATGCGATTGCTAAGGCGCGAGGAATCGCTGCGGAGAAGGGCATTACATATAAACCTACGCCAGGTGAGTCGTTGTCAACTTATCCTTTTATCGTTGAAAGAATATAGCTAACAGCCTTGTGCAGCACAGATTCGAGACGCCGGTCGACCGTCTCATCGGCGTTCTCGGTCACCATCCAGGACACCTCCGCGTAATTCCACTGCTCGAGATGTGTTTAGAGATGGATACAATCCCTATCGAGACGAACGTCGAGGTGCAGATAGGCGCGGTGCTGGTGATCGTGGATATGGGCGAGAAAGGTCATCCTCCCCTAGACCTGGCGCATATTCGCCTCCTTCAAACAGACATTACAGAGCTGGTGGTGATAGGTCACCTCCTCCACGGAACCGAGGGCCGGGGTCGGAAGAGAACAACGAGACTATTGAAATAGACAACAAGCACGTTGGATTGATAATCGGACGTCAGGGAGAGAACCTTCGACGGATCGAAAACGAAACAGGCGCTCGTGTTCAGTTCCTTGACAGCGCAGAACATAATAAGACCATTCGGCTCTGCAGATTATCTGGTCCCAAGTCAATAAGAGACAAAGCCAAGGCGGAGATAGACCGTATCGTCAGCGAAAATAATCAGGCTCGAAACGACGGTCGACCGATCGGCCAAGATGGAAGGCCTGGGGACGCGGACGGCTCTGATACCACGAAGATTATGGTTCCTGATCGGACTGTTGGTCTTGTCATCGGACGTTCAGGTGAGACTGTTAGAGACCTTGCTGAGCGGAGTGGATGTCGCATCAATATTGCTCGTGATGGAGAGAGCATCAACGGCCTACGGCCGGTTACCTTGACAGGTTCCCAGCAAGCGATACAGCGCGCCAAAGAACTGATATTGGGCATTGTAGAAAGTGACACAAGAACAAGCGGGAATCAAGGGCAGCGGGAACCCAGAGGACAAGGCTTGGGTGGTGAAAATGGTGGCGGAGGTGAGAAGCTGAATGAGAAGATGTTTATCCCTAAGGAATATGTTGGCATGGTTATTGGTAAAGGTATGCATCTATCTACTGCTGTTTCATTACATTCCTGCGAAGCTGACATATATTCATAGGAGGAGAAACGATAAGAGAACTACAAACCTTAAGTGGCTGTAAAATCAACATATTGCCACTTGTTGCGCGAGAACCTGAGAGAGAAGTCACTTTCTATGGTGTCCAGACTGCAATCGATGCTGCAAAAAAAGCGGTACTTGCCAAGGTCGAAGCTGCGGTATGCAATACATTGTCCGCCTAAATCCAACGTTCGATTCAACTCTTAACTAACAAAATGCACTAGAAAAACCGCGCGCAAGGACCTAGACGTGATGATTCCTACAGCCAGCAATCCCAGTACCAACAGCAGCAGCAACCATATTCTCAAGACTCCAACTCCCAGCAGCAACCTCAACAGCAGCAGCAGGGTTTGCAAGCTGGTGTAGGTGACGGAACAGACCCGTACGCCATGTATGGAGGCTACGAGAACTACATGGCTATGTGGTATGCTGCTTTGGCTCAGCAGCAACAGCAGCAACAGCAACAGCAACAGCAACAACAATACCCGCAGTACCAAGGTGGAGGAGCGCCGCCTCAATCCGGCTCAGACCAGCAAGGGCCTCCTGGAGTATCTTAGCCTACTGTTTGTCCTAAAGGCAAGAAAGAAGGCCATATTTATGCCATTTCAATTTATATGTTACCCGTTACGGAATTGTTGATTGTTTTTCTCCCTTGATGAAAAAGCGTGCTAAATGGTTGGTTCAACTATAGTTCTAAGCATGTTTACTTTTGCCATCTATATGATGTGTACGCAGTACATGATATGACATTGCCATATACCTCTTGCTGTAATGCTACCTACTCTAATTACTACAATATGATTCTCTGCCCCCCTGATCTGGTATTACCCCTCTCACTGGCACAGGTACAGATAACCTTGAAGTCAAGAGTACTACGACTTCCTCTACTTGAGCTTCTCTTGCAATGCAAACGTATGGACGAATAAAAGATAGTTAAGCAAAGCTATTTTATTTTTTACTTTTTAGATCGTCCAGCACCCACATACGTAGCTACAAGCAATCAACTCAAAATGAAATGCAGTTAGAAAACAAAAGGAAGTGAGGAAATAAAAGATACTGGAAACAAGTGAAAGGTAAAGAGAAGGAGAAGACAAGCGAATAACACAAGGCGAGCAGGTAATGTATAGGAAACAGGATAAGGGTCCTCCACCAGCCACCAAGGATGCCCTCAGCTCTTGAATAATCTCCCATCTCTAGGCCCGTACGTATGTATTAAGTGGACGGGGAAGAAGGTTAGGGAATGTAAGCCCTAAGATTCCTTCAGGTGTTTCCAAGGGAGAAAAGCCTTATTGGCCTAAGGGCAAGTGCAGTATCTCCCAGATCAGTCGTACCATACCATAAGGCTTATTTTTTCCCGCTTGGAGTATTGGGGCGCGAGTTGATGATCTGTAAAGACTTATTAGTAAAACTTGTTTTCCTTGACTAAACCTGTGAGTAGAATATTTTAACGTACCTTTTCCACAAACAAGCTGCGCTTGTTCTTCTTTTTGGCCATCTTCTGGCGAATAATTGCTCTTTCTTCTTTTGTAAACACCGTAGCGGCCTTGTTGTTGTCCGCCATCAATGTTGGCAGTAAGGAGGTATGAACGGGCAGGTTAATGGATGTGGCCCCTCTTACAACTACCGCGCGAAGGCGGTCCGACGATGGGTGGGTTTTAGTATGGCCGGTCGCGTCCCAATTCTCCTCCCAGATTACATTGGCCATAAAGCCCAGAGTGAATGCAATCCAGTGCTTCGCAGCGTCGGGATTGTCGACCCCACGAGGACGACGGAACTCCATGGTTCCACTGTCTGTCAGGTTCTGGAAGTTCCAGGATACATTCCTGTCCGGGCACACTGCTGTCACAATTGTAGCGACGAACTTGTGATCTTTGAACTCGTCGAAAATGGGACTCCATCCTCCCTGAGAGACGTTTTTGATTTTTGTCACGCAGCCGGGGATAGTATCTGCATTAGGTTGGGCCCAGGGGTTGCTCTTGCGATCTTCATGCATAATCCGCATCACCGGTTCTTCATAGTAGATGGTTCCCTTGACAATGTTTTTTACCTGGGAAAGTGTATACTTTCCGCCAGCAGGGGCGACATGGACATGCGTTGCGCAGCCTTTGGTAAGGTGCACGTCGCAATGTCCAAGCAAATTTGCAAAAAGGTAATTGATTGATACTACCCAATCATCATCATGTGTATAGAAGACGGGGGAAATCAACTCGCAAGGCCCTATATTTGGAACAATTTGTCAATAATTATTTGTATCTCTTGCTGGTGATACGTTGCAAACTTACAGTAACCACCTCCAATGTGGTCAAGAGCTGCCTCGTGGGCTATCGTCCACGTATCGTACACACTATTTTTGTCGATTCCGGTTGGGATACCCCGGTCAGATAATTCTGTAGCCATGGCCTGGCGAAAAATACGTTCCTGCTTGGTCTGGTTTGTGTCTTTGGGATTAAATCCAAGCGTCTGCAGTGTATCTATTATCGATTGAGACTTCGGCTTGAGGTAGAGCTCCATTTCAATGCCGAAGGAGAAGTGTTGGGGGTAGGCTGGCATATTGAAAAGTCAGGGCTGGCAAAGGTGTAAAAAAAAAAAAAAAAAAAAAAAAAAAAAAAAAAAAAAAAAAAAATGGTATTCTGAGCTTGGGAATGTTGTTCGATGGGATATTCCGAGAAGGATGATAGAGAGGGGAGTTCTGTTGGTTACGGCGAACCTTTCACAGGTTTATATATCCCATTTCCCGGTATTTCTTCTTCCTGATATTAATCACATGTTTTTGACGTTCAGCTCTGAGCGTAGGAGCATCTCAGGTAGCTAGCATGGTGCTGTTCCATGTCTCATCTAGATAATAGGCTATAGATAGCAATAATGGACCACAGGGAGATGATGCCGTTTCACATCTGTGTATTTATGCAATGAACGGCCGTAAACGATTGGGTAGAGCAAGATATCTTAGACAATAGGATCCATCGAAGCGTCAACGCCATGGCGTAGTCAATTGTTGTAGCGTCTACGTGCATGATCGAGCAGGGTATGGGAGGAAGAAGGCATCGCTAGATACCAGTAAATATATGTTGGCTGTCTCCACTACCAACTGATGGTCATATAGTTGGTAGGTATGAGGATATCAAAGGGTAAAATGGGAAGTGGGAGTTGACAGTATCCCTCCTAACTCCTGCCTAAGCGCTGTGCCCATATCCTCGGAACCCGCTAGCCCCCAAGGCGACGGCCTGGATAGGTATTGTGAAATGTCATGCACAGAGGTAGTTTATTTAATGCTGTCAAGATAGTTTATCAGATATTCCATTCAACCCGGGAGTGAGCCCATATCTACCAGCGTCAGACAGCGTGATGGGTAGTTAAAGGAGAGTTATGTCGTTCGAGCTGGCTCCCTATCTTGAACTTTCTAAGCGCCGGAGCCAAAGGCTGACTCTGTTCCAAGAGCAAGTTATGTATCATGACCAATCGGAAGCTATAAAGTACAGCTAGTTTGTTGTTTGCTAAGTAGCCAATCATTATTGCTGTTTCATTGTTATTAATAGTTTCACACGTGACTCCAGCGCCTCGCCGCCTCGCTCGCTGTGACTCTTGTGGTTGGCTCGTTTGGGTACTTGTGAGTTAGTTAGCCGCCGCCAAGAGCTTGTAGTCCGCAGCAACAAGATATACAGTTGGGGCCTGTTTCCTCGTTCATGCCACTTTACCATTACTTGCTTCAGCGATCGTGATATATTACTTTTACACCACATCGCCTCGTCGACTTCTTGTTATTTGCACCGGACAAACATACGGTCGAAAGATCAAAGTTGTCCACACACCTTTCACCCCCTTCAGCCACCCAATATCCTTCATTACCAATTGATACTCCAATCAACCACTATGACAAACCAGAAGGACCTAGGATATGGATGGCTTGCGAAAGCGAAATTTGAGCAAGACAAGCTGCTAAAGGAAAAGTCTGATACCTGGAAGGTCGCAAGATGGCAGGCATATTGGGAGGATGTCCGCAAAGGAACTGTGAAGCGCATGGTATACCTTGTCCTCATAACTAAATCCGGCCCAATTACATCACCAGAGAAGTTACAGGAGATTGCTGGTCTTACCTCACCACCGGAGGTTTATACAACTGTGAAGATGAAAGATTTTGGTCAAGAGCCACCAGCCGAGCCACGGGAAGAGGAGAAAGTCCAGTACTGCACTGTTGGAAACTTGCAGGCTGTAAAAGCCGCGACTTATGGTGTGCACCAACTAGTGTGGTTTCGAGATGCCCCGCTGGGCGCATGGCTAGCGTACTCTTTGAAGGCGGATGACCGACAGTGGGAAGATTTTCGCGAAGCATGCCGCACAGGAACCATTCTATACACTCAGGGCACCTATCCCATTATCATATCCAACGCAGGGCCCTTCACATCCCCGGAAAAATTACAGGAGATGCTCGGACTTTCAGCACCACCAGAATTGAAGAAAGCAGCCCGAGCGGAACTCTCCGAGGACATGCGGCCTTGGCCAAAAGAGGGGGATTTAATGCAGTATTGCGATGTTGACCTTTGCTACCTGGACAAGGTAGAGGAAGTCTCCGAAGGAGAGGATATTCTCATTTGGGCTAATAGAAAAAAAAGGTGTGGTTGGCTTGCCAACTCTTTGAAATCGAAGCTTTGGGGTGAAGATGTTGATGCTAGCAACGGCAAAGAAAAAGCGGCGCGAAAGAGGACTTCGCTGACAGATACTGATACGGATTAACTGCTTTTGGTCTTGCAATTTGTGTTACTCTTATTATCCTCTCCTCTATCTCCATACCCATGATTTCACAAAAACCACTAAGTCACTCTTTGATATATGCAAAGCTTTCAAAAACTTCCCTTGAAAAGTCAAGATGTGTACTTAACTGAAGCTACCTACTCCTTGTTTTTGCCCTGCCCTGACTCTGCGTGTGCAAATCTGTATCCACGTAATCAAATTAAAGCAAATAAGGGTGGTTGTAAAGCCTCGCCTGTAAATTGGTTATATGGATAGTTGAACAAAGTTTTAGGAATCAACATCATCGATATAAGAGAACATTCAAAATAAGGGCAGTTGATCCCTAAATTTTTACGGAATGCTTCACGGGTTCCGTATGTCTACCCGCCCAAGGACAGGGCAAACGTCATCAAGTTGTCAAGCATGGATCTAATTCCCAAATCCCTTAGTATAGATGCTTTCACCAGGGCCTTGATAGTTGATAGCTAACCGCTCAGGGAGTTCACCAAATGGATATCCTCGGCGTGGTTGTTTCATCTCTAACAGCTCAGGCCCAAATGCTTTGCTCAGAGCTGTCCATCTTGTTGAAACTATCCCCACTGGTAAGAAAAAGCCCTGTCCAGTCACTGCAGGGGCTTCATTTCTTCAGGCATCTCGCACCCTGTCGTATCGTGTCCCAGTTAGCGCCCGTCGTCCTGCGTCTTCCTGTTTGTTGATGTTTCTATCAGCTCGTTTCTCTTGCCGCCGGGCTTCCGACCAATCAGGTGCCTCAAGCTAGCTAACTTCTCGCCAAGTCAAACATCACGTGACAAACCTAAAAACCCTTTATCTATTTTTGGGTTTCCAGCGAAAGTTTTCTTCGACTTCAAAGCATCAAAGTTGCTGCTCGCGCCGTCATGGAGACGAGTTTGTGGATTGACAGGCCACTCCACGGCATGGCATAGGAACTGGCGGCGGGTAGTGGGCTGTTGTGAGGTCGGACGAGGTGGACTTGGGCGCGAAGTGAATCATAGCTCCCGCTTGGCTTGCGATGACAGCTGGAAGATGGCATTGACTTTGTCCTAGTCTCTAGAGAGCTTATCATGCCATGAACAATAATAAATGCTATCAGGCCCAGGTATTGCTAAATATCTGGCTCTTCTATTTTTCTTCCCTTTCTATTCATATATTTCATGCGTGTTCACTTGATGTGAATTGCGTGACGGATCTATTTTTTTTTCTTATTGTTCCTATTGTTTATTTATTTCTTGCATATACAGTGAAGATACCCCCTCTCTCTTTATTTGTATCCCTTTACTACAGTTCATTGGAACTATTCATTAATACATGCTTGTGTTGATTGACAATAGCCTTCTTTTTCTGAGTCTTTCCTTTCCAAACAGTTTCCTTTATTTTTCGGGTCCGCTTAAGCCCTAAGGCACTTCATATTCTTTCTCCTTACGTCTTCCTCCATTTTGCAACTCTCTCTCTCTCTCTCTTTTTTTTGACCCGGGAGGCAGATTTCAAACTTGCTGGCCTGAGTACTTGAACCTGCGCTGGTCGCTTTACTACCTTCAAACTACAACCCTCACAGTCGATATCATGCAGTTCTCACGGTTTATTCCCCGAGCAGGGACCCCTTCCCTTCCTCCATATGGCGCTCATGGTGCTCCATCTTCAGCGGATGGAGCTCGCGGTGCTGCTCCTCCCGACGCTATAACGCCATACCTGGGACTTAGAGCTCGACTCTCACAAGTCTGGATCAATAAATGGACTATTCTCATACTACTTGTGCTCGTTAGACTACTCATTGCTGTTGGCTCACTGGATCGCAACATGGCCTCTGCCGAGCGGGAAGCACTGTCAGCGTGCACGAGTGTTGAATCTATGGGCAGCGCCATGGCTTCGATGCCTCACTATATGTCCATGGGTGTCAACGAACTCACTGCCTCCGGAGTGGAAAAGGCAGTCAACGGACTGATGTCGATGCTATCTCTAGTCGTCACGGGCGTGGAAGAGATTGTTCTCTTTGTTATTCATGTACTAACCAGCACATATCTTTGCCTTATTACCCTCGTCGTCCGTGGAAGTTTACACGTTGCCTTGAAGATCATCGAGGATACGACAGAGTTTCTAAATAAGACTCTCCACGATATCGGATCTGGAATTACCAAAGGCGTCGATGGATTCCAAAAAGAAGTGAACGACTTTATCAAGGGAATCAACACGGTCACAAGCATTTTCGGAGACAACAACAAGATTCCCTCCCTAGACATTTCTGGCGAGGTTAACAAGCTCAACGACCTGAAGTTGCCATCGTCTATTAATGACGGACTAGACAAGATCAACTCCTCAATTCCCATCTTCGACGAGGTCCAAGAGCTGGCCGATACCGTCATTCGCAAACCTTTCCAACTTGTGAAGAAACTTATCAATGAAACTGTTGTCGACTATCATTTCGATCGCTCCCTTTTCCCGGTTCCCGAGAGGGAGGTTCTTGATTTTTGCACTAAAGATGATGGAATTAGCAATTTTTTCGACGGATTAAGAGTTGTCATCAGCACTGCGCAAAAAATATTCATTGGCGTTCTTGTTGTGGCCGCAATTGCTGCCTGTATCCCCATGGCTTATGGAGAGGTTCGCCGATATAGTCGCATGAAGGAACGTTCCCTTCTAGTACGGAAAGATGCTCACGATCCGATGGATGTCGTTTACATCATCTCTCGGCCTTACACCTCTGCTGGTGGGCTGAAGATATCCAGTTGGTTCAGATCTGGTCGCAGACAAGTTCTCGTCAGATGGATGGTTGCCTACGTAACTTCTCCTACCGCTCTTTTCCTCCTCTCTCTTGGAATAGCTGGTCTCTTTGCCTGTCTTTGCCAATATATCCTCCTCCAAGCCGTCAAGAAGGAAGTTCCTGCTCTTACGGGCCAAGTAAGCCAATTTGCAGACAAAGTGGTTCATTCTCTCAACAATGCTTCCAAACAATGGGCAATCGGCACCAACGGAGTTATCGACCACACAAACAATGACATCAATCAAAAGGTCCTGGGATGGGTCAACCAGACCACCGGCCCTGTAAATGACACTTTGAATGCCTTTGTTGAGAAGACGAGCGAAGTGCTTGATAAGGCCTTTGGCGGCACTATCCTCCACGACCCAATCCAAGACGTTCTCCACTGCCTTATCGGGCTCAAGATCGAAGGTATCCAAAAGGCTCTTACATGGGTCTCTGACCATGCCCATGTCGACTTTCCTTATGTTCGCGAGGATATGTTCTCGCTAGGTGCTATCCAAAGCATTTCCAAGGATAACGCTACGAACCCGGATAGTTTCCTTGCCAATCCAGGAGACAAGACAGCGGACAAAATCAGCTCCGTCGTCATCCGTGTAACTGAGGCAGTAGAATCTGGAATCAAAACAGAAGCACTTATATCCACTGCCCTCATCTCCCTTTGGTTCTTGCTCTTGTTGATTGCCTTCATCCGGGTTCTTACCCTTGCCTGGCGCCGAGATAGAGTACGTGGAGACGGCGGAATTGACGCGGCCTATCATCCTCCTGCTGTTGGTACTCGTGCCGTTCCAAACATTGAACTGAATAACTTCCACGATGTTCCGCTAAATAGCCCTGCAATCGGAACTGGTATGGCCCTCGGCGCAGCTCCCAAGTACAGCGCTACACCCAACCCCCTTGGATCTCTATATCCAACAGCCACCAGCAATGAAGATGATTACCAGGCTCAAAAGCTTGGGTATGCGGGGCAGAGAGATTATGAGATGGCTTTACAAAAGGAGATGAGAACGAGCAGCCACGGTCAAGTCGAGTATGGGACAGATGTGAAGCATGGTTAAACATAAACTAACTGCATAGCTAGCTATTTCCTTTGTTAATTTTTCTTTTTTATCGGAGCATTGAGCATTGTGATATGATTTCGTCTGGAGTTAGGCGCAAGTGGGAGGACATCTATATGTCGATTAAATAGCTAGACCTAGAGCCTTCGAAGGCAGAGAAAGGACACGGCAGAATATACCCATGACTGCTTTAGTAAAATGATATTTACGTCATTCATTCGTTCAATCTGAATGTGCAAAATATATTCATATGGCTTTAAATAGAAACAAAGAATCCATCGCCTCTATCTTCCACTCTCCCTTTTTCAACAAGAGGGTCACAACAAGATATCCTAATCCTCTCCGGAGTTGCGGGACTATCCAAGCGCAATACTTCTTCTGAATTCCACTCCTTTCGAGCAGCCTTCAGCGCATCTCGAATAGCAAAGAAAACGGCACTTCCCATGAACAGAGGCGGTTCGCCAACTCCCCTTGATCGCTGAATTGTTCGCAGATCTTTCCACTCCACATCTTTTAGAAGGCTGACATTGAATACCTGAGGTATATCCCTGAATCCTGGAATCTTATACGTCCCGGGTCCTCGAGTGAAAATTTGTCCAGATGCACGATGCCAGAGGCTTTCCTCAGTCGTGAATAGACCTTGCCCCTGAATAAATGCACCTTCTATCTGGCCATAGTCAATCGAGGGATTGATACTTTGACCGACATCCATTTTAATGTCAGCACGCAAGGGGGTCCAATCTCCCGTCAACGTATCTATTTCGACTTCTGCAGCAGTAACACCCTGCGTGAAGTAATAAAACATCTTTCCTGTATTCTCACCCCATTTATACCCAATCTCAGGAGTCTTGTAAAAACCCTGCGCTGAAAGATTCACACGGTCAAAGTATGCTGCCGTTGCCAGCTCCTTCATAGTAGCGTTGGGGTTCGCTTCTCGATATGGACGTAGACGTTGATTGAGTTGCTCACATGCATTGAAAATTGCATATCCGTTGAGATCGGAGCTTGCTGAAGCAGCGGTCGGAGATGTGTTAGCCACAGTGTTAGTAGCTGTTTCGGAGATAAAGACACTAGATTGAGGGACCTTGAGGGCCTCGGCAGCAATCATGACCATCTTAGTATGCAATCCCTGACCCATTTCAGTACCACCGTGAGCCAAAAGGATGCTGCCGTCACGGTATATATGTACTAATGCACCGGCTTGATTGAGGAATAGCGCCGTGAACGATAGACCAAATTTGGTAGGTATTATGGCGATTCCCCTCTTTGACCACTTGTGAGTTCTATTATACTCCTCCACAGCCTTTTGACGAGCAAAGTAGTTTGATTCCTCAAGGACCTGCTTGTACATCAGCGGTACATGCCAATCAGTAAGTTCCTGATTGAAATGAGTTTCCTCGTGGTCCTTGTACATATTGATCTCCCTCAGCTTCTCCACAGGTATCTTCAGATGGTCTGCAATCTCTGAGACAAAACTTTCAGCAAAGAACATACCCTGAGGCCCTCCAAAGCCTCTGAAGGCAGTGTTTGAAACAGTGTTTGTACGACAAAGGTATCCACGGACGTGAACATTGGGTATTTTATAAACTCCATCAATATGGGAAAGCGCTCTTTGAACAACACCAAGTGAAAGGTCCTGTGAATGTCCACCGTTGGCGTAGATGTCCGCATCAAGTGCCTGGAGTTTACCATCCTTGTTCACACCAACTTTCCAGTGGCACAGGAATGGATGGCGTTGCCCGGTGGTAGCAATATCTTCGTCGCGGTTAAGCATGCAGCGGACAGGTTTCTTAGTCTTCTTCGCAGCAAGAGCACAGATACTAGCAATCTGCACGGATCTGGATCCCTTTCCACCAAAACCTCCACCTAGTCGTTTAACTCGACAAACAACTTTATTTTCGGCAACTCCGGTGACCTTTGCAACAAATGCTTGACTGTAAAATTAATGGTCAGAGAATTATTGAGAATCATCAAATGTTGAAGGTGCTAATTGACTTACACTTCAGCGGGGTTTTGTGTGCTACTGAACACCTCAATCTCGTCATATTCTGGCTTCGGTACAACCACGCACGCGTGGGTTTCAAGATAGAAATGCTCCTGGCCTCCAATTCTAGTGGTGCCACTGTAGACGTGGTCTGATGAAGCAAAGGCTGCTTCGACATCCCCTTTCTTGATAGCTGGCGTAATATGATTGAAAAATGAGTTGTGTTCAATGGCCTGTTCAATAGTTAGGATAGCAGGAAGAACTTCATATTCAACTTTCACCGCTCTAGATCCAGCCTCAGCCAATCTAGCAGACGTAGCAACGATCATGCCAAGGGGCTGGCCGTCAGTGACGACTTCATTGACTGCAAAATATATTTCATCGGAGACTGGTGCCCCCCACCAATTTGACTCTGGGTTGAGGAGATCTTTGGCGCTCACGTAGTTCACCACACCAGGGATATCTAATGCAGGTGTGAAGTCAATGCTTAAGATCTTAGCTCGAGCTTTAGTTGAAAGAACAAGACATCCAAATAATTCGTTCTTCTGTACCGGAATGTCATCAGTATACTGAGCTTCTCCAGTGGTCTGCAGTAGTGCAGAAACAGTTGGCGTTGCTTTTCCAACAATCTTCTGGGTATAAGCGGCCGTTGCTTCGTGATCTTTAACACCGGAAGATAATCCACGTTCAATCTCTGAGACAGCATTTTCTTCACAATGAACCTTGACACCTTGGATAGATGAAAGAACGTCATGGTAGAACCTGTAAAAGAAACCAAAAGCTAGAGTTTTCCGATAAGTAGGCATGCCTCCTGGCACCGATGATGGAAGATCAAAATCTTGACCAAGAGCATCCATTACACCTTCAACTGTCGCAGGGTCTGTCCAAATTTTTCCAACGATAAACTCTTCTGCTTTCTTTGCAGGTATGGTAGTTGGTGCCATACCTCCATATACCAAATTTGCACTCATAACGACGTTTGAATCGGAAAGTGATACACGCAAGGCAGCGTTGACAATAGCAATATCGTCATCTTTCCTCTTTGCCTGCTTGTACGCTCGTAGATACTCACCATTCTCCTGGGAAATAGGGATACGTAGCTTTGCAACCACAGCGTTGGCAGGAAGTGCCGTCGTTCGGTAACCTTTGAAAAACTGGTCCATCGGTATTTGAACCTCTTCCTTCAGTGACTTGGCAAAGAGTATCGTGCCTGTTGCGACAAATACCGGGTTGAGGTCAGAAATTGGAGATGCTGTGGCAATGTTACCAGCCGGCGATGCCACATTCCGAATCTGTCGTCCAGCAAAGTACCGTATCTGCTTTTTGATAGCAATGAATGGTTGTGCTTTGGTAGGCCCATACCGCTGAAGAGCCTCGTCACAGATCTCTTCTAGATCTGTGAGTGAAACATTGGCCCCCAGGTCAAGGTAGTCGTCAGTGAAGGTATACTGTTTTAACTCTGGAATGTCGCCAACATATACTGAGTGTGTGTATTGCCTGGCTTTAAACTTGATTTCTATTTGTGTCTCGGAGCTCCCTCCTATCACTTTTGCCTCTGGATACGCATCCTTGATCTCCAGGAGCTGGTGCATGGTTACGGGTCGATACCATCGTTTCCTTTTATTCCCGAAACTTAGTGGTTTCAGCTCATGTCTGTGTAGCTGGGGCGGGAAGATGAGTTCCGTTTCTGGATTGTAGGGGATGAACTCGGGAGTATTGAATGACTGCGTAATAGCCTTTGGAGTTATTCCGTCGGAATCGCCATTCTTTGCACCACCATTGCAGCTTCCACCGTTCTCCTTACAGCACCCCGAGCCTCCGTTTGCTCGTGCTTTGGCACATGAAGGGGTGGAGAAGGACTGTGCAGAGTCGAGAATTGACCGGTATCCAGTACATCGGCAAAGATTGCCATCAAATGCTTCTTCAATCGCAAGCTCTGAAGGGGTAGGATCGTTTCTTAGTAAGGCATATAAGCTCTGGAGATAAACGTTAACTGCTCAAGCTTTTGCCATATATAGTCTTAGCCTTGCACCCACCATGACTATTCCTGGGGTACAGAACCCACACTGACTCCCATTTCCAACTGCTATCCGTTGCTGGACAGGATGAGGATTTTTCGAAGTCCCTATCCCTTCCACAGTGATAACATGTTTTCCATCTACACTAACCAACGGTGCCAAACATGCGTTCACTGAAGCATGGTATATCTTCTTGGTGGTTGGATTGCGGTACGAAACAACCTAATAAATGATGGCAGGTAATTAGCACTGCTCTTCTTAATGGATAGGTGATATAACATACCACAGTGCAGGCACCACAACCGCCCTCTGCACAACCCAGCTTTGTACCAGTAAGTCCAATCCCTCGAAGGTATTCTAACAGCGTTGCTTCTGGGTCTACCGAGTCCAGAGTAACCTTCGTACCGTTTAAGTAAAATCGGAGTGTATCATCGTACTTCTCTGTCACCGCAGCTAAGGAAGCTTTCGATGCGGGCGGCTGTGGCTCCTCTACAATAGCAGGAGCCATGACGAAATGTAGGAATAAGTAACCAAAGGAATGTGCTAGGGTAATGATAAATAAAAATATGATAAAACTTCTTTTTTCAGGGCTGCCCTGGCAGCAAAGAAAAAGAGATGGCTGCTTGTGATGGAACCATGGAGCGGCGGCGTTCCTCGTCCCTAAGTATCTTTTTCTTTCTCCGCTTCGCGCGGTTATCTTAAGCTTATCTGTTGTCTCTCTTCGGCGTCTAAGCGCTGCGGGGCTTGGACGTGCGGGGAAACGCGGTCATCGCCACTCGCCGGTATCCGTATTACCAATCCTCATGGTCATGTGATAACTACTATACCGGCGTTTAGTTGATCCATTTTCCGATGGCTGGCAGATGATTGGTTCGTATATTTGACTTAGTCAGCGCCGGTACCGCGGTGGTGGGTTGAGTCATTTCTAGATAAGGCAAAAAAAAAATAAGTAGAACTTCAACCTCAACTTCGACTTCAACCTGCACAGCTTACACAGTGAGATTCGAGGAGGCTCGGGCAGCAGGTAGATGAGCTGAAGGGCATTTACCATGGGAATTGAGAGCGGTGCTTTGCAAGAGCGCCTTGAGAGATGGGCTCAAAGACTGAAGAACCTCACGATCTCACCGCTCACGCGAGACTATCCCGAATCCACGTCGGCGGGGTCAACCAAGCGAGCAATTGAAGCATTTGAGTCGTTGAAGCTCTCGCCAAATGAACAAGCAGCTGTGAAGAAGCTGTGTAAATCTAAGGAGTCGACATTTCTCGTCTTTCTCACTGCTCTCGTCGTCATAGTTAGCAGGTTGACCGGGGATGAGGATATCGCCCTGGGAACAAGCTCCGAAAACGATGGCCGGCCGTTCGTATTACGGATACCTATCAACCACAACGAAACGTTCTCCCAATTGCTCGACAGGGTTACCAAGATATACGATGAGAGTGCCTCAGACATAGTTCCACTTAGAAGTCTGCGAGCTCATATCCAAAACACCTCCAAGCTCGAGCAGGAGCCAGTACTCTTCCGCTTCGCTGCGTACGATGCCCCTGCTGCATCCCAGGATTACCCAGCAAATACCTTTGAAACAACCGATCTGCTCCTAAATATTGCATCGTCTGATTATGAAGTCGGTGGCTATTACAACCAGCGTCTCTTTTCCAGTGTCAGGATAGCTACAATATTAGCCCAGATTGTTCGTCTCGTCTACAATGCGTCAATTAACCCTGAAGAAACCATTGGAAGAATTGAATTCCTCACTGAGTCGCAGAAGGCGCTGCTGCCAGACCCAACGATTGATCTGCACTGGTCTGACTTCCGTGGAGCAATCCACGATATATTTTCCCGCAATGCGGAGGCGCATCCAGAGAAACTCTGTGTAATCGAAACCAAGTCTCTCTATAACCCACACAGACAGTTCACATATCGACAGATTCATGAAGCTTCAAACATTCTTGGACACCATCTCGTTCAGTCTGGGGTGGAAAGAGGAGACGTTGTCATGGTGTATGCGCATAGAGGGGTTGACCTCGTCATTGCTGTCATGGGTATCTTGAAGGCTGGTGGAGCTTTCTCTGTCATTGACCCAGCGTACCCTCCCGAGAGGCAAATTATCTACCTTGACGTTGCACGACCTCGAGCTTTGATAAACATTGAAAAGGCCACTCTAGACTCCGGTGAGCTGGCCAACTCTGTTCGCGCCTTTATTGACCAAAACCTGGAGCTTAAGACGGAAGTTCCAGCTCTTGTCCTGAACGATGATGGGACTCTTGAAGGAGGGTTGATCAAAGGTGTTCCCGTCTTGGAAAAGCAGATCCCGCTCAAGTCAACACCAGTGGGCGTAGTTGTTGGACCAGATTCTGCACCTACCCTTTCCTTTACTTCTGGATCCGAGGGCCGCCCAAAGGGTGTCAAGGGGAGACACTTTTCTCTTGCGTATTACTTCCCATGGATGGCGAAGACTTTCAAACTCACCCCTGACGACCGTTTCACCCTTCTCAGCGGTATTGCACACGACCCGGTGCAGCGTGATATCTTCACACCTTTGTTTCTAGGCGCTCAACTGCTGGTTCCTTCAAGAGAAGATATCCAAAACGAGCGTCTAGCTGAATGGATGCGTGAATACAAGGCAACTGTCACCCACTTGACTCCTGCTATGGGTCAGATCCTTGTTGGTGGAGCTACTGCTCAATTTCCATCGCTGCATCATGCATTCTTTGTTGGAGACATCTTGATCAAGCGTGATTGTCGATCTCTTCAGAGTCTGGCACCAAATGTCAACATTGTGAACATGTACGGCACCACTGAGACTCAACGGGCTGTCAGCTACTTCGAAATTCCTTCCTCAGCAGAGCAGGTGGGATATCTGGATACCGTGAAAGATGTCATTCCTGCTGGAAAGGGGATGGTAGACGTCCAATTGCTTGTCGTTAACCGGTTTGACCGAACCAAACTCTGTGCTATTGGTGAAGTTGGAGAGATTTACGTGCGTGCTGGAGGCCTTGCTGAGGGTTACCTGGGTTCTCCTGAATTAAATGAGAAGAAATTCATTCCAAACTGGTTCGTTGACCCTCAGATCTGGAAGGATAAGGAAGAGGAACAAGCATCTTCCTCTGCCGAGCCATGGAGAGAATTTTATGCTGGGCCACGGGATCGTATGTACCGCAGTGGTGATCTGGGCAGGTACACTCCTACGGGAGACGTTGAATGCTCAGGAAGAGCTGATGATCAGGTGAAAATTCGAGGCTTCAGAATCGAGCTTGGAGAAATTGACACACATCTATCTCGCCATCCCCTTGTCCGAGAAAATGTCACACTGGTCAGACGTGATAAATTCGAGGAACCAACACTTGTCAGTTACATTGTTCCTCAGATGGAAAAATGGTCTTCATGGTTAGAACACAAAGGGTTAAAAGACAATACATCGGCCGAAGGAATGGTTGGAATGCTGACTCGGTTCCGGCCTCTTCGTGACGATGCGAGGGAATACCTTCGTGGGAAGCTTGCATCATATGCAGTTCCAACCGTCATAATCCCACTACGAAGGATGCCCCTAAATCCAAATGGTAAAATAGACAAGCCTGCTCTTCCATTCCCTGACACAGCTGAGCTCAGCGCTGCTGCTCCTCGCCGCCGATCCTCGGTTTTGCAGGAACTCTCTGAGACCGAGCAAGAGGTAGCAAAGATCTGGGCTAAACTTCTTCCAAATACCACTGCGAGAATGATCGGGCCGAATGATTCCTTCTTTGACCTCGGTGGACACAGTATTCTTGCACAGCAGATGTTCTTTGAACTCAGGAAGAAATGGAGAAGTGTCGATATCAGCATGAGTGCTATCTTCCGAAACCCTACACTCAGGGGTTTCTGTAATGAGATTTCGCGTATCCAAGATAGCCACTCCTTGACTGGTGACAGTCAGAACCAGAGTACAGAGGGAGCGCAAGTAGAGAAGACGGTTAATAATGAGTACTCAAGAGATGCGAAGGAATTGGTTTCTAAACTCCCTGCTAAGTTTGCCGTGTCAGCTGAGGCTGCTTTGAAGGAAGGCTCAACGGTATTCCTAACTGGGGCAACCGGTTTCCTTGGAGCGTATATCCTTCGCGATCTTCTCTCAAGGTCCAACCCATCTCTCAAAGTTGTTTGTCTCGTTCGTGCCAAAACATCTCAACTGGCCCTTGGACGAATCCAGTCAACCTGCAAGGCATATGGATTCTGGTCAGACTCGTGGGTTAATCAACTAGAATGCGTTCAGGGAAATTTAGGTGATGAGAACCTAGGCCTTTCCGCGGATCATTTCAACGACCTTGCAAACCGTGTGGATGTGGTCATCCATAACGGCGCACTTGTCCACTGGGTCTACCCTTATTCCAACTTGAGAGGTCCCAATGTCCTGGGTACTATTGACACGCTACGCCTGTGTGCATCTGGTAAAGCAAAACAATATGCTTTCATCAGCTCTACTAGTGTGCTAGATACCGACCACTATGTGCAAGAATCGGAAAGGATCATTGCCGAAGGTGGACTGGGTATCAATGAATCCGACGACCTCGCTGGAAGCACAGAAGGTCTTGGTACTGGATACGGACAAAGCAAATGGGCTGGAGAATTCCTTGTGAGGGAGGCAGGTAGGAGAGGTTTAAAAGGAGCAATCGTTCGTCCTGGTTATGTAACCGGAGACTCCACGACGGGAAGTAAGTTCTATATCTGACGATTCCTTGTATTAGCCTACGTACTGATGGATTACCATTTTAAATAGATACGAATACCGACGATTTCTTAATTCGGATGATTAAGGGATGTATTCAGCTTTCGTCACGGCCAAACATTCACAATACCATTAACATGGTGCCTGTGGACCACGTAGCACGGGTTGTTGTTGCATCGGCCTTCCATCCCCCAAAACCGGAGCTCTCCGTTGCACATGTAACCAGCCATCCTCGCCTCCGATTCAACCAATTCCTCGGCACATTGCAAACATACGGCTACGACGTCCCACAGGTTGATTATGTGCCATGGTCTAGTTCGCTAGAGCAATATGTGAACGATGCCCAAAATTCCGTTTCTCAGCATGCATTGTAAGGACTGCCAACCATTATTCTGAAAAGATAGTGAAGTTTGGCTAACCAAAAGTTTCTTTAGGATGCCGCTTTATCATTTTGTCACTGCAGATCTACCTTCAAATACTAGGGCGCCCGAGCTCGATGACACCAATGCCTCAATATCACTCAAAGCAGACGCCGAATGGTCTGGAGCTGATGCATCCGCAGGCAGCGGTGTAACCGAGGAACTAACGGGTCTCTATCTTGCCTACCTTGTCGCTATTGGATTCCTTTCACCGCCAACTGCGGCTGGTGTTAAGGCTCTCCCAACTGTCAATCTTTCTGACGCACAAAAGGCTGCTCTTGCGGGCGTGGGTGGCCGTGGAGGTGCTTCTTGAGCTCTTAAGCTACTCATACTTGCATCTTCGGCTTCGTAACTATTGAATTTTGGTAATACAAAACCCTTTATTGCATATGGTTTTGATATAGAAACCACCGGATCGGATTTTAAATCTTCTACATACAAAAGCGCCTTTCGGATCTTCATATTCTTGATTATAATCCTTAGTACCCAAAATAATAAAGAAATAAAAGAAGCATCTAATATATAACCGCTGCGCTAAATCACTTCTCTATTTCCTTAATCTCCTTAACTTTGTTCAATATCAAATCCACTGCCCAGTCTAACAAGCGAGACATGGAACCCTTCCCTTTATCGGGAGCAACAACGATACCTAGGTCCTCTCTGACAAAAGCTCCATCTCCGACGAGTTCCTTCATCTTATCAAATTCCATATTTTCATCTGAGGTAGACTCTGGTAGCAAGAGCCATGAACAATTCGAGATATATCGAGGCCAAACGATATCATCAACATAGCCCGGGGGATCCGTCCAGAAGTTAACGGGAGCATCATCCTTTCCATTGCTATCTTCATCCTCCTCGTCTCCTGGCTTATCCTGCGAGTTATCTTCCTCTCTGAGCACAGGAGTTGGTGCAGGCCCGATGGTAACGTATCCTGTTCTTCCCTCTCGGCGTTGTTTGAGCAGTGGGTATGTCACCGGCAAGAAGATAGGGAGGTCAATCTGGTCATGGACAGGCCGTAATGGGTGCGCAGGATCATTCGGGGGAGCATATAACAGAAAACCATCCACAAACACAACTGTTAAGTTGAGCTCTTTTTCCTCTAGCCTGTGCCGCTGTAGTTGTTGAATTATGCGCTCTTGTAATGCACGTATCGTGGCTTCATGAACCCCAGAATCCGTAGCATCATTCAAGTCCTCCTTGCTTTTCAACTTGGGAGGAAATTCGCCGGTTTCACGAAGGTGAGATAGACAGGAAACAAATTGCTTTATATCAAAAGCTTCCACTGTATCCCAGTCCTGGACCAATTTGCCCGAGGACGTAGTTGTGATTGGAATCCTGAATAGCTCTAGTTAAAAACGCACTATTATCTGATTTGATAATTTAGAGTTATTAAACAATTTGCATACCTGTCATCAGCCTTGTAGAAGTCATCTTCGTGAACAAGTAGAGTCTTAATATTGATATTTGACCCTTGCGTTGGCGTGAAAGCGGTTCGTAAAAGCCGTGCAAGCGTTGTCTTGCCGCTTGAGGATGGACCGGAAATCCCCACGACGAGAATATCCCTGGCCATTGTTTGTATGTACTAAGAATGATATCTCGACTGTTTCTTCAGGTCTCTTGCCTCTATATTTTGGATATTAAAGACTTGGCTGGACTTGATAGTGAGGGGCTCACTTGACTAGTTAGTTAACTAGTGGTTAATGGGCTGTTAATAAGTAACTTAATACCTACCAATTCAAGTACGTCTGCACTCTTAGTTCCGTATGTTCACATATAGATTACACTCTAGGGCGGAACAGAATTCCCTTAAAAATCCATCATGGCCAGCTTGTTGAAAATTCATGTCACATTTTTAAACCCGCCTGCTCTCTCCCTTTACCTATAGGATCTGCCTTTAGGGGTAATCAACCTTGTTTCTTAGCTATACGCTCCTTACTTAGCTATCTTTACTATTGTCCTTCTCTCGAGGCCCTTCTCGCTAGAGGCTTCTCTTACTTAAAACTCTTGCCTCTTCTACTACTTGATACCAAAGAGGAGCAGCCTTAGTAAGAGTAGAGAGTAGCTATGAGAGAGAAGTTGGGCGGGTATGTCCTTAAGAAAAGGTACTTAGGGAGAGTAAAGTACCAATCTATAAAAGAAGTTGATATCTAGAATACCTTGATTATAATGAGCTATGCGGAATTATCTCTTACAACTCGAGAATGAATTTGACCGGATCGTTCACTCAGTCCGTCGGAAATCGTCCTAACATCACACTATGCACAACTCACTAGTCAGGCTGCCTCATGTGCTGGAACTGCTGGGACTAAAGGAGGCGCTAGAAGGCCCTTGTCGCTGCTTGCGAGGTGTCCGGCTTCTGGGGGATATAAAAACTATGCCATTTTCGTTGACAACCTCTTCAATGTGAGATTCCTTGCGTCGTTTTGGTGATTTTCTTCCCTGGGGAGCTGCAGGCGAGTCGAATTCAAGAAAATTAGCCAATCTCCGCTTGTCATCAGAAACCAGCGAGTTAGAATTAATATCTGAGGCGACAAGATCTGGCTGATGGTCTTGTGCAGGCTTGGTGGGATCAACGTAGTCCTCAGGGATAGGGAGCGTGTGCCTATCAAAAAATCCAAAGGGCCTGCTTAACAGCGCAGGATTAGGGGATGCGAAGTTGTCGGGAAGGGGAAGAAAGCCTTCCTTCTGAATGATGGAGCTCATTGTCCCGTCGTTCAGCATGTCTTTCTCTGCATGTTGCATCTCTACGCTTGTCATGGCCTTTCTGCGCCTCAGCATTTTGTCTTCCAATGTATCCTTCAACACCAAAGTTTCTACGTACACCGGCCGAGTCTGGGATATCCGATGGGCTCGCTTGATCGCCTGGCTCTCAATATTGGGGTCCCATATGGGGTTGACAATGAAGACCCTTGAAGCACTCGCTATGTGAAGTCCATGAGAGGCTTGTCGAAGGTCCATAAGGAGGACACGAACTGATTCGCCCTCATTAAATGTGGACAAATACTCCGATTTTTGGCTGGCCTTCAGAGTATGTGCATAAATGCGAAAATCGGTACCCACCAACTCAAGGCCCTCGGCAATCCAAAACGCGGTATTTTCGCTCTCGTAGAAGATTATGATTTTTTCTGTATCTTGAAACTGGAGGACCTTCTCTAGAAGGTAACTCAGCTTAGCCGACACAGTCCCGATGACCTTTGTTTTCTTTAAATTGGAGTCAGATGGCAGACTCTTTTTCGCTGAGCTCTTTTTGTCACTAATCTTCTCAGGCTTCGGTCGATGGGGGGTATTTGTCACTTCCTCAGGCTTTTGTTTAGGGGAAGGTTTTTCGACTTGCGCAGGCTTTTGGTATCTCTGCCGCATAGCTGTGATGCCGGCTCCAGCGAGTCCTTCTCCAGGATCCAAGGAACAGAGCTTCGAGACAACAAATTTCTGTGCCTCTCTAGCAAGGGAGAGGCCAAGAAGCATTGGTTCCTGGTGCCTTGTTCTCTCACCTATTTCCCAAAACTCCTGGGCACATTCAGGGAAGCCATCTACCAAGATCCCAACTTCTTCCTTTTCACATAGAACATTCCGAGTGGTGAAGCCCAAGATTTTCTCTCCAATGGATATCGCTTGATACAGTAAATTCAATTCCTCGCCTGCCATCCGGTCTATATTCTTCTGCAGATAGTCTTTAGCTACTCGAAGAGTAACATTTCGGACCTCTTCGGTCTCGGCCCCAGGCCACCAAAATCCCGCTAGTCTCAGGTTGTTCATCAACTGGCTGAGATGCTTTCTGTTTTTGGGATGGAACAGGTAGTCATCGCCAGTCCTCTCAGAGGTTATTGCGTTGATCACAATCCGCAGGATGAACAAGTTCAACGAGGCTTTGTCGTAACAAGTTGGTTCAAGATAAACAACTTCGTTGTAAAGGCTTGGGAGGGGCAATTCCCGATGTAAATCTTCTGAACGATGGCGGACGACAAGTGACTGGAGGGTGGCTCGAAGAGACGGGGACATCGCTCGCCTTCCGTCGGGACCAATTGGAGTCATGTAAATCGTCCAGCTAGCTGAATCTGCTGCTCGAGTATTCGCCCAGGGCTTGAGGTTGAGAAAATCGATGACCATCGATCGCAGGCTGTCCAATCTCTTCACTTCGTCGTTTAGTATGTTTCCGGCATGCCTACGAGCTTTCAATATCCCTCCAATTTTCTCCTCCTCCGATGTCGAATTAAGGCTTTGCTCGGCAGCAAGGGTGACTTCAACGCCATACAGTCCTTTCGATGGTATCCCTGAAACAATCCATCGACGTTCAACTTGTAGTTTGTCTAACATATAGACCGAATTAGTTTTTCCTCCACTGCTAGCAAAATTGTGGCCTTCATCGACAATAATTCGGAGCCAATGAAGATATCTCAGCGGTGAGATATATGTGGGACCTGACCCTGTATACACCCCAGATTCCTTCTTGAATCGGGGTTGTGAAAACAACACGATGTCATACTTCAAAAGGTCAGATGCTGGTGGGGTTTTAGCACTGCTGTCTCTTAGCACCAGGACATTCAATCCTTCAGTATGTATAGCTATTTCGTTTAGCCAGTGATCGACCAAGTTGGGTGGGACAATTATTAAAGTTCCCGATGTGAGCTGTACTGTGACTGAGCTATCTCTCAGATACGAGCCGCTGCGGTTGCCGTACTTTGAGGCCAAATTGATGGTATATGTTCCACGGTGTTTGTTGCACATATCAATACATTTGCCGAAGTACATGCCATTAGAACCAAGGTTTCTAAAATGTGTTTCCCAGGGAAGGGACTTAGTACCGACTGCTGCCGCAGCCATAGTCATGAGCGATCCAGTTTCGCTTCTAATTGGCGTTGAAGTAATGAATTCAGATGGAATAGAAGGCATGTGGCCCCTTGTTGCTAGGATAACAGCTAGGCATATTAACGTCTTCCCGTACCCCATAGTCTCTGCTAAGATGCCTACACACTTGTTAGCCTTCAATTAATAGGTCCGGGTGTGTTTGAGTAGGGTTTATACCTCCTGGAACATTGGAATAGAACCTTGGCTCATCAAACACAACCCCTTGCTCTCCATCGTAGTAATATGTTCTTCCTATCGGACTCTGGAGAGCTTGAAGACGAGGGTCAAGCGATAGTGATGGCTCTGCCTCTTTTTGGATCATCAGAGCAGCAGATCGCCGTTGGTACGGGTAGAGCCTTGTCCTCAGGCCATCAATTCCGGAGCTGCCATCACCAGCATCATCCTGATTACCGCCAGAATAAATAAGATTAGCGATTGCAATTTTAGACCAAGGGTCAGAGACATGTGTTGCTTCCGGCTTTGGAGATTGTAATGTGTTGAAGATATAGAAGAGAGATTCACAGCCGGAGTCTGCTTCACCAGCATTGTTGACCGGTACCGGATTTCGCCGTCTTCCTTCCCATGCATCCGCCGATGCGTCGACTTTAGCAATCACAGCTTTCAAAGCACGCCGGTGGCTTTGGTGTCTGCGTGGCAATCTTGGGACCCTGCTCTCCGGTATCAAATAGATTTGGATTCTTGTCCATATTTCACCAGGTTCCCGAGCAACGGACAATTTTATGAAGCCGGCGTCCTCAAGCAGCTGTAGAGAATCTGCTTCTGGGCGATACTCTTGTTGAGCATCTGGCCTAGTGGCATCAGGCAGCCTCCACCATAGTACTCCTATTGGTATATAATGTTTTAGATCACAATATGATTGATCCTCTTCTGAGTCGGCTGGGGATGCAGATGTGCCCGACGATGAACATGCTGAAATATGCGAATCCCCTGGAGAGCATGGAGCAGGAGAAGCGGGAGGAGAGATATCTGTTGAAGCCATAATGCTGCAAGCCCTTGGCAAATAGATAAAATTGCAATTGTCACCGTCCTTCCCTGTAATTCCAGCTCTCTGCAAGCTGGTTAGCCAGAGGCCAAACTGATAACGTGGATATCGGAAAATGCATGGAAAAAGGCTTTCGTCTGTCGAGTAGCGACTTATAGTCCACGTTTTACATGTTGCTTCCAGCGGTGGCTGGGCAGAGATTTCATGTATGTGTGTCGTTGCAGTGTTACTCGCCCATCGCTGGCGTTTCTTTCAGGAGGCTGAACTTGATATCACGCTAGTTCCAGAATAGGCAGGTGAGCTAGCTGGAGTAAAAAACGGCGATGATGCATAATTACATAAGCAATTAGCGAAGTAATATAGGTCAGCTGACCTGTATCTTTCTGGTGAGGTAACTTGCTTAGTCACTCAGGATATCAACCTCGCTTGCTTCCATTCACCAAAGGACGTGTCAAAATACGCATTCTCCGTCTGAAAGCATTCCAACAGTCAATAAGCAATAGAATCACTTGCACGTTTGATGGCGAAACTAGGGATAGAGGGCATTCGAGCTAGGTGGAGTGAGCTATTCCAACTTGTTTACAAGACGTCGGTCGAGTATCTGCTGGATTAAAATTACTCCTTGGTATCTAAGTAGGCTTACTGCCGATAAGTTACTGAAAGATATTACCGCTCATGAAACTCTCATGTTTAAAGTGGTTCATTTCCTCCGGAGTGAATTTGAAACGATATGGGAGAACGCTACACTTACACTAGGTATAGCTTTTCTAACTAGTTACTTAGGCGTCTGGTGAAGGCAAACAGTTCGGTTAAATCAAGAGAGAGCAATCTATTAATATATCTAGTTGAACGCTGGATAGCTTCCAGTATATAGGAACCAGTGTCATCAGCTTGCCCGCTGTCTAAGGTGCATTGAATCATGGCTGAGAAAACAAAACTGTCCTCCCAATCCTGTCCCAAGTCGTACATAGTCCGTCTATCAAAAATAGAAGAAAAGCAGGGGGTACAAAATTCTAAAAACTTGATGAAACGCTGAAAACGATAAATAAAAATGAATAGAGGGCTTGGGATGGTGTCCGTATGAGAAAGGCGACCAAAGGAGTGATTGGATAGTCAAGATGCCGTGAAAGAGGCAAACCTGGCCGCGATACACCGCAGATTCCTCTTCACTTTCTGAAGAATTCTTTGACTTCAAACCCAACTCTTCTCAGTGCCTTTTCATCGATTCCCTCAGTACTACTAGCAAGACGCCTGATCACCAGCGTACGAACGTCATTTAGACGGTTCTCAACTGGGTTCCCTGTGCCATATTTGCTCAGCTCAACTTGATCGCAGTCCCGTATATATACGGTGATGTCCGGTCCGACACAGCTTCCCCACTGCATCGCCATGCGTTCCCAGTGATCAATGGCGTCGTGTGAGCTATTGCGCGGTGTCGAGCCGGCATGGGATTCCGTAGTGGCTAACTGGTAATGTGGAACTAGAGCGACACGGAATGTCGAGTCATTGTTGCAAGAGGATGACGTAGGAGTATGCACAGTCTCTCCGGGCTCAGGTGTAAAGACAGTTTCATCAGAAGCGGACCGCTCGGTTGAACAAATACTAAGGTCTTCGGTTTTAGGCAAGATTGACTGCAATGAAGCATTAGATCCAGACTCTCCAGGCGTTGATCTTGTAGTCGCGGGTAGGATGCGGTCATTGAGGAACTCGATTATGGTGCCCGATATTTTATACCAGGAGAAAATGGTCTCAAGGAAATTCCCAGCCGCCTTTCGTGTGTCCTCCGATGCCGTCGAATTGCCTGATTCTGGTCCTTTGAATACCTTGACATTCCCACCGTCGTCACATGAAAGAGAATTGTTCAAATATTCGGTAACACATGCTACTGATTCAGAATTGCAGCCTTCGATTGCAATGACGGCGCCCTCTGCCTGACCAGACACTGGGGTTGAACAGGACATAAAGGGTGGAGATCCTTTGGATAATAAGTTTATCTTGTCTAAGAACGAAACGGTCTTTGGTTGCTCTTCCAGGCTTGCCAAACAATGAGGATGATTTGAGGTAGCTATTTTCAATGGCGGGAGAACCAGACTTGGATCATGAGGCGATCCTGGTACTGAGCTTGAATAATGCGATTGAGAGCCCCAGATATAATTAGGTGAGTTAATGCGTTGAGTCAGCTCTGGGCGGGGTAAGGTTGTTATTCTGGATAAGTAAGGGTTATCAGGCCCCATATGATGGCGGATCGATGGGTACATCTCCCTTTCTTCACTGCGGCGTCGTTTAATGCACGGGGATTGTGGTGGTATATTTTCATCCTGAATTGGAGCTGGACGCCAGCTTTCTTCATACGTGACATTGATAGGGCTAAGTGCATTCTCCAATTTCAGGCGGTGGCCTTGTGTGCGCTGAATCTCTTCGGGATGCGACGAGGGAACCTGCACACTGTCTATCGAATCATTGAAAGTCGGAATAAAAGGGGTCGACGGAGTCGAGGGCGGTTTCATTGGTTTCCCTCCACATCGACTGCAAATAGACGTGCCAGAGACATCTACTTTCACCGTAGGGCCGACAGTATTTGTGTTCCTTCTCTTGCGGCCAGGCCGTCGTGGCTGATACCGGTAGCCTGGGTATTTCTGCAAGTGCCTAGCCTTCTCTTCCTGTACGACTGTATAAGCATGCGCCCCACGAGATAAAATACAATAAAAATGAGAGAAGGGGTTGCTAAGCTTACATCCGCATGTTTCTTCCACGGCTCTTGTTCTTTCAATGGAAGCCCTTTCCATATCTTTCCGATGATCTTTGATATATCGGGGTTTGGCAGGCCCGGGTTTTCAGCCACGACAGAGCTCTGCAAGTGTTGTCGGAACAGAATGAACGCTAGAAGGTCACAAAGTTAGAAGGCATATCTAGTATAGGAGTATGGGAAGGCGGTTAAATGCTGGATACGGAGAGAGTAGCGTATTCTTGGGTGCTTATGATTGCGCTACACGGTGCTAATCGTGTAGATATATGCAAGGAAATCAACGAACCATTTCTTGGACGAGGTATTTTCGGTTCTGGTCCACACAAGCAAAACTGAACACTGGACTCATCCGTAAAATCTGACTTGGGGGAATTCGGTGAAGTAGAATACTCTCGGTGAGCAGCTTCCGATTTGACCACGGATGCATCTATCTCCATCGATTCTTGAGTCATGTCTGCTTGAGCAGCCACGGGCAGCGTTGATAAAACGGAGATGTCATCTTGATAATGAGATAGTGCAACTTGGGAGATTGCTTCCATTCCCGTCATCGGCAATGCTCTCGGGAATGACATATTCTCTTCACCATCAAAGCCAGAAGAGCCTCCCTGGGTAATTACCCTGTGAGCCATCGGAGTTGTAGACCCAGGAGTCGGTACATCTCGCCTCGAGTAGTCATAATACAAGACCGGCTTTGGGAGAAGTCTATCGTTAGGCATAGAGGAAGTTTGAATATTGTCTGGATTGGCCCGGGAAAACATGACAAGAGACGTGAAAGGTAGGATTCGTAAAAGGGGTTCTCGTCCTTCTTGTTCTCGTTCGTAGGTATCATGATGTAGTTATGAATGTGGCAAAGAACTGCCACGACGACGAAGATACTAGAAGGAAGAAAGAAGAAAGAAGACGATAGCGAAGGGATAGAAGGAAGAAAAGAAATTTCCTTTGTTAATTCTTGGTTTCTTAAAACAATTCCGTCATGTTTAAGTAACTTGTTGGATTTGCATCCTGATTTCCGCTCTTCTCCTTGTACCTTTCTTTGTTGCCTTTTCGACGTACAGGAAGCTTCTCCTTGCAAACAATTGCAGGTGTCCGATGCATTCCATGGTGATGTATCAACCGGTTAAGGCTATGAATCTTCAGAGCAGGGGTGGAGAACGTGAACTATTGTTTTGGGCATCCTTTGTCCCCATGGGCTGGCTGAAAGCGGCGGGATGCACATATTTCTTTACCCGAGACATCCAATGAGCGGTTAGATACCTGCAACAATGCGACGGGCAAGACTGTTTGGAGCCCCTGGGCGGGCTTTATTTTCGTTTTGCTCGGCTTGCTTCTCTCGTTTTAGAGTACAACGACCGTACAAACGGAACAACTTGGAGGCTCAGTAGTTAGTTTAGCTCCTGGAGAGTCGGAGGGCAGTAGCCAGGTAGCTAACTAGCTAACTAAAATGAAGTGCAAGCTAGTAGTTAACCTAAATAATGATAATAACTGACGAACTGAGCAGGAGGAAGAAAGAAAAGTAAAAAAGCAAAGAAAGAATAGCAAAGAAAATCAGATGCAATGCATAACTTAAGAAGGGAGCACAGTAGGGCCATGCAAAACATTTTCGCTCCGCTTACCTGTCACCAACAAAGAGGTTCGCTTCCTATCCCTTTGCTTGATATGGAGAAGAGTTGGAGTAGGTTGTTTAGTAATGGCAAGGCGGGTACATCCCTCGCTGCCCACCATCAAGCGGGGATAAGCTCCAACAAGCCACAAAGATATCACACCTTAAAAATAGCTCTCTATCACCGACTTTTCCTTGGACGATCATTTGAACTAGGAGCTTCCCGTGACGCCAGGAGAGAAATGAGAAATGCTCTACTCCGTAAATAGTTTGTTGAATTCGTAAACACTCCCGATACGTGCCCTAGGCGATGATATGCTTTATCCATGAATGGATCCCACGGCGTCGGAGGGCTCATTTGCCATTACTTGGTTGAGTAGGTCCGCGTACTCCGTATTTGGGTTAGTAATTGTCGCTGTTGATCCGGGTCATTGGATTAATGTTATTGTAGCCGAAAAGACCAACATTTTGCGAGTGAAGAACTAAGAGCTCTGAAGCGGTCTCTTCGTTTCCTCCAACCATGTTATCATCGGTGTCAGTACAGAGTCGGCGGTAGCAAACGGAACATGGGTTGTTGCTTTGGGGCTGAGAGACAACAAACTCCCCACCTCGCGAGTGGGATATGGAAATCGCATTTAAACTGACCGATATGTTTGAAAGAGACAGAATTACGGGGTTGTGCGCAAACTAGCCATGAAGAGATAGGTAAATTCTTCGCAGGTACGGAGTATGTGTCTCAAGATCCTTGATGAGTGATTTCTTCCGCATGTCTTAGGCCACGTTGAGTTCCAAGCTTGCCGATTTAGGAAGTGCATCCATTTATTGTCGTTTTCTTTTTGAGCACTTGGGGCGCTGATGGGCAATGCTATATCCATATTGGTACTATAAGTGCGACCCGAATCTCCCAACTCGGGAAAAGCAGTTCGTTCTCCTTTGTAACGTGTCGATGAGTGGGTGGACATAAGGCCCCCTGGCGACTGTTTTGTACACAACTTGAATAATTTTGTGCTTGGTGCCTTGTGGCGATGAGGTGGTGTCCGAATCCCGGCGTAAACATGGCCATGGGATAAAACGGAGTATGGTTATACATGCTTATAGCACGAGTCCTAACCGAGAACTGGCTATATAAACTGATGCACCAAGATACAGTGTTCGAGCTTTTCTGTTTCTTCCTTGGTCTATTCCGGGGAAAATTGGCCAAGCAGACGGGACATCAATGCCCAGGCCGAGAAGGCTGGCTTACAGGTCAACCGTTCGCCATTGTCAGCTGCCGCACCGCTTCTCGAATGCAGTCAGCTAAAAGTAGCATACCGGGACAGGAATACAGCCGCAGAATTATAGGAATTCAAGCGAGTGTCTTTGATTCCATTGTAGTCCGCGCGCACCACAATGAGCCATCGGAGAATATCAGGCCTTGTGCCTGATGCAGATCTTTGACAATCATGAGCCCTCGACGCCGCCCGTTCTTTGTATTATTGCATTACATACACGAGAGATGTGCGTTATGTCCATGTAACAGCTCTTGTGGTGCAACCGTTGCTGGTTGGGAACAACGTAGGGTAGTAAGGAGCACGATAACATGTATCAATAGCCGACGCGACTCTTACTTACCGGCAAATGGAAACACACATCAGCCTTAGAGCGCTTGGTCCTCATTCCTCGGGGCCATCATCCCCGCCGACGTCTCTCGTTGTCCATCTCTTTGCTGCTTGCTGTTTGGGGTTTTGATGTTTTTGCATTTGGACGTCAAAACAAAGACGGATGGCTTACATAACGCACTAATCATGTGATATTAGTCAGCTGGGTCAATGAGCTAGGGCTGCTTATGTGATCAAAAATTACGTGACGCTTAGTCATGACCCACACAGAAAGTTCGCTACACCAAAAAAAATATTCACCAGGTTCAAATTTGAAGACAGCGAGAGAAAGTCCGAACTTCTGCTTCACGCAACCGACCACATCGACCACCGCGCGCCCTTTTTTCTCTCCCTCCCGGCCATCTTGACAGCGAGAGAACTTTGGTCAAGATGAAGCTCAACGTTTCCTACCCGGCCAATGGGTCGCAGAAGTTGATCGAAATTGATGATGAGCGCAAGCTGAGACCTTTCATGGAGAAGCGAATGGGAACTGAAGTAAGGAACAACAACCCGTGAATATTAGAAAAGAGGGGGAATAGAATACACCCATCTGGTCTCGGTGTCGCCTTTGTTTTGGTGCTGTATTCGATATGGATGGAAAGGCCATTGCCGGCTAGATGTTATTCTCGAATGGCCGGCAAATGCAGAGGAACGTCTTCGCTGATTCAAGGCTATCTAGGTTGCCGGCGACTCGCTCGGCGATGAATTTAAGGGATATGTTTTTCGAATCACTGGTGGTAACGATAAGCAAGGTACGTTCTGCGACTTTTTTTTTCGGCGCGGTATGAATAGCATTTCAATATCAGCATGCTAACGGTCGCGTCATTATAGGTTTCCCCATGAAGCAGGGTGGTATGTGCGCCATCAGTCGAAGCATATACTCAATTCGTACGATGGCCGTCTAACAGTTTTTCCTAACAGTCCTCCTGCCAAACCGCACCAGACTCCTCCTCTCTGATGGCCACAGCTGCTACCGTCCCCGCCGAACAGGAGAGCGCAAGAGAAAGAGTGTCCGTGGAGGTAATTATATCTAACCGTTTGTAAATGTGAACCGAAGCATTCAGTCTCTAACTTGTCCCTCAGCCATCACTGGTCTCGACCTTTCCGTCCTTGCTCTCAGCATTGTCAAGCAGGGTGAGGGTGAGCTTCCCGGTTTGACCGACGTTGTCAACCCCAAGCGCCTCGGCCCCAAGCGTGCCACCAAGATCCGCTCCTTCTTCGGTCTCGATAAGAAGGATGACGTTAGAAAATTCGTTATCCGCCGTACCGTCACCCCTAAGGGCGAAGGAAAGAAAGAGTACACCAAGGCTCCTAAGATCCAGCGTCTCGTCACCCCCCAGAGACTACAGCGAAAGCGTCACAGAATGGCCCTCAAGCGCCGTCGCTCCGAGGCTTCCAAGGAAGCTGCGTATGTTTGACCCCTATCCCTTTCTCACTCTTTAAATAACACAAAAACTCAACATTCGGGTTCTTTATTCATTGCTAACGTATCGCTGCAGCAACGAATATGCCAAGATGTTGGCTAGCCGTGTCCACGAAGAGAAGGCTAAGCGTGATGAGCTCCGAAAGCGACGAGCTTCGTCGATGCGCAAGTAAGGTTGTCGTTTAGGGTGAAGGGGTTGGAGAGCGTGAGGCTTGAGTCAATATGGGCACTGCACGATACCATGTCAAATCCAGGGGGAAAAAAGTCAAACCCAGCCATGTTTTCTTCCCAGCCGTCTCGATGAAGTAATGAAAAGAATACTACGACAACGAAAAGGTATGTTCTTTTATTCTCTGCGAACGAGCGGAGGGAGGAAGCGTGTGACTTCTAATTGTGATAATCTTTCTCATTTGTTTTGTTCCTTTATAACGGAAGGGGAGTCAAATAGGGAAAATTATACATGGGTTTGCGACATAATCGAGAACCAATAAAAATTAACCATCCTTCCGTTGTTCGTGTAATAAATCTACGAGCGCTTTTCTTGCTAAATTTTGACGCTTTGGTATGTAGAGTGAAATTCTATCGAAATATTCCATCTTATATATTGTATGAAATGTTCATATGTGGTCATCAGCTGTGGTTGTTACCTTCTGCTGTTGGAAGAGAATGTACTGCAACTTGCTTACAACACTCCATGGCTTCATTAATCCATCAGAGTGTCTCTATATTAGATGGCAACGAGTATTCAGAATCGAAGAAAATAGTATGAAAAAGGAGGTGAATAAACCGGAAATTCTCATCCAACCATTGGATCATTAAGAGACAGCATGAGAGAACAAAAAGCTGACGGATTCGCCGTTGTGGGTTCTCCTGCAGGCTTCAGCCAATACAGGGCTGATGTCGATAGTCTCAATTTTTGAGCATTGTTCCTTCTTTTCGTTAAGGGGAACAGTGTTGGTGACCACAATTCGGCTTAGGCAGCCGTTGTTCAGAGTCTCGATAGCTTTTCCACTCAGTATACCGTGAGTGACAATGGCAACAACTTCTTTAGCTCCGTGGCCCATCAAAGTATCAGCTGCCTTGACTAGAGTTCCACAGGTATCGGCCATATCGTCAACAATGATGGCAGTTTTGCCTTCAACGCTTCCAACGAGTACCATACGGGAGACCTCGTTTGGTCTTGCACGTTCTTTATGGATCAAGGCAAATTGAAGATCAAGTCGATCCGCGATGGCAGTAGCTCGCTTTGCACCACCAGCATCAGGACTGACAATGACACAGTTCGTGATATCTAGATTCTGGCGGATCCACCTAAGCATGCTTGGTTCGGCGTAGAGGTTATCTACGGGAACATTGAAAAAGCCTTGGATCTGACTGGCGTGGAGGTCCATAGTGATGACATGGTTACAACCAGCAGTTTGCAGCATGTTGGCCATCAATTTTGCGGTAATTGGTGCACGGCTCTTATCCTTCTTATCCTGTCGAGCATATGGAAAATTGGGAATGACAGCTGTGATACGTCGAGCCGAAGCGGTCTTGCAGGCATTAATCATGATAAGAAGCTCCATCAAGCCATCGTTGATGTCATTGGGCTTTGTAGATTGAAGAATGAAGACTTGATAGAAGATGATTGTTAGCACCACCTTTCATGCAATTCAGTTTGTAAAAAGTCCAAATGAATGACTCCAGCAAATTGATTTCCAAAATTTTTGGTATTATGGAAAATAAGGAAAGTGGGTCCCGCAGGTCAAGGGAAAAAATATTACCATCTTCATCTCGAACACTTTCACCTATGGTCACACTGGTCTCTTGATTGGAGTACTGCAAGACCATGATCTTTGTCAACTCGATTCCTAGCCTATAATCACGAGATTAGCAACCACGTCTACATAGTTGACACAGCTGACACAAATCTGGTTTATCATCTTCCCTTTCCTATAAGCTTCCAGGAAAGAAGCACAGGTCCAGGAGTCTTAATAGAAGTATCGTACCTGTCTGCAACAAGCTGTGCCAGCTCCGGATGGCTATTGCCAGTCAAGAGCTTTATAGAATTGCTCGCCATCGTCAGAGGTGTTGTAGATAGTGGTGTGAGGGATCAGAATAGATCACAGCGTGGCGGCTGAATGTACAAATAGTTGGTGGAGATTCTGACAGGGAGCTAGCACATTATCAGTGGAAGTCAAGCTGTAGAGTATGAAGGGACCCAGGTGGCCGTCTGTCTGTTGTTTGGCTCTCGTATCAACGCAGAAAGCACATCATAGCATGTTTGCTTTCTCATCCGCCGTGTCGGCTTCTCATCAAACCCGAAACTTCGACGTTTGCTGAAGGCTTTTTCGAAGTTTTATCTTTGCCAGGAAAAGCCTCGAGACGCTAGTCCTAAATAGGAAAGTGGCAGATCGCTTATCGATATAAAAATAGTCACGTGGAGCTGACTTATGTAATCTTGACGAGCAATGACTCGCCATAGGCGATGACGGGTAGATAGATAGATCAAACCGTAAGAACGAGCTTCAGACACGAGAAGAATTCAAGTAAGAAATGTATTTTTTAGTGGGAACCTTAGAGTGGAGCTGATCTGCACTTCAGCTACTCAGGGAGCCCAGTATTATCAAACCTATCTAATGGGGAAAGGGAATGTAGGGGCACAATAAAACACAGTTGGCGGAAAATCAGGGGGAAAGGGGACGACAGAAAACCACCAGACGAGAGCCGGTCGGCCTTCGTTTGAGAGAGAGCATTGTCAAAACATTCTGAAATATACATGGGAATCTTTGGGGAAATGAAACCCTGAGCCAGAGCACGCCGTCCTGATGCCTAATGCTAGAGCTCACATGCGATGTATCAAGGGCAGTCAAGCTATGGGAAGTGGAAGGGATATGGTACGAGAAACAGAGTCATAAAGCTGATAAACAGAAGATTGGGATGAGGAGGGGTATGAGTTTAGCCACTGCAGCTCTTAAGCGAACCCGAAGTATTCACTGCCAGCAGTCATAGCTGTGTATAGGCATTTGCGTAACGACTCATAGCTGTCATACTCGGGTAGATCGAGCTCTGCAAAATGATGAGTTAGCATGTCGAACAGCGGTAATATGTACTGAAAATGATAACTTACGGTTAAAGCAGGTGTGCGAGCTTGGAAGTCTGTCTTTGCTACCGTAGTCACGATGGATATTGAATTTGCTGAATCCATTCATTCCCTCAAGCTCTCTAAATCCGTTCAAGGGTACCTTGCTTGTACCAGTGACAAACTGAAGAAGTTTGGCTCGCTCTTCTTTGTCAAATGACCGAACGGCGCGCCAGAACCACTGAATCTGCGGGGAAGATGCGGAATAATTGTGGTACTCAGTGTTGTTCTTCCAATCATTGACATCGATCTCAGGTAACCCAGAAATGAGAAGTTCCAGTTCCTGTTCGTTGAAGATTGAGATAAGGTCTGCTGGTATAATATCGTGGAAACCACGGAGGAAGTGGTCCAGCTGCTCCTTCACAGATCCTGTCAATCGGTGTTCAACAACGTGTTGAACGTATTCTTCCTTGTTTTCCTGGGTGACTGGGATATTTCGACCGTTCTCCACTAAGTCAATGACCCGGGTTTCACCAAAATCTTCAACCTCAACAGAGAAATTCTCAGTAAGAATATCGGTAATGTCGTTTTCTAGCATCCACAACAGTGACTTGTAATAGTCGAGGTCAAGAGTCTCCATGTCTTTAATGGAGACTGACTTTCCTAGGATTCTCTTGTACACTGCTCTACTGAAGTGACAATCAAGAACCCTACCTTCATACAATGCTTTGCCAATGATGCGTCCGATAAATTTGAAGAACATCAGGTGCTCCTGATTGACGCCACTAAGGCGGTTGGGGTGGAATGTTGTGCGATCAGATGCGACTGGAATGAACAAAGCATAGTCGGGGTTGAACATTCCTCGGGCAAGGACCTGGAACCATTCCCTGCTTACGCCACCAGCATCAACACCTTCTTCGCCGTGGAATCGGATACTAAGTTTGCCGTATTTCATTTCGTCTGCGGTCTTGAAATATAGAGACTTGAAGGAGTCAAGGAACACCTGGTCACGGCGGACAGAGAGCTGTAGTGGAGGGTGGGGATGGCGAGCCTCGGTTCCGCGGGAATGGAGCTTGCGGTTGAAGTAGTTACGTTTGTTGTCGAACTCCAAAACCTTTGGATTCTTGACCAGTAGCGAGAATGTACCGCTCATAAGTCGAGGATTTTGCCGCACAAGCTCGTTGAGAATCTTGCGGTGATCCTCCGTAAAGTTGAAGAACAAACCCTCCATACCAGACTCGGGGGGTGGGCTTGACACGGAAAACTCGCGGCCTTGCTTGGGGAAAAGGGGAATATCCTTCAGTGTGGTATTCTTACAGACAACCATGAGTGACTCGATCAATGGGAGAAGGGTCGTCGCGACATTCAGCATCGATTCTTTGCGTTGAACAGCGTGGAGGCAATCACTAAGTTTCGTCCACAGGGGCCCAAAAGTAACGCTCTCATAAAGCGCCTTCAGGGTGTTTGCTTTCTCAGAGGCCTCCGCTTCAGATATTTTCTCCTTGTCCCGACTGGGATCAAATAGATAATCGAGTGCCGTCAAAACCCGTAGCAGCTTAGCTTGGTCGGAACTTGCTGGCGAGAATTTCGCCAGAGCCATGCCCTGCACATCAGTACCAGACTCCGCATTGGTAATATGAGGTATAAGTTCCTCCAAGTCGACCAATATTGATTTGCTCAAAGTTTGTGCTTGACCAACCAACTCCTTCCCAATGATTTCTTTTGCGCCCGGGATTGAAGACAAGTTATTGATGGTAGAAAGCGTTTCTCTAAATGTCCTACCATTGCACTCGCGGGCGGAGAGAATATGAACCACAAGTCGTAAATTGTACTCTGGGACCACGGGAGGGTCAATTGTTCGTACTTTCTTCTTTCTTTCTTCCTTGGAAGATTTGTCTCCCTCGGTATTTCCATCTTCACCTTGCTCTCGTTGGCCGGCAGTATCTGAAGTCGTCCCGGCAGTTGGCTCCGCCATAGCAGTATCTGGTGGGTTGCCTGGCTGGGTCGCACCTGCATCCTGTGGCTGGGTAACGGTGTCAGGTTTTGTTTCAGTCTCTTTAATGTCGGAATCTTCTTGCTTGTCTGATTCTCTTCGGAGTAGTATCGTCAGAGGATGGGTAATACTGCTAAGTAATCCGGATAGCTGTTCCATGCAGTTAGGACTGTCCAAGATTGCCTTCCGGTCGAGAAGGGACAAGAGAGAATTCAGTGCAAATTTATTTGCCTTGTTTTCCTTTGCCTTCCCTTTGCGTAGGGCCTTCATTTTGAGGGCCGAAATGGCTTCATGCTCGGTGAGGAAAAACCATGGGATATGCGGGTTGTACTGAGTTAGAAACGAAAGAGCACCTAAGCATTGTTGAATGACAATCAATGGAGTCACATCATGGTTGGCGCCGGGGACAGGAAGCGACAAAGCCCGTTTGAGGGATTGGGGAGTTCGCTGAGAGGTTGGCGTTTTGGCGTGCAATGACAAATGAGCGAAGCTTCGCTCCACCGCCGAAATATCAGCGCTTCCGTCTTGGAGGATCAGCAGAATGAGGCTGATCACTTCTGATCTATTCTGACGGTTCTGGCAAACATTATGTAGGATATCATTTAGATGATGTCTGGCATTCGGTTGTAGTGGCATAAACATCAGTCGAAGTAGAGTGGCTACACCAGCTTTATCGACGACCTGCACAATCTGCCGGCGTTGAGGCTTCTTA